TATAGTGTAGCCGTATATAAATAAAAGCGTTTGGTTTATATTGTATTAACAATAAGATATAATAACAATATATTGTTGTTGTTGTGAATCAAAATAAAGTTTGAATGAATGAAAATTACTTGTGAGCCGTCTTTGTCCGACACTATTAGCACTGTTGGCTGCGATACACAACATTATAGGCAATGGCATCGGATTTACTAGAATTATGATAGCATTACATGACTTGCATGTAGTCTATGTATTTGTGGTCAAAATAATTGCTTATTTACAGCCAATCGAGACTTGAAATATGATAAAAATGACTGAAATGTGATTCAAAAACATATCAATTCATTGGCTTTTGTATCGACAAACATATTCTGTGCCATAACTCTAACATCAAATGTTATGAATTATAGACAATATGTGTTTCCCTCAGATATAACTCCACACACAGACTACCATTTCTTGTCTATTATTAAAATACTATATAAACTATACATTACAATACACACACACACACACACACACACACACACACACACACACACACACACACACACACACACACACACACACACACACACAGTATATGATACAATACATACTACTGTTATAGTAATCGATATGTTTTATGTATTCTTGTTTGCAATGTTTCCAGCAATTGGACGGACACTCAATCTCTATGTAATTGAAGCATAAAAAGCACACAAAAACATTAAACATTTATTTCAATTAGTTATATAAAACTAAAAACCTAAAAAATAATGTTTAATTAAAAATTACCTATAATTTAAATATAATACTAAATAAATATTATTATGTCCACAAAATATGATCTAATGCTATTAATGTGTAATGTAACTTTAGTATGCACACTAACAAGTATGAGATATAGTATATGATATAAACGATTATAAGCCTAAACTTAATTTACTTCCCGGTATATAATATATAAAAATATATTAATATATAGCATTGGTCTCCTATTTTGGACTATTATTTAAGTGCTATTTTGTGTGTATAGTGAAAGAAGACATTAATTTTAATATAAAATATAAATCTAAGTTATTTGAAAACATTGTTATATTAGCAAAAATGGGGTTAACTATTGATTACATGAGTTATGATTTCGTTTCAATTACTCTCACAGAATATGTTGTGAACAAACAATATTAGACACAATTCTCGCATTAAACTATATATCGTATTGAATATGCTTTCAAACTCATGGACTCATTCTTTAGATTAACTCTTTAAAGATTTATTAATAACTTTTTTTGATGTATAAAATATAATAAAATCATCACTGAAACCGAGTTTTACAACAACTATAACATAAGTTATTATTAATTTTGAAAAACACATTGTAATTATCGCTTTAAATAAATTGTTGTAAATTCGTGTCGTTTTTATCAGCTTTGGGTTTATTTTTATCAATAAAAATTCTCTAAAGAATATTCTTCTTATATATTCTCTAAACTTTAGATTAATAACATAAAGCATAATATAATTACAGCAAATATATAAAAATATTACTTAATATATTACCAAAACAAATAAATGTTAGTGTATATTATACAGTATCACATTTCATTAATCAATTTGAGAGAACAAATAAACATTAATTTGTTAAGCAATAAGTTATATATATATATCATACATAACTTAATCATTTATATATGTAATAATTAAAATATCAATTAAATTGAATCAATTATAATTAAATATTTGATTATTGTTTTAAATTTAAATATTATTTTAACCATTTTGAATGATTAAAGGAAATCACAGCTGAATTTGACATGAGATGAGCTTTGATATCAAAACACTCCCCAAACTAATAGAGTTGTAAATCAAATGCAAACAATAAGTTTCACACAATATCTCTACAATACTACTAATACTGTAATATATGACTTCTGCTGTTTCAATGTTTGACACTTTGAACTGACATTTCAAGAAAGGCATCAATTAATAGAAAAAATCGTTGAATATATAGTAGTAGTTGTAATAACATTTGTAAGAATAACAGAAGCTATTAATTAGACTCAAAATACTGTAATTGTTTAATAAAATTAATGCAATGTTTGACATACAAGTTGTATATTAAATGTAAAATTGATAAAATTCGTTATTACTTCAAATTATCATATCTCACAGTATATTGTTTCATATATTTGTTATAATATCTATAATAATTTATATACTCATCGATGATAGAAAGTATATATATATATATTTATATACACAAATTAATAATTTTTTAATCTATTTGCTTAACTAAAACTACTAATAATTGTGTTTTAAATTATTTAATTTATATTAAATTTATTTAAAATCGACTTTTATAATTTAACAACTATTTAATATCATAATTATAATACTGTATTTATAAAAAAATATCAAAATTATAGAGCATTATTATCATACAAATATTCTGTACTTTATAGAAATATTTTAATTAAAAATTTATATACAAAAAAATATATTAATAACTATAACATACTGTACAATATACTATTAAATACTCAACATTACTACAGTATTAGCTTAAGTATAAATTTGCAAATAAATTGATAATTTTTTATCATAAATTGTGGATTATTTATTTTTTGATAAAATTATTACTTAATTATTACTTAATTTAAAAATAACAATTTCAATTATAGCAATAAATAATATATAAAATTTAGTTAAAAATAAATATAATTTTTTCTTATCTTGTCATTAGTTTACTCGTAAATTTGCATTTAGTTAAAAATACTGTAATATACACTATATTTATACATATTGTATATAAGTATTAAAGGCACTGAATATATTGAATATAAAATAGCAAATGTGTCTTAAAAAATAAAATGTTATATTTTATATATTTTTTCAAAAACGCATTATGTATTTGAATATCGCATTTAAACACTGAAGACATAACTGAGAAGTCATTGAAAGAATAAAAGAGTGTAAAGAAAGGCCTTTAATCTATTGGTCTTAAAATAGGTCATCACATCTCTCTTCACTCGTTTAACTTTCACTTTTTAAATGAATTAAAAATATATCAAAATTTTTTTTATTTATATGCAATTCATATAAACATAAATTTTGCGATAAATGAGATAAAATGATTTAAATGTTTGAAACGTCATATAAAAAATGTTGTTATATGTGCCCACAACTAAAGTATATATTAGTCAAGTTAATTGCTAAACATTATATGCCATAAATGTAATATTATTTGTTAGGAAATATATAAATAGTGATTATCTCTATATTATGTGTCCTAACAATAAACTTTGTAATTATCAAAACGACTCCAAGTATTACTCATTGTCTGCATTTGTGCACAAATTAAAAGCCGTTGACAGAGGAGTACATCCCCTAAACTTTTATGCTATCATTAATTAATTTTTGTGCCTAAACTCAAAGTTTTCCAATAACCCAACGATTCCTTGAGCCCAACATATAAAAGCTTATCATTTTTATTTATGCCATAATTTTATAAATGTATTATATTATTATATACTATTATTTAATTAAATTCAATGATGAGAGTGAAACAACCGTAAATGCTTTGCGCATATTATATGAATTTATATTGAATTTTACATTTAAGTTTAATATTTGTATTTTTTTTATCTATTGCATGAAAAATATAACAATTTTATTTAAAATCAATAAAACTATTTTTCTCTTTTTAAGAATGAATTCAGAATTTTAAGTTATACTATAAGACAATATTAAAACAAAATATTCTGTATAGTACTTAGTGTGTGTGTGTGTTGTTTAATATACACCTCAATGTTTTTAATAGCATACCACAAGCACGGATGGGAAGGAAGTGTTAAACACGGCATACTTTAGTAAACTATCATTAATACTATTATCCATATCAATGATGGCCACCGGGGCTCTTGAACTGCTGGTTATGACTTTTTTATGGGGGAAGTGGTCTGACATTTATGATCAACATAAACGTGATGCTTATATAAATTTATTATAAAATAAGTAAAAAAGAAAATGCATTACATTTTTAAAGAAATTCATTAAAGTTTTAGTTTTTGTATTTTTTCATAAATTTTAGACAATGTTTTGGATCAAGAGTTGAAATTTCCTGATAGGAAATGGCTTTATATTGTGGTTAAAGAATATAAATCCCATCCGAATATAAACGACTTCTTATATGTTTGATATTTAAGTGTCTTTTCTTTACCAATGAGTTTATATGACTTTCAAACAATTAAATTCAATAAATCATAAAATTCTCAATTATTATAAGTTTTCAAAAATGTAATCAATTATATGTGAACCAAACATTGTTGAATAGATAAGTGTAATTTTTTATTACATTTTGCCTAAATTATTTATTGTTACTAATATATAATAGTAAGTATTATTCAATTATATAATATTTACTATATCATTATACCAGTATATTTATATTGTATTTTTTACTATTCATAAGTTTTAAAAATTTAAAAAATAATATAGATATAGATAAATAAAATAGTAATAAATATATGGCACTTTAGAATGTATTTTAATTAAAACTTAAATTATTGTTGACTTTTTGTGTTGGATCTGTTATGGTGACACTGATACAATCAATTACAGTTAGCCAATTGAATAACAATAAACTTCAAAAATACTTTTAAATATATCATATTTGCAATGTGCATGCTAAATTATTAATACAAAATATCAATTTCATATAATTAAATATTAGGCCACTTATCCAATAATTGTCAGTATATATAGTATATATTATATACATTACATGTTCAGTAATACATTGATGCAATAAAAAAAACTTATTTTTGAAATAAATTACTTGAAATCTTAGAGTTTAATATTATTTTTACAAATTAAATAATATTTGTTTGTAATAATTAGTAAGCAGTGATAACAATTAATTTGAATTATGATTATATGATTATATTTATAAGCATTTGAATGCAATGATTACATATTAATAAGTACTGTATAGTTATAATTGCCATCTATTGGCGACACTGTTTGTGATGCAATGCCATCAATGCATTGACTGTATAATGAATGAGTGTATTATAGACCCCATGGGTTGCAATACATGCCATATAATCACATAAAAGCAATGTTTTGTTGTGTTTAATGGTTTTAATTAAATTTAATTTATTTAAACATATTATTAGTTACAAGACTTTAGCCAAGACTTCATTCAAAGACATTCATTTAAATCACAATTCATTTACTTATTACAAGACACACAAAGTATGCAATCAATTGTTTGGTTGTTATAATTGATGACAATATTGATTATCGCAGAGACCAAGACTGACGACAATGAGTGGAGACAATACTTCGGTTGACACCATCAGTGAGTCACTAAAAGATGTCAACCTTAAAGAGCTGTCGCCTCAGCCCGACTTCATCGATAAACGCATCCAATTGTGGGATAAATACAAACAGAGGTATCTGAAAGAGTTGTCGGAAAAAACCAATGAGAAGATCAAAGTAACTGTTAAAGACAAGAATGGAGACATCAAAGAGGTTGAGATTTTGAATATAAAGGAGAAGAGTGGAGAAGTGAGACAAGAAAATGTGTTGAGTTGGAAGACTTCGCCCATAGATGTGGCTAAACAGGTCGGACCAAAGTCATGGACAGATAGTCTTGTTATCGCTAAAGTTAATGGTGTTCTTTGGGATTTGGAGAGACCTCTTGAATCCAACTCTAATATTGAGTTATTAACTTTCAATGACGATGAAGGTATACCATTAGTATTTTAGTTTTTTAATTATTACAAAATTAATGAATTGATGAATCAGGTCGTCAAGTGTTTTGGCACTCTTCAGCACATATGTTAGGAGAAGCTGTTGAACGACTTTATGGATGTCATCTTTGTTATGGACCTCCTATAGAAAATGGCTATTATTACGATGCCTTTATGTGTGGCACCGGAGCCGCCGAGTCTGAGGCTAATGATTTGAATGCCATTTCTATGTCTCATTTCAATACTATTGAAAGTGTAATGAAAACTATAACTAATGAGAGTCAACCTTTTGAAAGACTTGAATTAACCAAAGATGAATTGATTGAAATGTTTTCATATAATAAATTCAAAGTTCGCATTTTGAAAGATAAGATTAAAGAGGAGAGAACTACTGTCTACCGGTGCGGTACTCTCATTGATCTTTGTCGTGGACCACATGTTAGACATACTGGAAATGTTAAAGCCTTTAAAGTGACTAAAGTATGAATTGATTTAATTTTAATAACAATTACTAAAGTAATATTAACGGTAATTAATATTTCTTAACTAATAGTCTTCGTCAGCTTATTGGGAGGGAAAGGCTGAAGCAGAGTCACTACAGAGAGTGTATGGCATCTCATTTCCTGACCAAAAACAGTTGAAAGAATGGCAGAAATTTCAAGAAGAGGCTGCTAAACGTGATCACCGAAAATTAGGTCGTGAACAGGGATTATATTTTTTCCACGAATTGAGTCCCGGTTCATGTTTTTTCACTCCAAAAGGAGCTCATATTTATAACACTTTATTGGATTTAATTCGAGTATTTATTCACTAATTTAATATAATTCTTCAATAAATTATTCAAATGTTTTATTTAACCAAAATATAGAGCGAATATCGAAAGAGAGGCTTTCAAGAAGTAATTTCTCCAAATGTCTATAACTTTAAGTTATGGCATATCTCTGGACACGGAGACCATTATGCAGACAATATGTTTCTCTTTGATGTTGACAAAGAAAAATTTGGTTTAAAGCCGATGAACTGTCCGGGACATTGTCTTATATTTGACTCGGAAGTTAGGTCGTGGAGAGAACTGCCTCTGCGTTTGGCCGACTTTGGGGTTTTGCATCGAAATGAATTATCGGGAGCATTGAGTGGACTGACTCGAGTGCGCCGTTTCCAACAGGACGACGCACACATCTTTTGTACCGTTGATCAAGTAATGCAATATATTTGCATTAAATTTATCCATTTATATAATTATTATTTTAAACAGATATCTCAAGAAATCAAAGGTGCCCTCGACTTCTTGAAGTACATCTATTCGATCTTTGGTTTTACCTTTGATTTATGTTTGTCAACTCGTCCCGAATCGTTTTTGGGTGAAATAGAAGTCTGGAATTCGGCTGAAGATGCATTGGCCAAAGCTCTCGATGAGGCCGAACTTAAATGGAAACTAAATCCCGGCGACGGAGCCTTTTATGGACCAAAAATTGATATCACTATCAATGATGCCCTAAGAAGACCATTCCAATGCGCAACTATTCAATTGGATTTCCAGTTACCATTGCGTTTCAATTTGAATTACAATGCAGAAGATGGCATCAAAAAGAAACCCGTGATTATTCACAGAGCTATTCTCGGATCAATTGAACGATTCATTGCGATAATCACTGAGAATTTTGCAGGAAAATGGTATTATCAATAAATGGGATGAATTGTTCATATCTTATAAATTTGTTATCATTTATAGGCCATTTTGGATATCTCCCCGTCAGGCGATTGTATTACCAATCGGCTCGTCTCACAATGAATACGCTGAAACAGTACGAAAGCAATTATTTAGTGCCGGCTTTCAAGTGGACAGTGAGTTAGATCCCGGACAGACCATCAATAAAAAAGTTAGAAATGCACAGTTGGCTCAATACAACTTTATTTTGGTTGTCGGCGATAAAGAAATGGGTAATAATAGTGTTAATGTCAGAACCAGAGATAACAAACAACACGGAGAGTGTTCATTGGATCAGCTGATTGTCAAATTCAATAAATTTAAAGAATCGAAAATCTTGAACTCAGAAGAAGTATTTAATCAATAGACAGTTTGAGTTATTTTAATAAAATTTTTAATTTATATCTTTATTTACTTTTTCTTTTATTATAAAATTGATTGATTGAAGCGTTGAGTTCAATAGTTAAATGATTTATTAATTGTTGTTGTTTTTGATTACTTTTTTTATTTACGTTAATAGCAGTTATATTAAAAGTTGGCAGTTCTTCATTTAAATCAATTGTAAAATCCATTAATGAAAACATTTTCATACAATATATAGCTTTTCTGGCATCGCTTATAGATAATGTTAAATTAGTGTCACTTCGTGGCAACAATCCTTTTATCTCATTTTTAATGATATCTTTAAGTAAACTCAAGAAAGAGTCGCTTATATCATGAGAAGTACTACTTTGAAAGCTGAGATCAATCTCAATCGGTGGTAACTTATGACTTACGGTAAATGACCGAAGATCGCAGTGATAATTATCGGTCGACCACTTGATTACAAGTGGCTCTTTATGTACCATTAGTGTTGAATTTCGATCATTTTTATTCATTAATGAAACCAATTTATAACAAATCTCTAAAACATTTGGATCTAAATTTGATTTATTACTGATTTTGCTTTTAATAGTTTGCATCAATTGATTGAACAATGAATTATCACAAAAGTCCATCAAATATGATAACAACTTGAGTGCATCGCCACTGATATGAGAGTCGATATGAGTGAGACCACAGTTGATGTAAGTGAGGATAATTGGCATCAGTGGTGATATACTCTGTTTCTCGCCATTTGTTTTAGTATTTAATAATGAAATACAATGTTTAAGACATTTGATGCACTCGTTTCTGACTCTTTGGTCGCAATCATTCATGTATTTACAGACAACGTTAACAACTTCTCCACATTTGGTATTAATGTTTGTCGAGTTAATCCAATTATTAAGACTACTTAAACACATTATCTTTATTTGACTATTAATGCCATAACTGTTAGTCAATGTCTTAATTGGATCTTTAGTTCTCGACTCCATCTCTTTGATGATAATCTTCTTGGACTTGAACTCAGTTTTCGTATCATTCTGTGGTCCCAATAATCTTCGTCCGACTTTTAATTTTTTCTTCTGGAAGTCTTTCTCTTTATTTTTTTTCTTAGCCATTATTAGGACTAATAATTAATTGATTGATCACTTAATTGACGACAATATCTAAATCACATTTAATATTAAAATTCAAAAGCATTTAAAGCCAACACACGTGTGACCAACAAATTGTCCACAAATCACGTCAAACCATAACTACATTTAATTATTAAATAAATCATTAATTAATTGATTAGTCACTTGAAAACTGTTAATAATTGTTGTTAACAAATAAATTAAATCTAAATTTACCATGGTAAGTTCAAAATGTAATTATCTATAATTAATTTTATTTATTAATTTGTAAACTTTATAATAACGTAATATATGAACGAAATAGTTTTAAGCGGTATTTAATATTTAATAAATGATTTTATTGTCATTTAAGTCAATCATTTAAACAGTGATTAAAAGTAATAAAAATTATGTCAAAATTAATGTAAATTTATATGAATATTGAAGACAATTGAAGACAATTAAAGACAATTAAAGTGACAAAATTGGTTCATCTGTTGTGACCCGACATCACAGGTAAGCACTTGTTATTTGGTTTGTAATGTCAGTCATTTGAATGTTAATGTAATGAATGGCAAACACTTTCATCATTTGTAAGCAAACTGTTTGACAAACATTTGAGTCAAACATTAATTTAATGACAAAACATATGATTTGTTGAATGAGTTGGCAATCAATACATTGACACCAAATATGTGCGAAAGTCAGACAAATATAAGCATTGATTACATACTTAGTGTAGTCAACGATCGCAACCTATTGTTGACGAGTTTATCACATTTACTGTCTTCACAAGTGATGACAATTAATGACCAATTGGTGACCACTTTGATTGACTTATATTGCAATCATAGTGATCAATATGTGAGGCATATTAGTGGTAAACTAGTTGTAAAATATGTGAAGAGTAAGCAAAATTTATCGGTGATATCAACTGTCGATTGTTGGCATTGTTTGCCACAGAAATGCAAATTGTTGACAATGTTGACCACCGATGTCGACATCAAAAGCAGTAGTCAATGCTATTTGGGATTTGAATTGACTATAACTCATATATTAAATGTATTAACAAGTGATGGGATGACTTGTGAAGATCACTGTCAATGTTATGTCCCGAAATCTATTGACCAATTGTTGACCGCAATAAGTGACGACCACTTGAATATCATTTTATCAAATTTGATAAAACTTGTGACAAATGATCAAAAGAGGTGTTTTGTTAACCAATTACTTAAGTTACTGATAGCTGTGTCTAAAGACAAGTCCAACAACTCCTTGATTATACAAACTATCGGTGACTGGATTTTTGCAAACAATTTGTTGAGTGATTATAAGCTCAAAGTCGACAATACTTTATATTCTTTTGGTGGCAAATACTGTCAAACAGATGACAAACAGTTGGACAATGAATATGGATGTGATGTTGTCATCATTCGTCAGCTAACACTTCTTGCATTACTAATACTCAGTTCAGATCATTATCTGAGAACTAATTCAAATGAAATTAACAGAAATGGATGGCAAATATTATCTCAATTTGTTAGAAACTCTTGTAAGGCATTTGACAAAAACGATTGGATTATTAAAGTCTTTATAGAAGATGATGAAGAACTTCTTTGTGGACTCTATTGTTTGATCCGTTTGGGTGATAATCAAATGTCTCATATAGCAATGAGTGACTTTATTGGATCAATTGGTAGTGATAGTAGTGTCCTAATAGACATGTTATGCTCTGAGGAACAAACGGCTACTAATTTATTGAAATTATTATTAATATATCTTAAATTAGATGACATAACAGTGAACATTGAAATGAATGTTAAAAATATTTTGTTACAATTAAGAGATAAAATACAGAGATTGACAACAAAACAGTTGTTCCCATATAATGTCAAACCATTGATAAAATTGATAAATAATAAATTGAAGATTTGAATGTCACCATAAAAATCATGGCTTAAATTTAACGAGTGGTATGTTTTTACTTTGAAAACACTTATCGCAAACCCATTCAGCGTATACTTCTTGTGTGAGCAAAAAGTAAGCCCTATCTGTAAGTCCAGAACAGATCCGATGAAACCAGAAGTTACAGCCGCTCTCACAGAGAATCGCCTGATCGTTGTCGTGGACCTCCTTATGACAGATACCACACGGATATATGGGCGGTGCGTTTGGATTGGCGGGATTGAACACCATTGACTGCTCGGGCGGGTATATCTTTCCCGATATGATTGGCACCGGTTTTGGGCCCATTTGTGGCCCATTTGGAGGCATTGATATGTTGTTATTGTTAATAATCATGTTATTTGGCGATTGATTACTATTTGGTGTGTGTGGCGGTTGCGGTATCATTGGTCCTCCAGTTGGTGGCATACCCTGTGGCGGTTGTGAGGATAACGGTGTGCGCGGAGTGTCATCAAAAGGGTTGGAAGCATAGATGGTGTCACCAAATAGTGCCATTGGTTGTGGTATCATTTCCATCGGTAATGATTTATTGCTATTATTGGTGTTATTGATGGCATTATTGGCATTGTTTTGGTTGTTGTTTATATTGTTTACTCTTCTCTTTTTATTTCCCGTTTTAGTCATAATTTCGTTGTCATTCATATCACTTAAGTTCTTATTCTTCGCGTTTTTCTTTTCGCGCGGCATTTCTGACACACTTTTATTAATAGTATATATATTTACACTAATTATTAATAATATTATTAAAGACTAATCTTTAAGGATATATATCTTAATATGGGTTCAACCAAATGGCTTCACTTTGATAGGGGAGTTACCAATGCTTTCACTCCTTAAGTGAACTTAAGTGAAGCCAACTTTACGTTGATTTACATCCCATTGTTCCCACAGTATATACAGTACTATACAGTACAGTATAGTATATACTACTGTATAGTACTGTATAGTATCGCTAAATATTACATTACATTTGATTCATTTAATCAGTTTTATATTCGCAAAAATTTATAGTAATATAAGAATATTCTCTTAATATTTAAATCAATATATTATATCATAGAATATATTATATATATATTAAATTGTTTTTTAATTTTCAATCATTTTTATATATCTAGTATTTTAAGATAAATAAAACTTCATCACTAAGAATGACTCGTTATATGAATAAAGTTTTACAATGTATTTACCGGTAATCAAATTAATCAAACTTTTATTTAATAAATTAAATAATAAATAAATAGGTTTTTTCACTAAAATATTAGTAAAAATGTCGTTTAAAATTCCAATGTTTTGAATCTTCAATACGGTTTGAACCGAGAGGTCCCCGAATGCCATAGTCATGACCAACGGCTACATCAGCGCAGTTTCGGTAAACTTCTTGAGGTCCACAACCTGTCGCTTGAGTTCCGTTTTCACAAAGACCCCAATTATTTGCTTTTTATATAAAAAGATAATTTGTTTGAAAAAATATTTAAATTGTTTAATACTTTGTTTACCGGATTTCCAGTGCCAGCGAAGAATACATCGTTCGCATGACTTGTTATGAGGCAATCGCACAGATATGCCTACAATTCCTTTTCTGTTTGGGTTTAATACAAATCTATCGGATCCGTCAGCTATTTCTAAATTTTCGAAACAATCTTCGGTTTCTAATTTGATAATAGTTTATAAAAAAGTAATGAAACCATAGAATTGATAACAATATTGCAAACCCTTATCTTCGAAACTGTTTCTCCAACACATATGAAATTGGAAAGTCCCGCCGTGATTGGCCACCAACTCTATTAATATGTCAAATGTAGTGCCGGGAGAGTAGACCCGAGTTGTGATATTTCTAGCAAATATGCCTCCCGTTTCATGTTTTCTTTCTCTATCGTAAGGATCGCCACAAATGCCACACTTTCCTCCGTTGTCGTGCCATTGAGACTATAATATTTAAAGTTAATACATAAGATTTGTTTGTTTGAATTGTTAACTTTGATTACTTTTAAACCGCCACAAAACAATTCATTGTCACTATAATTAGGTGGTGACGGGAATCCCAGTCTCCACATGCAATTCCTGGCCGGAGGTTCCATCATAAGGCCGTGTGAGTCACATAACGATATACTATCATAGATTATAACGACCAGTAAGAGTCCGATATAAGAATACATAGTATGATAACACTTATCTGTATTTAAACACAACGACAACTGATTTCATTTTGTTTGTCTTAAGAAACGTTTGAATTCTTGAGTTTTAAAAAAAAGTTGAAGAATTGTAGGCGTTTTGAATAAAGCAATGAGTGATAGGTTTGAGAAAAGAGAAGTTAGTGTTTAACTAAATAAATAACTGGTTTAACAGCTGTCAAACATCTTTATCAAAATCTCATTGCACTCTATAGTAGTGTAATCATCAAGAAGTTGATGATTGTGTCAATAATCTCAATCACATTTACCTCTGACCCCTCTGACCCCTTCTAACCTCCCATTAATTATTCAATTTATATTCAAGTTTAATAAGTTGTTTACTTTTTTAATCATTAGGTATGAAAACTCGTCAAAAGAATAGACTTAGTACTACACCTAAGTCACCGCTTAAGTCACCAATTAATTCACCCCTTAAGACATCACTTAAAACGCCTTTAAAATCAAATTCTTCGCCAAAGAAAATCAAATCCAAAATTAAGTCTAAAGTCAAGTCTATTAATAACACAAAATCCATTTCTAAAGAAAATAATAAAACAATTAGTGATTCAAATACAGGGAATCTATTGTACGGATATGAAAGTGAATTGAAATATTTGACAAAAATAGTAAACAATACGATAACTACTGGCGAATCCAATTCAGTGCTTATATGCGGAGATCCAGGATCTGGAAAGACTAAACTTGTGGAAACATATTTGCAATCAATCAAATTTAATGACATTTCAATAATCAGATTAAATGGTTTTATTAATTCAAATGATTTGAGTACTATTAGATTGATTGGTCGACATTTTGGCATCAATGCCAACACAATCAGCGATATTATGTCAAGTCTTAAGGAAATATGTAAAGAGAATCCTCTATTTCGTGCATTCATTATATTGGATCGATTTGACATATTTTGCAGAAGAAATCAAACACTTTTATATAATTTGTTTGATTTGCTTCAGAACTCGCAGTCGATTTGTGTCATAGGAATGACCACACGTTTGGATTCAATAGATTTGCTCGAAAAGAGAGTTAAATCCCGACTCAATCAGCGTATTATACATTTGGTGACACCATTTGTTAACTTTGATGACTATATGAAGTATGCATTAAAGGAACTGAAAGGACAAGAGATGAACAATTCATTGCGTGAATCATTGAAAATACAATATTCTCTTAATTATTCAATTCGTGAACTGAAACGAGTTATCTTTGAAGGTTTGGTGACTCATAAAATTGGTGTCGAAACCAGTGATAGAGACGCAAAACTCTTCATATTATCACAAATGTCTATATATGAAGTAAGTGTTCTTCTGATTGCAAACAAATATACGAAAAACCAAAACACGACTCAATTTCACTGTTCAGCAATAATGGACGCCTTAAGACATTTGCCACAAATTAAAATCAATAAAAACTTGTTGTTTAAAATCTTTCATAAGTTAGAAGAAAGCGATTTAATTACCCGACACTCGACTATTAAGAGCTCAGACCTTTTGTTGAGTGAATGGACCAAATTCTCGCTTAACATCGATGACTCTCATCTCAATCAGATCCTCAAATCAAATGTATTCCCACAGTATATGAGAAAAATTTAATCACTCATTCATCTGTTACTTAAACCAATTAATCGACTACAAGATTATTATAAATTTATTAATATTTCTAAAAGTCATAATTTTAAGATTTCATTTAATTATCAATAATTGTTAACAAAATATAATATTGATTCAAATAAAATGATTTGATTTGATTATAATATTGTTATTATTAAAAACTTATTAAATTTGTATATTTTATGATAAATATTATAATTTTAGACATCAGTACAGCTATTGAATGGCAAAAAACTTTTGAATGAAATCTCGTTTTGAATGAAAGCGCTGTTTAGATGACTCTCACTCTTAACGCATGTTATTGTTTACGTCACACGTGTTGTCAATATTGACGACAAACAGTTGACAACAATTTCAATGACTTAAACAACATTTGAATCAATCAATTGATTATAAAAACATTTAGTTATGTATTAGTAGACAATGGATACGATTTGAGTGATAGACAGTGATTGACCACAACTCGTGATGACTGTCTTTCATATGACTCATTTTCATCAACAAAATACATCACAACTTAACGTTGAGATTACCGATGAGCTCAAGTATGCCGAAGATGTGGTCATCTATTTATCCAAATTGTTTTTCATTAATCCCATTGCAAGACATTTGTTTGGTTTGTATCACATGAATAACAAGATATGGATGGCCAACAACCAAGTGATGACACTCTGGAAGGAGACAAATGTCTTAGAGTTTAGACTCAGATTTAGACCAAATATCAATACTCTTAAAGTAAGTCAATCATCAATCAAATGGTTTTGCAATTAAGTCTTATATTTTATTTCTTTCAAGTATTAGTTATATAAATGTTTGTTAGTTATAAAAATATCATATCTATGATAAAAATTTTAATAATTAATGATTAATTTTTTATATTATAATTAATAACTTAACTTAAATTAATTATCACATAAACTTTATATTTAAAGTTAATAAAATGTTTAATAATAATAATTTTTAAATGTTTATATCAAATAAATTTTAATTTATTAATAAATTGATTCAAACTATATATTGTTTAATAACTTATATTAATAGAAAACTTTATAATCATGTGATGTGATAATAAAATAATACAATTATCTTGAAATAAGTCAATACTTTAATAATACAATAGAAATAATTAACAAAATAACGTTAAATTGAGATAAAGTTTGAAGTATTTATCGATTATTTAATAAACAATAGCCTCTATTTTTTATATTTAATATTGTCTATACCTGTAGTGTATAATTATTTAGTCTGTACTGAATTTTTTATAAATTTATTTATTCACAATAATGGCAATTATAATGATAGAGATAACTAATTTGTCTGACAGATAATATCAGTGATTACAGTGAAATATTGAGGGAGTGGTGAATGATATGGGATTATTGAACACATTTGAATCATTATATCTAAAAAAAGTAATTTATGTAATAATAGAGTAATTGAATATTACTGAACTAATTATGACGATATGTCAGGTTTTAGCTAAAATTTAATAATTATAAACAATTGAATGTGTTTTTTCATTTGAATATAACTATAAAATTATTAATATGTATAATGAATTTCCAAGAAAAAAATGTCATTAATTTCAGGGACACTAACTTTTTTGTTTAGTAAATATATTATTTTATATTACAGTATTTATTGTATTTGAAATTGCATTTGAGATTAATAATTTATAAAATTGATTTTTATGTTTCAAATGTCGCTTAAATTATTGATTGTATTTTATAGCATATGTTAATCTCTATTATTATTGTTACATTTCCTATTAGTAATAATATTGTTATTAAATCGGTTAATATTTTTTATATGAAATATTTATTTAATATTTACATAAGAGAACGGATATTCAATTGCTTTTTAATTTACAGTAAATTTAAAATTATTTTTTTACGATTACATTATATATTCTATATATTATTAGTTATATCTTTTAAGTTAAATTAGTGTTATAAGACTAACTTATATAAACAATATTATTATAGTTAAATAATTTATTTAGACCTATATATAAATTTATATATACACACACAGTATGATATATAATTCATGAATTTTATATCTTTATTCATCATTCATTTATTTTATATAAATTTTGTCAGTTTATATTAATAAATTATTTGCTGGTTTTTATTTGTAATATAGTTTAATTTGGGACAATCTGTTGATTACAACACTTTTAATTATTATTTTAATCAAATAAGACATGATTTTATAAGTGGTAAATTTGAATACATCAATGATAATATCGGAAAAATATATGGTTTAGCGGTCACTGATATGGTTAGGGAGGCTCTCAATACTGATATAATAAATGCGGATAAAATAATCGATGATTTCGCCAACTTTTTACCTCAAAACTGCAAAAAGCCTAAACTGTTTTTGTCTACACCTAAGGATAAGATTAAGGCATCATTTTATAGGGCACTCAATTCAAGTCAACAACAAACTGATCAAATAGTTTACATACAAAAACTTTTTATTGAAGATTTTATCACAAGTTTATGTCCAAACTATGGCATCGAAACTTATAATGTAATGTTTGACAATCGATACAATACTTCACGACATCACTTGATTGAGGTTAAGGTTCAATACATTCACTTTTACGATAATGAACAACAAAATGGTATCTTTTGTAAGCCAGTCAATGACACCAAAGACGAGTGGACCAAATGCTGCTCCATATCAGACATTGGATTTATATCTTTGGATAATAAGACTAAAACAGTTGAGATATCGCGAACAAGTGGTGTTCCCTATAGTTTCACATTCAAACACGATCTCGACATGAAATCATTTGTTTCATTACTCGACGGCTATTATAGACTTTCCGTCAAATGGTCTTTCAATATCTGCAAAGATGTGTCGTCGCCATCATTAGCAAGACTGAGGAAAAACAAAACGCACGGTCCGGTCGACTATGAATTTGCATTAAATAAATTGAAAGAGAAGTCCAACGATATGACCGGCGCTTATATACTTAGAGAAAGCCTAACAAAATATGATGAATACAAAATGGATGTATTTATTAGACATGAATTGTTTGAAACATTTAAGTTAAAAGTGACCGGAAGTCAGATAGTTATTGAAGTACCAAATAAAAGACACTTCGAGTCATTTGCAGATTTCATAAAAAGTTTTTCATTTATGTATTACGACGGAAATGAGATCAGTCTAACACAATGTATAACTCCGAGTGAACACGACTTACCGCTAAATTTGTTGTTATGTCGACACAATAATAAGGAGAGCACTTCACAACAAGAGGCCGACCGATTGGGACCGCCTGTCATTGCCAGTCATTTATTAAAATTATCAAATACTACACTAACCAATAACTCCCGATATGGCGTCCGATTAGCAAATTTTATGAATAAACAATTTATTGTCAAAGAAGTTAAAAGTGTTGAATTAACTCAAGAATTTCTCAAAACTGTGTCTCAATGGTCACACTTACGCAATGATTCAGTAGTCACTTGTAAAGGCATTACATTATGTTCACCTCTTGCTATACTCTTAGAGTATATACCTATTGGACCTTTGGATGCATTTTTAATGGCAAATAAACAAAATTTAAAATTAGTTGATTTGGTTGAAAGCATATCATACTTATCCCGAGCCCTTTGGTATCTTTTTGAGAATAATGTAGTTCACGGACACATCCGATGTCACAATCTATTAGTACACGAATATTCATCAAATTGTCTTAAAGTAAAACTAAGTGATCCTATCAGTGATAATGACATTAATATGGAGAGGGTATGGCTTCCACCTGAATATCTAACAAACAATGAATGGACTTATTCTTTCAGACATTTAACTCATTCGGTAGATGTCTGGGCTTTTGGTACAACTGTTTGGCAGATATTTAGTTACGGAGTGAAACCAAATTGTGAGGACGTGTTTGAATTAAGTAAACCAAATGATTGTCCGAATGAGATCTGGACACTGGTTGGCGAGTGCTGGACAATGGACTGTGAATCACGCAAACAACCTCATAGTATATATAGAGATATCAGTCAAATATTATATGAAGTATTTAATTGTCAGCGAAATGACTATTACTCTAAACCTGTGTTTGAAGAGCCAAAGCCATCCAAAAGTAATTTGTTTAAGAATTGGTCTAAATATAAGTCAAATTCAATCTTTGGCTCTAATTTTTCATTATCTTCGAGTTCTATTGTAAGCCAACAGTCATTTTCAACATATCTCACAAACAGTATTAAAGCCAATGAAACTACTATTGGATCTGATAATTGTCTTCTTTACGATCACAATGGTTTTGATGGCGCTAATGGCCAACCAAACGAGCCCTGGCTTATAGAAGCACATCAATTGAAAGTGGGAAAAGTGATCGGAACGGGATGTTATGGGGAAGTCTTAAAAGCAACACTTACTCATTGTGCCGGACTTAAGGAAGAAGTAGTCGCTGTTAAGCGCATTAAATCAGTTGCATCTGATAGTCAACTAAGAGATATGAAACGCGAAATCGAAATAATGAAAAAATTAAGTCATAAAAATATTGTGGAAATTAAAGGATTTGTTGAAGGTTTGTGTTATTTGTATTATATTTGTTGTTATACTGTATTTATTTTAGTCTTATTTTATTACCGTTAATATTATTTATTACAATAGATTTATCAGATCAGCAAACAATGCTAGTCATGGAGTTTGTTGAATTGGGTTCATTAGTGGCTTATTTAAGACATAATCGTTATAATAAATCAATTATACCTCTCGTAAAGTTTGCAATGGATATAACCTTAGGTATGGAGTACTTGGAGAGCAAGTCTATAGTTCACCGGGATTTGGCCGCTCGTAATATATTAGTGGCCGATGAAGACTACGTCAAAATATCTGACTTTGGTTTGGCTCAGTTTATTGACTCTAATAATCAATATTATCAATTCAAAACTAGTAGAGAACTACCTCTCAGATGGTATTATCTTATCAGTTATATTACTATTAATATTATATTTATTGTTCATTTCTATAAATATTATAGGTATGCACCGGAATCACTAAAATACTGTAAATTTTCACATAAATCTGATGTATGTGTTATCCTATCGTTTTCTACAGTGTTTCACAATTTAATTTTAAACAATTACAAAAAACTATTATAATTGCGAACATATTATTTCAAAACCTAACTTATCGGTAATTATGTCAATAGTAAACGTATTAATAGTTTTTGAAATAGTTGGAAATTAAATTGTGAAACACTGTATTAAATATTATATCAATTGTTTTTATATTTAATTTTATTAATCATTTTTAAAAATTATTAATTATCAAAGGTTTGGAGTTTTGGCATTGTTTTATGGGGTCAGTCATTATAAATATTAGAGAAACTATAACAATGTATGACAAATGAAATTCAGTGTTTTTGTATTGCTTGACATACTTTGTTTAGCTTAAGAAATCTCTATAAGTTAAAGAAACAATTTTTAATAAAAACAGCACTTATATTATATCAATGAGTTATCAAATACATAACAAAAATGCATATTTTAATAGATTTTGATAGAGCGCATGTCATATATGATACTAATATTTTATGTCAACTTAAATATTATTTAATAATTTATTAGTAAATATAAATAGTCCGTAAAGTTCTAATGTTTGTCATAAGATAAATGATGTTATATTTTACTCTTAGAGATAAACTTTTTGAGAATCTTTAATTTGAACTCAATATTATATTATTGAAAATATAATAAAATTATATTATATTTAGTATAATAGACGCATAATTATTTTTGTTTTAACTTCTCAATCAATGTCATATACATAACATAGCAATTTGTGATTAGTTATATTGTATCAAATTAGTAAATATTTTATATTTTCAAAATTTTTATAATATAAATTAAATGTTTATTTTTTCTAGTTATTTATATCAATCTATAAGACAACAATTTGTAATACTAAACATTAATACATTTTATATGTCATACTTTGAAATAGTATCTCACATATCACCTAATTTTAGAGTAATTTATATCATGTTTTTATATTATTATTGATTTACAGAAATGTATAGTTTTGGAGACAATCCACAGTTACGATCACATAATGATGATATGATCGGTGATTCAGAGCTGACACAGGCGTTAGAAAAAGGTCTGCGATTATGTCTTCCGGCTGACTGTCCCCTTCAGGTCTACCAAATTATGATGAGTTGTTGGCAAAAGGATTCACATCTGAGACCATCATTTACTCAACTGAAGAATTTAATTAAAGAAATCCCTCAATGAAAATGTGTCACATATTTAGTCATTAATGAATTGATAGCGACCTATATTTAGGCAATAATTTTGTTGAGTAAAACCAATAATTAAATTAAAAATATGCAAAACGTGAACTTAAAACACTAGACTATCGGACCATTGAATATTAAATTTGTTTTTTTGTTGAGATTTATAATATATATATATATATATATTGCACTTTAAAGTGGTTATACATTTTATACAAATTTTAGAAAAATTGAGATTAAATGATGAAACTATAGTATTTATTTAACACAACAATCAATATAATGGGCGGCAATTATAAGTAAATGATGTGTATGTGTGGTGTGTATGCTTTCGAGCGACTCCGTTGTGGTGGTTACGGATCCCGTAGTTACCACCGATCCGTCCCATTCATCATCAAAACATTAAATGACATGAATTAACAATTAGTAAAAAGCAATAGTCAATCACACCATACAATTGGGCCACAAATGACACACAAATAACCCGACACTCAGTTTTATACTCCAAAAGCTTTAATTCACTCATTATTTAATATCTCGATTCACGTTTGTTTCGGCTCTTCAAATGGTTTTTTGTTTTTTTTTGTTTTGACACCAAATCTCTCAATTTTTGTTGCATTTATTAAAATTATATTTTTTTAATAAATGAACTAATAATGATTAATGTGATGTAAATTTTGAAAGTATAATAAATAAATAAAAATGTATATTTCCGACAGTAATGTTAATTAATAAAAATTAATTTAAAATATTTTTTACTTGAATTGAAAGCAATTATATTATGGGTTCATTTAATTATCATTATTTTCGTTTGTGGCGAAAGTTTTATAGAAAATTATGGAGAAAATTGATATTTGTTTTGTTGATAACATTTTTGACATTTACATTAATTTTTGTCAAACCAAAGGCTAGCGATGAATGTGTGTTTAATGACGATGAGTGTAATTATCAACAGTTTGTTAGATCCAGACTTTTATTATCCGAACCCAATGTCGACCAAAACTTAACGATCAGTTCAACAATAGATCCTTTGGTTGAATCGGAAGGATCTGATAAAAAATTTCCCGAAGACTTGTTTACACCCGAACAGCGACGCAAAGGAGCTGTCATTTTCCATATCGCAGGACTTATCTATATGTTTGTCGCTCTCGCCATCGTTTGCGACGAGTTCTTCATACCTTCTCTGGATGTCATCACAGAAAAGTTGGATATCAGTGAAGACGTGGCCGGCGCTACATTCATGGTTTACTTCAATTCAATTACTAATGTTTTTAATTTATTTAAATCTATTATATTTTTATTTTATTTACTATTTTTTTATAAAAAAAAGGCTGCGGGAGGTTCAGCACCAGGTATTTATATTATTATTACTTTAATATTTATTTATGTTAAACTTTTTCTAAATTGTTTCTAATTAATTAAAACTATACGCATACTTACTGTAATTGCATTATATTAACAAAAAAAAAATTATAAGTAATATTTGTTATTTAAAAAAACTATTTGCCGTCTACTCAATCTTAAATTTTAAAGAATGTAAAAATAATTAGATTTTTTACTTTAATTAATTTATACAAAGTAATACTTTATAATTTAATTTGTTTTAAATTCAATATTTTTTTTTATTTGAATTATACTTATGGTTTGCATTAATCTATATATTTAAAAGTGTATGTTTTGATTTGCTTAGTCTAAACGTATTGTCAATTAAATAAATATATTTGCTTTCGTGACAATAGTTTGTTGTTTGAATCAAATGTGTATATATTGTATATAATTTATTATATGTCTAATGATAATGAACTTTGAAAAATATATTATTTTATTATTTATTTTTGTAATATTTGGAAATATTTCTTTATCTAATGAATATTACAATTTAGATTAATGATTAATAAAAATCATTGAAATGTTCTTAGAAATTATTTCTTATTTTTATATGAAATTGATATTTTTATAAAATTACAATGAAATTATTGAAAAAAATAAATTGCTTAAAATTTATTTATATACAGCAATTCTTTATATATAAAAAATAAATATATTATAAAGATTAATAATATGTCTATATATATAATAATAATAATACTATTTATATAACTTTTATGTAAATTCTACTTAATATATATTTTTTTAAACTATGAAAATAAGTGATTAACTTAAATTATTAAACTAATATTGCTTTTATACTATACTGAATAATATTTACGAGTCTAATGGATCAATAAATATTATTTTATAAAATAGCAATATTTTACATAAAAGATTATAAGAATGCAATAGTTTCATAAAATATTTTATGCGATTTATTTATTTTATTTATTATTATTTACTATATTTAATATTATAACTTCCTAATGTTAAAAATAAATAAAAATGCTATTTTTTATTGTATTTTAATATAATCAATAAATTATTAGATTTTATATTAATTTATTTATGTTTAATATATTTTTCATAATTTTATTTTTTATAGTTTTGTATTTAAATTTATTATTATTTTTTGTGCTAATTATTTAATAGAATTGTTTACATCAATAATTGGTGTATTCATCAGTTTCGATGACGTGGGCATCGGTACGATAGTTGGGTCGGCAGTGTTTAACATACTGTTTGTGATATCCATGTGCGCTATCTTTTCCAAGAGTGTACTATCACTGACCTGGTGGCCACTCTTCAGGGATGTCTCCTTCTATTCAGTGATTCTCATATCTTTAGTTATCTGTTTCAAGGATTCACTTATTCATTGGTAAATCATTAGTGATTAGGATAATAAATAGTAGATTATTTAGATATATATATATATATATATTATAATGAAAATGCTAAAGAGATAACTTAATAGTTTAATAAAATTAAATATCAAGACATTGAATTTTATTTATAAAAAATATTAAGAATTTATATAACAATTAAAAAATTTATACTAAAAGACATACTAAAAAATAATTATATATTTTTATAATCTTATGATAACTATTAAAACATATAAATTGTTTAATATTTTATTAGATTTTTCAAAAATATTTGATCACTTATTTGAATTGCAAATCTAGTTGACATTTATTGTTATTATTTTCAGATATTTGACTAAAGCTTTATATATTATTTTACAATTTTGCCGATATTATAATATTGATATGAATATTGTATATTAATAAATATATTGATAATATTGCATACCTTATTGCACAGGTATGAGGCACTGTTCCTATTGTTGTGGTACGTGGGATACGTGACATTCATGAAATATAATGAAATAGTAGAAAAATATGTTAAAAAATTTGTAAATCGATCAAAAGTGGACAAAATTAAAACTGAAAACCCAGAATCACCGCCGCCTATGGTTAGACAATATTTTATTAATACTTTTATAAAAATATTTATTGATTAAAAAATTATTTTAACTTACAATTCGCAACATATCTCTGACCACATACTCTGGTGACTGACCGGATCAGACAGACAGCCGGTCAGTCACCAGAGTATGTGGTCAGACATATGTTGTGAATTGTAAGTTAAAACTAATTTTTTAATCAATATGAGCTCTCACAACAACATAAATATAAATCAACAAAAATATTTTTATTATTTATTATCATTAAAATGATGTCTACAGCAGACAAATCGCAAAATGTCGACTCCTATACTTCACGGCGGATCCAAGTTTCGTCAGGGAGTTCTTCAACTAATGATTCATTCAATTGATCCGTTACACGAAGAAACCATAACAAATGCGATGCGAAGTGGTATAGATAAAAGTCGATGCATTCATCCTCCCGGTGCCACTACATGTGTAAACTGTGGTGACATTGATAATCATAATTCTAACGGCAACTCTATCTTTCATACGGCAAATATGGCAATTAAGACTCAGGAATACAATAGTCAATTGTCTAAACCACATAACGGCTCGATTGGCGCACAAAATACTGAGGTTTTGACAACTAGTTTATAATTTGTTAAACCATTTAATGGCAAATATCTATAATTTTGATGACTAGGAAAGCGACGAACCGGATGAGCCATTGGACATGTCGTGGCCGAAAACTATGAGAAAGCGATTTACTTATGTATTGTTGGCTCCAATTATTTTTCCTCTTTGGTTAACATTACCTGATACTAGACGACCTGTAAGTCGTTTAAAAAAAATTATAACAATTGTAATGTTAAGAAACCATAGAAAAAAGCAATCATATGAAAGAGTGCTCTCAAAGTAATCATAAATTTTGATATTTTTGACAATTTATTGTGAAATCACTTTCCTTTAGTTTTGTATGCCTTATGGGAAGCAAATATTTTATACACATTTGTGTTAAACATTAATATAGATATGTAGAGATTGAGATTGAAATGCTGTTTATTGTTTGTCAAAAGTGCTTTATTATACTTCAAGATATGCCTTAACCACAAAATAAGTCACTAATCTTGCTCTTCCTTAAGTGACATCCATTTAAATAAATATACAAACAAATGATAATATATAACATTTTATTGGCCTCCGGTTCCCTCATCTATACTCTACTGTTATATTACAGAATAATACAAATCATATCTTTATTCTTCTCTTAGGATAATAAAAATATATATAATATATTGGGATTCATATTATAAACCTATTTGATCTAGATCATTTGGACTAAACTCATAGTCTAAATCACTTGATTTAAATCATTTAATATGCTTAATGATTATTATATTATTTTAAAAAGTAATTTGAATCAATTTAATTTGATACAGCAATTTAGGTTAATGTATTTTATATAAATATTTATAAATAAAAAATTAGTTTACTCTAATGCAAAAAATATTTAAACTAAAATACAATTAAGTATTTAACCTAATTATTAATATTATTATAATTCTTTGTTTAATATTGGTACTTTATAGATATTACATTTTATATAAAACAAATAATTAAGTTAAATTTTATAAAATATCTAAATTTATCACAAAATGATTAAGATGTATTTTTATTTAATTTTGATTATTATAATTTAGTTTAAATAAAATTGTCAAAATTATTTAAACCACACGAGTTTAAGCCAAACGAATTAGATTATATGATAAAGATTGCAATAGATTCTCTATAATTTTTATTATGCTTAAAATATTACTTTATAACTCATCAAAAATAAAGTTTTACTTTTACTTATTTTATAGATTTTTTATAAAATATAATTGTATGTTTTAATAGGCTAATAAAAAATAATACTATAAAATTATCAATAAATAGTAATTTTATATGCAATTTATACAGTGTATACAAAATATTGTATTATTGTTACTAAATTATTATATACAGTAAATTACTTGTAAACTGTATTTTTGTAATTTGTTTTGTAATTTATTAAATTAAAGGAAAAGAGAAAATGGTTTCCATTTGCATTTTTGGGATCAATTATGTGGATTGCAATATATTCATATTTGATGGTATGGTGGGCTACTTTAGTGGGCACGACATTTAAGATGCCCAGTGAAGTCATGGGTTTGACATTTTTAGCGGCCGGTACTTCAATACCAGACCTGATTACATCAGTATTGGTCGCTCGTAAAGGTTTCGGTGATATGGCTGTCTCGAGCTCTGTTGGCAGCAATATATTTGATGTGACTGTTGGGTAAGTTTTTAAAAAAATTTTTTTAACTAATTTTAATATTATCAATATAATACGGATAATATATTTTCACTAACTATTATTAGTTAAAAGTAGTGAATATTTAGTAAATTATTTTACTTTCATAATATTTAACAATTTTTTATATTTTAATTATATTTTATTGTTGTTTTTATACTGTATATACAGTATACATTATATCTAATATATATAATTAATAAAATATTATATATTATTGTTTTGTGAATTAAAGCATTTCAAAAATTATAAAAATCGATTATCATTTAACTTAAGAAATTTGATTAAATAAATTTAATAACATTTGATATTCAAATATTTGATGAAATAATGAATGCTTATGTTCTTCATGTATAAATAAAAAATAAATCAATAATATTTTCAAATAAAATAGTTTTTTTGTTTATTATACAGATTTAGTTTTTTAGTCATAGACAGGCTATTGCATGAAATTAAGACATTTTTATTAAAGATTAAAAATTATTAATTTTATTCAATAATAATAAAAGATTAAAGTATTTTTTTGATCAAATGTACAGTACATGACTTATTAATAATTAACATTACACTACTATAGATTCTATAATATAGATGTTTTCATAAATTAATAAATACTGAACATTATTTTATTGTTAACACAATTTGTAAATACTTTATATTTAACTTATAATAATTAGGTAAGCTAAATATTTTGATACTTTTATTTTTTATTTTTAATTGTATTATTTAGGACATGATATTATTACAATTATTATTGTAAAGAAAATAATTAATTTTTATAGTAACTTAATTTTAAAAAAAGTAAAATTGCTTTTATATTTTAGAAAATACAGTATATGTATATTAATTATTTTGTATGAATAGGAAAAAAATTGTTAGTTAATTGACTTATAATAGTATCTCCATAAAAGTATATCAATGATGATTACCTTATATTTCAAGTTTATTAAACTTTTCATTTATAATATAAAGGACATTAACTTTTGTCATATATTAGTTTTTTTTAAAAAATATTAAGCAAACACTGAGAGCCGCACTCAATACAACATCACTGCAATACAGTCGGTACTAATGAAGTCAATAATCTATTATTTGCCTAATATTTGGCTTATTTTAAGAAATATCTTTTAATTTAACTATTAATATAAATTATTTATAAATATTGATTATTTTTGCCTATTAATATAATTAATTTTTTTATTTGATATAATTAATAATAATTTTACATTCAATCTTATGTTTAATTTATTTTTATTTCAATTGTAGTAAAATAGTTATTTACTTGAAAGAAAATATTATAATATGTTTTTAATATAATAATTAAATTATATTTTTTATTTTGCATCTCATAGTTGTTTTATTAAAATGAGACAACTTGTAAGTTATTAAATAGTTTCAGTCAATTATGAATAGATTTTTAATATTATAAAATATTTTGAACATAAACTTTATTTAATCAAGTTATTCATAATTATAATTTTTAAAATGTATGTTTATTTTTATAATAAAAACAATTTATTAAGTTTAGTAATCTAACAAAAAATTTACTATTTAAAAGGCATTTATTTTTCAAGTAAATCGAAAAATCAATATTTTATTGAAAAGTTAAAGATATGTGAATGTATTGCTTGGGTTAGAAATTGAGAGAATTTTTTCAAATAACTATTGCCTGAAATGGGGCTTACATTTCAATCATATTAATCATTGACAGAATATATGTATAAAAAGTTAAGAAGCGATGCTTTTATAGATTAATTCTTAATATATTTAAGTAATATTTAGGAAAAGTTTGCCTTTTAAAGTCATTTAAAGCAAATACCTTATGATAATATAAGTGAAAAGAGGAAAAATTAATAATATTTGAAATTTTAAGTCAAATATTGAGTCAATAGGAAAATACTTATTTTTGAAAATGAGAAGTCATTTAAAAAGGACTTCATTTAATAAAAATTCCGATTTTTGTTTAAAAATAGGAAACGAAACCTAATCTGTAAAGAGCTTTGAAAATAAGTTATTACTAAAATTGATTAACAGTAGAGTCAAAAAATCGATATAAAACATATACTATTGAGAAAGTGAATCAGTTTACTCATACATAGCATAACGAATAATACAGTAAATATATATATATTTTAGGTATAAATATATAGTAAACTGTAAGAAACGTGTGCTAACTGTGCGATCACACAAAATGCACATAAACTTCAAATTATGAGACAAAACGCGTTGAAATGAAAACAGGATTTTATTTTTTGTAAAAATATTTGATTTTCAACTCAATATAATCAAAGTATGTTTTAAATGGTATGTCGTCTCGTTTATAGCCCATCTCACAGTTTTTCATACATAAACATACATTGGGTTTGGGTATCGATCGCACGTCAAGATTTGTCTGGTTATTATAGTTTATATAATTCTTTAAAAATCTTTAAAATTCAATTCAATAATAATTGTATTATTTCAATGAGAGTCAATGAATGAGTGAGTGAGAGAGTGAGTGAGTGAGAGAGAGAGAGAGAGAGAGATTTTATCGCACAAATCGCTTATATAATAAGGTTATTATTGAGCAAAATTGAGAACTGTATGTGATATAAAATATCAGTACATAACATGTAATTCGGACCATAAGACAGGCCAACAATTGAATGGTTCTCTGAATAATTGAATGAAATCGTTATAAAAGAGTATATTTGTTGTATTTTATGGCCATTTGTTAGCCATAAAAGAGCGGTAATACAAATGTTTGTATATTTGTTAGGTTTTACTCTTGCATTTCATATTCACTAACATTTCTTCAAACATTTTTTTACAAAATATTCTTTCTTTTGATACTTATTTTAAAAATACTTCAAAAAAATACTTATTTATTTATATCAGAATAAATATACCAAAGATACCAGAATATATATATATATATAAGAGATAAGCAAGGTTTTGGATTTTAGGGGGGTATAGGGTAAGGTGAACATTTTAAATAACAATTTTTTCAAAATTTAAAAATCCATGGGTCAAGAGAAAATTCCCGAATATTCCTATATAAATGAGAAGAAATTCCCAGAAAATTGGTTGAAATTTCTTGTAATATTTTCTTAAATTATTAAAACTTACATTTTTACCAAAATCTTAAAAACAAATAATTTTTTATTTAAAATTTAATATTTTAAAATAATTAATAAAAATATTATTGGTATATAGTATAATTAATTATTATTTTTTTATTTTATTGAAAAGATTTTCAACTTTAAACATAATTACTTTATTAAACAAATAGTTTAATCATATAATACTTAGTGTCTCAATTCATTACCACCATCGACACCATCAACTAATAAACTAGTGATTAAACACTCGACTGCAGACTATATGATAATAATACTAATAAAACCGATGGTCTTATAAGTTGTTAAAACATATCAGTTAATTAACAATTAAGTAAAAATTTTTTTAATTCTAAAATTTAAAAAATATATAATTAAAAAATTGGCGTCCAAATTTTAGGGATCTTTTTATCTTAGTATTTAAGCAACAATTTTTTGATTTAGTTTTAAAAAAGTCTAGGGGATAAAATGGCCTTACCCTACACCACCTCACTTTGCTTGACCCTGATATATATAATATACTGTATATACTGTATATAACATTTATACATATATAAATATATATAGTTATAACACTGTACTAAATCTTAGTTAATTTTGTGCTTCAAATACTTACTATTTTAGACGTTTTGTAAAATGATTGACACTTTTGAGTCGAGTCTAACAAAAGTAAAACTACAGTACATTTATCTTAAACTTTCATTAGAAATGTTTGGATTTTCTAACAATTTTACACTAATATTGATTGACTATATTTTCATAATAATCTTTAATATATATTTAATTTTCTAAAATCTAGGTTAGGCTTAAATTTTGAAAAATATATAAAAAACATTATTATAATTAATTAATACAAATGCATTTTATGTTGAAAATTTCTTATTTAACAAAGTTTTAATAAAGGTTTAGTTAAATAAAATTGTTAATAATGATTGTTTATATATGTATTTATTTATGTATATCATCTATAGGTTACCTCTTCCATGGTTTCTCTATACGATAATCTTCGGCACCGTTACTGTCAACTCAAAGGGAATGATATGTTCGGTATTATTGCTATTTTTAATGTTAATGTTTGTCATCCTAACGATTGCATTATTCAAGTGGAGTCTCAACGTAGGGATGGCTATTGTAATGTTTATCTTGTATTTCATATTTATAGCCATTTCATTAATGCTTGAAAATAATACTATTAAATGTTCTTCCATTATAAACATAATTTGATTTAATATTATCATTGCTTTACTTATTATAATCAGTAGTAAATAAAATATCCTAACAATTATTGATTATAAGTAATTAAATTTAAATATGAAATTTTGCTTAATATATTATTAATAATGCCTTTTCAAATAATAAAATGTCAATATTTTTAAGCAATAATATTTTATTATAAAATTTAATTTACAGATAGAAAACATTGAATAATTATGATATAATATTATTAATAATATAAATTCTATGCACCAAATTAAACATTTATGATAAATTTTAAAATTATTTAAATTAATTTGTATTTTAAATAAAGATTATTTAACAATATGATATTATACATAATATATAGAGAAAAATGTAAATAATGTTATTATTTTATTTAAATAATAAAAATCTAATTATAAAATTAACAAAATGATTCATTTTATTGTTTAATATTTCTACAAATATTATACTACAATATAATTTCGATTTCGGACTTTTCAATAAACTTAATTAACTTGTGGTCAATTTATGTATTGTTTTAATAATTAATTAATTGTATGTTTATTATTATTATTATTATTACAATTAATTAATATTATATTTATAGTATAATTAAAGGTATAACAAATTAATTAATGATTGTTTGTTTTAACTTTGCATACATTCCCACAATTTAGTTTCGTTTCATTTGATGAGCAAATTTGTTATGTATTATTAATAATAATAATAATAATTTATATCATAATGTTGTTATATATTTACAATAAAATTAATATTTGTTTTTTATTTAACACCATATTTATAATTTATCTTAATTTTAATTATATGAATAATTGATTAGTATAATGATTATATATATTCTCTATTTTATTTACAATATATACAATATAATAATTATAATAAATATATACACAAAGCTAGTCAATTGGCTAACATTATCGCACAGTTGGGTATACAGTCGGCACATCCCTTGTCTTCCCTTTTCCTATCAGTTTCTGTGACTTTCATACAATAGCTCTCATTATTTCAAACATCGTTGCATTAATAGTATGTGTGAATCGATTTCTTCAAAATTACAACAAAATATATGGCATTTGAGCTGAAACTACATTAGAGTTCATAGTTATGAGCAATTGATTTAATTTTTTAAAACATTTGTCTAATAATTACAACACAACTATATTATAGGATATTCTAAATATTATCTCAAAATTAATATTTACAATTTGGTATTAATTTTACACTTTTATATATCAATATATAACTATAATTTGCTATAAATATTAGTTATCGTAAACTAAATTTGCTGGATATCAGAGCCATTAGAAAAAATCCACAATTTATTAATAATATGTGATAATGAATGGTATGCCATGACTTCATTGCACTGTTTGCGCTAAAATCCCTTTAATGTAAAAGATATAGTAATGTATTAAATGTAAAACAAACAAATAATTTATAACAATAGCTATAAATGTATATTAAGGGTAATCAAAGGGCTGTTCGTGCAGATTAGCCATCTCTAAGCTTATGTATCATAACAGACAACATATTAATTGTGACTTAAATTAGAAAATATGGATCTATTAATGGTAGGATAGTTACGTAATTCACCGTTAGTTATGATCATTATATTATTGAATTCAATGATACAACCAATCATCATATAACTGTACCACTAATTTGCACTATAGTATGACTCAAATATATTAATAATATTCACTTTTGTCTTTCACTTTCATTATATTTTGTTTTTTCATTATTACTAAAAGCTATCATAACTTATTTTACTACTTTCATAACAGTAAAAGAAAAAAATTATTTCGGCAAAACTAATGGCAAATAAAATTATAATAATTATGAATTAATTTCTATCAAAGATCATTAGCTTATTTAAAAAATTTTATAAAACACTATTTGTTAATAAACAAGTATTGTAATTGTAATCAAATTAATAATCATTATAATAGTCTGTAATAAATTAGTCTTATTAAACGATCAATATTGAAAACTCATATATTGAGGACAGGGAGATACACATACACTCACACACACACACAATAATGTTATGACTTATATCGACAAATTGATTAGTGTATAGATAGACATACCTCGCACTTCTCTTTCCGTGTTGTATAGAAGCTGCCGGATTGCCAGTGCTGTGGACATGGACTGCAATGTGTGCCGATTCTGCATTGGACGGGAAACAGCTATAGTTGCCGGAGTCGTTTGGCATGACTTTGTTTATAATTAATTTGGATGTGGTTTGAGACGACTTTACTGTTTGTACTTTTATACCGCGGGGAGAGTCGTAGTTAATTACCTGATTAGAGACATGTCTTTCATTAATCACTTTAAATGATCTCATTTAGCACATACCTCTCCATTGTGATACCAAAATATATAATCGGGTGGACCAGGAGTTTCATTGACCAAACAACTCAGATTTAGTGTTGTTCCGCTATTCATATGTATCGATGGACTGCCAACTATCCTGGCCTTTGCCACTAAATAGTTAGTGATATAAAATATGTGACAAATTTTTATAGATTATGTTAAAATATTTTTATCAGTTTTTATATATGCAGTAACATTATCACTAATACTGTTATAAAATTTATATACAGCAGTGAATCACATTATTTTTAAAAAATAAATAAATCATAATTTTAAATCAACATATTTTATCTTAATATAAAAATTTATTGTTATCTTATATGATATTCTTATAAAAACAGTAATCAAATTGGTTCATCTATTTTCATATTTATAGAAATATTGAATTGAATATTATATATTGTTAAAAATTTATGATTTTTATTTTCAAATAAATCAAATAAGTTTACATTAGTAAATTTGTTCAATTTTTATGTTAGACAATAAAATAAATATTATTACTATATTAAACAACAACAAAAATTAAATTGATTTTCAAATTAAAAAATTATATGTGAATAAAAATAAAAATCATAAAAATTTCATATTTAATATTTAATAATATTGCATATTTGCGTGTGCATAAATTTATATAACTTTACAATATTTATAATAATTTTTATTTAGTTTTTAATCCGATTTTTTGTCAATAACTTTATGAATATATGAGGATTTTTTATTACTCTGTTAACTCTGTATTGGAACAAATAATAAAAAGTAAAACATTGAATGTATTTTAGCTCCGGGATGCAGAATCACGGATGGGTTATATGTTGTAAAATATAAAAGAGATTGAAATTATGTAAAAAGACTAATATATTAAATTAAATTATATATTAAATACAATTTCATTCAATAAGTGTTTTAACAGTCAATATTGTGTTGCATTCTAATAAAAATATGTAAAATAAGTAAACTATTCTATAAATTAAGTTTATATTTAAATTAAAATTTTGTAGAAATTTTTAAATATTAAAAAGATTATTTTCCTAATATATAATTTTATAATATAAATATTAATAATTAATTTAATATAACTAAATCAGAATTAGGAAAAGGTAAAAGTTATATTTAAATTAACATTTAAATTTAATTAGTAAATAAAATTACAAATTATATATATTTTTAATTAAATAATGGTAATTTTAGATTTTAACAAAGTGTAATTCGTAAGACAATAAAAATTTTAATAAATTTACTTAAAGAAAAATTCTAGAAAGTTTTTTTAGTTATTAATTTTTATTTTATTAATATATTATGGGATCCTCAGATTATATAATGTTATTTTAATATTAATACATTATACAGTACTACTTTTACATTACAATATGGATTCAAATATACAGGTATAGTATTAATATAAATTTATGTTATTAAAAATGTTGAATTTAGTAAAATATTTATCTCATAATTCAATTTAATTTCTATTTATAGCTAATGAATATTATAACACCAAAATTAATTTATTATTGCTTAATAATGTATTGATTATTTTATTAATTTTGTCAACTTTTAATACTGATAAAATAATGCTAATAATAATAAAATTATTATTAATAGTTTTGGTGTATTATAGAAATTTAAATATAAATAAAACTAAGTTATTATAGGAAATGCTTATTAGGCATCCCATAGACAACACATTTATTTAAGAAACTCTAGTATTTTCTAGTTTTTAGAAATTTTCTTTAATTGCAATACATAAGCTTTTTAAATAATACGTGTATTGAATTTTTTTATATTAAGTTAAATTTAATGAAATACTCAATTAAGTTATAAAATTCTTTGTATTTAAATATAATAATTGAAATAAATTTTGCATATAATAGTAAATTTTATATTATGAGACGTTTATAGCTACTAATACTGAATTCAAATTATAGTTAATTTTTATAATACTCTAAATCTAGTTAGAGTTAAATTTAATTAAAAATACTGTAATAAATATAATTTGTATTAAAATAATAATAGTTATTATTACTGAAAATAGTTGTATTAAAAAAATACTTACCAATAACATTTAGTTCAATAAATAAACTCATTTTTGGTTGCGTTGATATCTGTTAGGATTATCAATAAAATATTATTAAAATATTCGTAATCATAATATAAGAACAAATTAATTTATTTCTTAAAAAACTTAACTAATTATTTTTTAATTAAATATTATAATTAATATTACATAAGAAAATTAAGTTATATATAAATCATTTATAATATTATTGGTATGTATGGTATGTCTAATACCTGGCACTCATAAATTCCGGCATCTTTTCTGGTGGGGAAACGTATCATAAGAGTCCAGTCATCGCTGTTATCCATATGAACGGCTTGAAAACGTTGGTCGGAAGTATAGGTAAATTTGCCCACTTTTTAGATTATACAACAAATTTAGACATTATTTTTACCAATTATTGGAATTTATAGCTAACCTGTAATTACATGAAAGTCTTTTTTGCGAATCCACGACACCTGAGACAAGAATGTATTGAAACCAATAGTCAATAAATCGTAATTAATTTTTTTATACAAATAACATTATATTGGCATTAGTTTATATTCAATGTTATGTCTTATAGTAATAGCAACAAAATGAGTTAAATTGCAATATAAACTAAACTTAATTAGTAACTAATTATTTTAACCATAATTTAATCAAACATTTTCTTGTATTTGCTAATTGTTTTTTAAATTATTAAAACTTCAAAAATATATTTTATTAGTTATTCATATTTGATAACATATAAGCCCTAAAATTTTAAAAAAACTAAAATTAAATAGTTATATTAGGACACTAACTATTTTCTTTAATGTTTGTTTAGATTAGTAATATCTTTGGTATTTTATTGGCTCTAATGTATATAAATTATATATAAAAAATATTACTTTAAAAAAATATTATAAATGAGCAATAAAATATTTAATATAATTTTATTTGATCTTTTAAAATTTAAATATACAGTATATATATTGTATACTATAAATAAATCTAAAATATTAATATTATATAATTAAAATATATTAATAGTTACAAAAATGTCTTGGAATTACAAATTAACTTATTAAAAATTTAATTAAATAGTTTTATATACTTAAATAACGTTTATAATTATACATATTTTTCGATAATATTTAAATTATTTTGACATATTTGACTTTTCACATGCAATTAAATCATGCTTATAAAATATTTTTTATAGAGCAATATTATATAATTATATTAAATTTATAAACTAAAACAAAAATATTAACTTTATTTATTTATAAAACAAAATTTTAGAGTTGACACTTGTAATTTTGTTAATTTATTTAAATATATTGTATTATATGAGTACTATACTATACTATACAGTAGTTAGTTTACACAAGTATTAACGGGTTTATCCAGTATTGAGTTTCAAAAAGAAATTTACATTTAAATAAAATTTACTGATTATCATAAAAATAAAATACTCTAAAAATATATATTAAAGATTGAGTTAATACAATAGTATAATGGAAATAGTTTTTTGTTATAATTGTAAGTTTAGAAGCAATATCTAAATAAGTGAAGTAAACGTCAACAATAAGGATAAGATGGATATGAACTCAATGTGGAACTCAAAACATAGCTATTATGCGCTCACAAAGTTTCAAAGCAAATACAATAATATATTTTAAGTTAAACTCGTTTTTATCGATTGTATGATTGAAAAGTGATTTATTACAAAAAAAATTTTTCCATTACTTAGAAGTTTGTGTAACTTTTGTTAACGTATTTATCTTTTTAAACGTTATTTCGTATTAATATTGATTATTAAAGGCCTAACAGTAATTGAAAGAATAAACATCTTAATAATAAATAATAGAAAAAATCTTTACTTTTGTTTTAGTCAATTATTGTTGAAAATCTCAAATGGTTTAATAGGACAGGTAGTGTCAAATGTAAATAAGCAATTATCCGATTAACAGACTTACTCTATGTTATTAAATATTAAAGCAAATTAACATTAGCCGTTTAACTTTATAAATATTGCATTAAATAATTAAAAATATATTCTTATTTTATTTTTTTGCTACTCTATTGATACCATTGACTATATATTTTTTTATTTATAAAACTAACTTATATTATACATTTAAAAAATTAGGAAAATCAAAAACGATAAACTATTGTCAAAACTGAATTGTAATCATTTAATTTGTAATGAGATTTCTATTATTTATAGCAAAACTTTTGTATTATAATTTAATATTATACTGTACATAAAATAATAATTTTATTTTCTATATATTACATTTTTATCAATTAATCAATATCCTCAATAAGTTATATATTGCAAAGAAAAGTTACATATTTCATACAAAATATATTAAAATTTTATTTAGTGGTTAAATATTATCATCAATGATTAATGAAAAATACTGTAAAAACATTGTACAATATATAAATAAATATAGTTATTGGATATATCAAATATATACAGCATATATCATATATACAGTATATATACAATGAATTGCTTGTTACAAAAAAAAAGTTATTTATATAAATAATTAAATTAAAAACTTTTTTTATTTATCTCTTTATTATTATTGTAAGTTATATTGCATTTTGGTTTTAAAACTTATGTTTTGTTTTGATCCAAAAATTTGCTGAATTTACTATAAAATAAACGCTAATCTTAAAGGAAAGACTTAAAGGACTGTAAGGACTGAGAGAACGGTTCAGTCATAATAAGACCGGCTTTTGAATTAAAGAAGCGTTTTGTGAATCAAACTCACGGACCATATATTTAGTCAAAGAATTACAGAAGTGTTTAATACTCTGGTCTGCGAAGGCTTTTGTCCGCATCACTGACTGTCAGTTCACTCAAATATATGGTATGTGTGTATGTGTTGGTGTGTTGTGTTTGCCAGTGCTCTCAATGCCTGTGCATTGACTGCCTGTGCTGTGCCAGCACTCCATTACTAACTATATCTACAACACTAAACAAACTCTCTTTTTATAAGTTTATTCTCTAAACTCTTTTATATTTTTGCTCACAAAAAGTTAACTCAAAACATAAATACATGGAAAACATAAAAATATATATAAGTAATATGTGATCTACAAAACGATAAGTTTGCCAAAATTTTTATACATGTTTGATATTAGAGTCATTTTATGAAATTATTGAATAACAACACAAATTCCATAATAGAAGACAAATATACAGTATATGAAACTATATATGCATTTAGTTAATGAATTTGTCAATAAAAAGTACACAAAATTATATATTCAATTTTGTGATGTATTTCATTTTATCCTAATATTTGATTGCATAGAAATATCACGTATTTGTTACTCTTCTATAATAGTATTTAATTCACTGCCAAATATTAAAAAATCTCTTTGGTTTGCCTTTTATTGATCTCAAAGTCATTATTGTGAAGAAACCTTTAAATAAATTCATATTCAAAAGTTAGTAAAAATTGTTGTTATGTTTAATGTATTTTTGAGTTAATTAAAAATCTATTTTAAACTTTAAGCCAATTACTTGAAACTTATCAAATATCACATTAATTCCGACTCTATATTTAAGATATCTTTTCATTACATTACTAAATGATATTATTTTGTAAATAATAATGAATATAAATACTGTATGAAACAATACATATAATTATTTATTATATATCTACATGTAAAATTATATAAAAATTATATATGTGATTTGAATAAAAAGATTGTAAGATTACGCTAATTTTAATTAACTAAAAACAATTATGAAATTGAAATTAATTACTTTTAAAATTTTATATACATTTATAATTGTATAACGTTATATATGCCATAATATTAAATATCTCATGTTATCAGTTAAATTAAAAGTGCAATATATAGATATTTTTTGTTATATAATAAATTCATTTTATTACATTCATATATTATTTACATACTGTAGATACAGTATATAATAATATAACTTGCTATATATTGTATATACTTTATAATTAAAATACAGTACATATTCAATAAATTTTTATTCAACAATATACTCAAAACAAAAGTATAGCTAATGATAAGTTTTACAATAGCCAACTATAAATCTTATTAATAATAATAAACAAGTTATATGACATATTGATAATACATCCACATTATATAAAATAAGACAATTTATATATTTTATTAAAAGATGTCAATTGCTAAATAAGTCATTTGCCAAAACAAATTAAATTGTTGTCACTTATATAACACTAGCAAATAAATTATTATAGCAAAATGTTTAGTTCAATTTTATATAAAGTTATACCACATACTGTTATTAATATTTTTGTTTTTTCATATAATCTTTTTTTATTGTAAACTCAGTCAACATTGTTGTGGTGTTTTAAGAGTATGTCTGTGAGTTACACTTATACTTATACTAATAGTAAAACTTAAGATACTTTAATGTAAAGAAAAATATCTTTCACTTTTGTGCAAAACAGACATTTTATTTCAGTTTTTTCAGTTAATGATTAAAAAAAATCTATTTCTTTACATACAAACCACTCATATAACATAATGTAAACTTTAAATGGGAGGAGAAACTCAACATTAGTTGAACAACAATATACAATAATGCTATATTTAGCAACATTATCGTAATGCTATTGCTTTTATTGACTTTATAATAGTATATTACATATCATACCCAAATATCACCAAATTAGCATATATTATATATATATATTATTTTTTCCAATAACTTTGATTATTATATGTACTGTATAAAAAATAATTTATAAAAAGGACTTATTTTTAGGAATCGGCAAATTTAATTAAATAGTTTTAATATATGACAAAAATTAAAAAATCTTATGTAAAGTCAAACTATTTTACAAATATAATACAAGTGTCACTTGTAGACTATCAACAACAAAAAATATTTACAATAAGTTGAAACAATTTAATTTAATTACCAGATTATATTTCACATAACAAACAGTATATACACATTGTATACACAATATATGAAAACAACAAAATACATCCTTTTTTACACTACAATAGCTGTACTTAAGACATGAATACATTAATTGTTATAAGGAATGCACTTAAAAAGTCTCAAACGTTAGCAAAATATCTTATATCCTCCGGCAATATACTATAATACAATATAAATTAAATAATGCAAACTTTACAGGAATTTATACAGAAATATAAATAATAAATTTAAATATTTTTAAAAAATAAAATAGATTTATATATTAAAAATTAGTTAAATTACTGTAATCACTAAATTAATATAAGATATAAGAATTATTAATTAATATAAATTCTTAATATTATATTATTTTTAAAATATCAGAATATTCTCAATGTGTACATTAGATAATATATTTGAGAGTTGAAACTGTATTAGTGATACAATCTGAATATTATTATATTTTTATAATATATAATAAATATCTGCTCAATAAAATCAGCTAACGATAGCTTCTATTCATGTTTTAGATAAACTCAAAATATATAACAGTATATTGTCTAACAATAATATTACAAACATAATGATATGGATGGGCCATACATTTAAAATTGTATATAAAAGTACTGGTTTTTCTCAAATTTTACTCCATTATAGTTAAATAGATGCAATCATTAGATCATAAAAACACAATTTTGAAGTTTAAGAATAAATATCTTTTGTGTGTATAAATCAATTCACTATATATTTTACAAACTATGAAAGTTATGCGTTTGAATGCATAATATATGGTGTGTTATGCGATAAAACAAATTTGTTGTAAATATAATATAAAACATGAGGAGTATATTAAAGCATTTTAAACATAAAATAATCCTATAGTAAGATTAACTCTCATAGCTTATCCTTTGGCTTATTATTACTGTATTTATTTTGATAATATTATATTAAACTATAAAACATACAAATATATTTAATACAAATGTTTTTTATACACAATATTAGCGATAGAAGATTATAGTTTAATAATCAATAAATTTATTTACTTATTTAGAATTTATTATTATCTTTATTCCAGTTTATTTGAAATATATAGTAAAATTTGATTTTATAGTATACTATAAATTTCATGTTTACGTTATGCGTATTATATTATTTAGTATTTATTTTGTAAAAACAATTTATCATATTTTTGTAATAATAAGTTGATTGCAAATAATATAGTAAAGTAATGTTAGTATAAAATAGATAAGATATATGATAAAATGGAAATTATATGTATAGAAGTATATAATCGATGTTAATGTTTAAGGATATGAGAAAATACTAAATATTTAAAAATTTAATTATTTTTTGTTGCTTTTATGAAATGAATCTGTTTTTACAAAATATTCTGTATATATTTTTTATATTAAATAATTTAAATGATTAAGTTTAAATTTATAATAAAATAAGAAAGTATTTTTAAAATTTTGAAAAAATAAAATTGTTGTTATTATAATATATGGATTTTACAGTCACAATTAATATATTTATAATTTTTATATATTTTATTTTACTGTATTATAAATTATGTTTATTTTAAATTTAAAAAATGACTTATACTGTAAGTTATAACATATAACTCTTTATGTGTTTTTGCAATTTAAATAAAATATAGTAAGCAATAAAAGTGAACACTATATTACATTTCCATTGAATTCGTGTATTGCTTACAGCACTGGTATTTCATAAATCACTGGTATTTCATTGATCATCAGTAGTATCAATGAAATGTTGGCCTATATTACACTTTATCACTAATATAATGATTGACATGTGTTTCTCATAAAAAGTAAACAAAACTTTCAGTATTTTATTTAAATTAAAGAAAAAACTTTGTTTTCTTTAGTTTGAAAGATGTAAAAAAAATATTTTTGTTATTATATTGTATTTATCATAATTTATTTTTTTATATAAATATTTATTTAAAAAAAGTTTTTTTTTAAATTGTCAACAATTATTATTTTAACATTATTATTATTATATGATATGTTTGTTACATTAGTATGATTGACGTACTCTATCAACAAAAAACAGTAAGTAAGTCCTGGGGTAGTTTTGATAATATCTAATATTGATGAACTCATACCTATACTGTAAATATATGTATAGGTGCCCTGTAGGCTGATTCACATTAAATATTTTTTCATTTACTTTTTAAAATTTTTTAATTTGTCTTAACAATAATATAACATCAATAAAAATGTTTCAATTCTGTGTGATTTTATATAAATATTTTCTTTTAATAAATTTCTATTTTATTAATTTCTTTTATTGAAAATAAAATTTAAAATAATTATTTTTAAATTCAATTAATATTAATATTTATTTGATTCGATTCGATAATATATATTATTATACAATTTATTTCACTAATTATAATATATAAATAATTTATTCTCGATTTAATTTTCTCTTTAATAGGCAACTAATAAATGATTTTGTTTGCTTTATAACTCATTAAGTATGAGTTATTTATTATTACATACAATTATTACACTAATAAAATATTAATAACGAATTGTTTATTATAAACTAAATTTACATATAAAATATATTAAGGTTTTCGTTTAAGTTTTTTTGTTTAAATCCATTTACAATAAGCTTAATGTTTACCAAATACTTTTTATAAAACATGATTGTTATTAAGATTCAGTTGAATTGCTATTCAATACTTTAATATATAAATTGAGACTCTATTTAAGTACTACTTTAAAAATGGTTTTAAATCTAATATTTAAGTCTTATTGTTAAATTCTTTTCAATATATTACATAAAACTGAATAATAATAATTAATAATAATAATTATTATTTTAGACTTGTTTTTAATTTTATTTTGTAGAAATAATTTATCATATTTTTGTAATAATACACATAATAAGTTGATAACATATAATACAGTAATGTAATGTAAGTATAAAGTAGATAAAAATATATTAAAAATGGAAATTATATGTATAGAAGTATATAATCGATGTTAATGTTTAAGGATATGGGAAAATACATCCCTGTTTGGGATCATACTATAAATTTATATATTTATATATTTATATTTTCATATTTTGTTTGATATAAAAATTATATCCTTTTGAAAATCCAATAAAAGAAAAAATATGTTTTACAAGATTTTTCTTAAAAACTCAAAATAAAAGTGAAAATCTCAACAAATTCTTATATTTTGTCAAAATTCTGTTTTATTTCATTTTTCATGAATATTATAAAATTAAATAAAAAAATATTTTTCATTTTAAGTTCTTTATTTTATTAAAGATGTCAATTTTTGAATTTTTGTTTAATATATAAATGTTTTTACACCAATAATTGTCAAAATATTTTTGTAAAATAAATTTTTATATAATATGAAATTTAAAATCTATGCTGATTTATTAATAATTAAGTTTAAATTTTGAGTCTTAAAATCATATATTATTATAATGAAGAAACACTTATTGACAATTGATAATATTAATTATATTGATAATAATTATAATAAATACAAACTTACAGTTAAAATTTTTTAATTAATTATACAAATTATAAATTATTATACACTTATTTATTAATTTTAAAAATTATTTTTTTCCTGTGATTTATTTACCGATTTTTATGTGCAGTTAAAAAAAGCCGAGATTTTATGCAATATACTGTACAATATTATACTTATTAAGCTCTATAAGCAATAGGTCTATATTAAGTTTTTATTTTATAGACAATTATTTTGTTGGAAATAACAATTTTAAATAATTTTTCAAAGTATACCACAATATATTAAATATTATAAATTTTTTAAAAAATTTTTATAAGCGTTTTATATTATAACTGAAAGTGCACAACAAAAGTAAAAATTGAATATAAATATATATTAAATATTTCTAAATTATTTTTAAAATATGATTTGAAATAAAAATATGTATAAAATTTCTGTCAAAATTTTAAAATAATTTATATATTAGTTTACAATAGTGAACACAAGTATGATTTGAAATAATTATTAAATTAAATTAATTTTTTTACTTATACTGCATATAATATAACAGTATAATAAAATTTTATATACTTTATTAGTTTTTTTTAAAAATTATTTTAATAATAATAAATTTTTGTTTTATTAATAATATTTTTAATATTATTATTTTATTTAAAGAATTTTTTAATTAAATATATTTTAAGTTTTGTGATAATTCAATTAATCAATCAATAATAATATTATTTTTATAAATAATGTTATGTTATTTGTTATTTAAAAGTATGAATAATATGAGGTAAAAAGTGAAACATACTGTGCGATCTCCCAATTGATGGACACGACACGGTAGATAAACAGCAGCCGAGCCCTCGGATGTGGTTATGTTAGTTGAATGGAGTTTACTATCAAAATATGGTTCAATGCGATGATTATTGTAAAGCATGTGATGAAATGGGAGTCCATCGATGCGATCATCACTTCTATCATTAGCCATCACATCATAGGACTGACTCGATATGAATCCTAATCGCCGAAAGCGTTGATGTGTTTGCTCTAAGCGTGAAAAATCTAAGGCCAGGCCTACAAAATATAATTATTAAATAAACTTAACCATCAGGTCTTATCATATTTATAACAGTAATTTATAGTATATACAGTATATTTATTTATAAAAAACTAAAAAGCGGTCTTTCTTTATATTTATACAATATAAATATTGCATTGAATTTATTATATAATTATATTTAAAAAATGTTAGTCAAGTAAGTTTATGTTGAATTTTTGCTCTCATATATCTCTAACAAAGATAAGTCACTGTATTTTTTGTGTCCATTCATTGAACTACTGTATACTATGAATGCTTGACTGCTCTCCTCCTTCTCCTAAATATTTATAGTGAATATTGGTTTTACTTATATATATACTGTATATATATAGTACTGTATATAAGATTATATTCAGTGCTCTATAATGTATTGCAATTCTCTATTAAGATATTTCTTCCAAAATTTTTGAAAACCAGACTTTAGATTTAGTGATGAGTTTTTTCAAATTTATTATAAATGAAAGCAGCGATAGATTTAAAACAGAAAGTAAACAAAGAAATGATATGATATTTGAGCTGAAGTTAAACCACAAAGGATTTAGAAATGATATCTTTGATGATCAACAAAGCAAGTGATGCATACACTACTGTATATATATATATTGTAAGATATATTCACAATGCTATGCCTTAGCATATGTTTATATGTTATATGATTGGAGACCATTGTGTGCAAGCATTTAGAAATGCATCAAAAGTCAGAAAAGAGGCAAAACTTTGAAATCATTTGAAATGTAGACAAGAGATGACTTAAATCAATAAAAGTCCTGAACTGAGACAACCAGATCTCTGATGATAGGCTATGGTTATGGTTAGTAAAAGCATTGTTAGCACAAATCAATAATAGTTGTGAGCATTGAATGCATCACAACTTTTAAGTGTTTAGTGTTTAGTGTTTACAATTGTGTTTTATGGCCTCATTTTCTCTCATTTCATCATATATTCATGTTATCAGTCATTTGGTCTAACCATATAACTATATTGTATGACTATATTATATAATTTATATATATTAACCGTTTGCTGCTTTTCATAACCCAATTACTGTATAGTCATTTCAGCCATTAGTCCAAAATTAATTAATTTACAACAATTTTTTAAAGAATACAATGAGAATTATATTTAAGTCTTTCATTAATATAGTTTATCACTGAATGTTATACTAAGTTATTATAAAAAGTCATTTAAATAACAAACAATAATCAGTGCTGTCCTAAGCACTACATATTGTTTGTATAATATTCTATAATTTATATTATATATCATATACTCTAATAATACAATAGACTAACTATTGACTATAACTGAGTCTTTGTAATCAATATATAAATGGCAAACAAATTAGTTTTAAAATTTTGTTTTATAAATAATCTGAAAATGTCATCGCATTTTTCATCAAAAATCTAATAACTTTTAATTCAAATGATAAAGTTTGCCAAAAGCCTGAGTTTGTCTATTATAGAAAAAAGTAAAAGAAAATATATATAATGTTTAACCGGGAAATAGTTTTGTCGATAAATTTGGCACAAAGCCTACAGTCTGTCCAATAAAACTATTATATAAAACTCATGCGAAAATGTTTTTACTGTTTTTGACTAAAATAACAGCTTATGAATAACATTATGAGATAAATAATTAAATTCAATTATTAATATAATATTATTAAGCAAAATACTATTTAAACATACATATAGAGTTAAGACAAATATCTATTGTGTTATTTTATATATTGCCATATAATACTAACTGTAAGTGTGCTATAAATTGAATATAATGTTATAACTAAGTGAAGACTTGATAGAGATATTTCATTTATTATATAAAGAATAAAAATATGCACATAAAGTGATGGCTAGTATAATAGATATGATAGATATGATAGTTATGAGAGTGGGATGACATATATGACATATACAATGATTATGCTGTTGTATTGAGAGATAGTCATAGGTATTAACTTACTATAAGTGGATGATATTGTCATTATTGATATTAAACACATGAGAAATAGTGAGCCTTTTGGAAGTATTGCGCTGTAATACAGTCTATGTCTTGAATTACTTTCATTGGACTGCAGATGATGTTCATTGCAATGATATCCAGTAATCACAAGATTGAAACACCGATAAAAATGACTCATTTTCTGCTGATTTTACTCTTTATTTAGTTGGACGACAATGTCTTTTAGATCACAACTTGACATAACTCTTTCAATTAATTTGTTTAACAATTTTAACAAAAACCAAGTGACCAAATCAGTGACATTACAATTGAAAAATAACACACAATTCACTCCTACAGTGACTTATTATTGCAATTCTCGGCAAATAACTAACCCAAGTGTCTGTTAGTCGATATATAGTCAGCACTTGCGCTAACAGTACGACAACACCACTTCATAGCAGATCCACTGCTCTCACATCCAAACAAATCTACAGACTCTGTGAACAGCGCTCTTCAGTTGTCTACTGGCGTACCATATCCTGTGCCTATGCTCTAGCCTTACATCGATTTATCTCTCTCTCTCTCTCTCTCTCTCTCTCTCTCTCTCTCTCTCTCTCTCTCTCTCTCTCTCTCTCTCTCTCTCTCTCTCTCTCTCACTCACTCACTCACTCACTCACTCACTCACTCACTCACTCTCTCTCTCTCTCTCTCTCTCTCTCTCTCTCACACACACACACACACACATACTTATTGACTCTAAGTCTACCCTCTATTTTGTAATCTTAATCGAGCTGTCCTTTACAGTGAAGGCATTTTCTCTTTTATATCTATATCTATATATAACTTATAGTAAATGTTATGTTATTCAGTAGTGAATGAGTGAATCAATGATGAAATCAATAGAAGATAGACATAACAAACTAAACGGTTTAATTGGTAGATCCGGACCTTATCAGGACTATATGGACGTAGTTTTCAAATAAAAATCATCTCATTTGCTACCAATTGGTAATACAGTATATACTGTATATAATTTATTTTCTTTTATACTATTTTCCACTTTTATCTCTACATTTTAACTAGTCTTCAAAAAATTACAGTCAACTCAATACTATTCTGTATAGACAGTAGAATATATCCATAGTTTAACACCGAAGCACTCAAAAAACAGGATATAATGTATTGATTTCATGTTATATAAAGTATAATAAAGTTATAGATAAGTAAAGCACAAAAATCCGTTTTTAATAAAAGCCTTTATATGATATATAAATGTTTGTATATTATTGGGAATCGTTTTGCATTTTCACTAAACATTAGTAAAATACATTTACTATTTATTTTGATTTAAACATTGTATATGTGGGTCAATATGTCATACATTTACTTATTATGAGAACTATAATATACCCTATATATAATATATTCATAATTAACCATTAGTTACAATCAAATGTTTTTTATTTAAATATATTATCTAAATTGATATACTAAAATATTGTAACCAATATTTTTTAATAATTACAGCTAATTTTTACTAATTTTATCAAAATACATGGATGACAAAATTCATTATCAAAATATTTATATTTCAATAATTTGATTAAACTTCCAAAATGATTATTGATGAGACAAATATTTTTATCAATATTTTATTATATATAAAAATAACTAAAACAGACATTAAATAGATTGATTTAATACAATATAAATATTACAATAATAGTATAATAATTATTATTACTGTATAATAATTATAAAAAGTCAAATAATTCAAAATGTTTATAAAATATTTGAATAGATTGATTAATGTAATATAATAATATATTGTAGTAATTACTAATTTATCTACTGTATTGTGTTATATGATAAACTTAATAATAATTTAATTATAAGACTTAAATGTTAGCATAATAATTTTTAATTTTATAACAATTTTATAATATTTAAATAATTAAGTAAATAACTACATTAAATAAATTGTTAACTTTATTGATATATTATTTATTCTTATCAGTTATTGATAATATAAATTAATTACATAACTTATACAAATAATTTTATAAATTATTTGATTGACATAAACACATGTCTTTGTTAACAATTGATTGACCCATTCTTATAGAAATTAGTTTTATTATTAGTTAACAATTAGATTAAATAAAGAGACGTTTACTTCCGGATATTAATCATTGAATATTAAAGCCTTGTATTGTTTTTGTAGAGTTATAAGTGAATAATCGATTGATTATTGCATATAATAAATTGAAATACTAATAGAAATTAAGTACTACACTAATATAATATAAAAACAAGTTGAGAATGCTAGATAGCATTGCCAGAACACAACACTAAAAAATATATCTAATTTTTGTCTAATTATCAAACAGACCAACGAAAACACAGAATAGATGCATAGGTACTGATAGACATCAATTGACACGACATTAGACGGAAAGTCAGAAATGATTGACATTTATAACACGATTCCCGATGTTTGATACACCGATAAGCGTCGGGTTCGACACGACATACGATATGGATATAAATGTAAATCAAAGATCGGACAGATATAGCAATCTTATGAGTCTATAGTTGAGGGACAGACATTTGAAACTCAAAAATACTGACTCTTTTACATTAACTTTTCTTTTTTCCACTTTATATCAACTGTTAAAACTGATAAAATAAAACTGTAATTCATGTCGTTTTCAATATATAAATATTGTATAGTTTTCATTTAATTATTATTTTTATAATGATCTATGGTTTATCTATGATAGTTTTCAATGAAATCAATTAATAATAATTTAGTAAATATAAGACAATGAGATATGTCATTATCAATAAAATATAGTATATAACTAAACATTCAATTATATAACATAAAAACAGGTCTCTGACTGGGATTTGTTGATATAGTAAACTACAGGAATAGTTAAAGAATCGGATATTGAAATTTAAAAAAGTCATAAATGTCTAATGAGTTAGTCTAACATGAGGTCTGTTATCTACCTGTGCCTCAATTGTATTTTGTTATCAATACTAACAAACATATGCATTAACTAGACTTTATTTGACTGTATGTAGAATTATACGGTATTATTATATGTTATTATAAATATAGATCTTATATTATATATACAATATTATAAATTGCATGAATGAAAAAATGAGTGAATCGATTGAAATGTTTAGCAAATAAACTATTGATTTCTAAACACAATTCACTGAATTTAATGTTAAATCATAGTCTATATGTTATGTTATGTAAAAGATGTGTGCATTTAATGCCTAAGTCAAGTAAAAACAGCTCAACATTAGGGTTGGGAGTTATACAAAGTTTATATTACAAATCGTAAATACATATAATAAATGGTTAATTTAGTTATATGTACTGAAATTACACTTTAATTCTAGTACTAAATGTATTTATACAATATTTATCTATGTTTTCAATTATATATTTTTTATAGATATTTCTGATTAATACTGCATAAGATTCTGATATATTACTAAAATTGCAATAAATTATTTTAACAAATTCTTAATAATAATAAAATTAATAAAAACAAACAATATTTATATTATGCAATATTATATTATTCTATGTAAAAATTTCAAACCAATTTCTAAACCAATTCTAAATCATGTATTATATCAACTCTACTTAAAACATACAAATAATTTACATTCATTTATTCAATTTATTCAGTGATTCATTGAAAAGTTTATTCAAACGCTTACTTTTAACACTTTAATGTGCTGTCAATTGGATGGACATTAAGATACACTATATATACAACTATAGAATCTATATTATAGAGTGCACTCAATCTACTATACAAATGAAGTTTGTATTTAATAAGTTAATTAATTTTAAGAGTTTTCTCAAACAGTTAATTAATGTATACTGTATTTGCAAAACTATGAATAATAATAACAATTACAATATATTGAAACCCATTGACAACTTTAGGCAGTTTTTTGTTCAAATTTTAAGTAAACTAACCCAGAGTTGCAAATGTTAAACACATTATAATTTGTAAATTAGTATTTTCCACTTCATTGACTTTTTAACATTAAAATTATTTAATTAATTATACATAAAAATTAACTTTCATAAATAATTTTTAAATATTGATTTTAAAAGAAAATTTGAAATATTAAAATACACTGTTTTATAAACAATGTTTACAAAAAAAAATCAAAATCAATCACAATTTTGATGATAGGTTTTATTAAAATAATTGTTTAAAATGTCTGGTTTTGTCAATTGATATAATTTATGAATATTTATATGACTGTCATTTGATTCAATAAAGTATTATTATTTAAATAAATAAATATTATTATTATTACTTTGCATTTCAAATCACTTAACTTTAAAGTGATTTGATATTTAAATAATAATTGAAATAAATATCTAAAATCATTAATATTCAAACTTTGGTTATTAAAATCAAATACAATGATTGCTAACAATTTCATTGTTAATCAAAATATAATTAATTAATTAATTAATGATTTAAACACAATTACAGTTCAATTAAATGCATAGATGTTTAGTCGAAAATACTTTATTGCTCTCAATATTACAGTTAGTATACTATTATTTATTTATTAATATCATATGATTTATAAATATATGCAAACTTATAGTTAATGTGTAATACATTTTGTAATACATTGTATAAAATATAAATAATTTCAACTGAAAATATTATAATAATCCTAACGTTATATATGAATGATTGAAATATATTGAATGCTATGATTTGATTGGTTGTGTGTTTTCCGTTGCAAACTAAGAGCGCAAACAAACGATTAGACGTTTGAAACGATTCACTCATTCATTGAAATCAATTGTTTTAATCATTTTTATTATCAAACGATTTATTGATTAATTTAATTATTAATTACTTGTTATACTTATTTCATTCATCTGTATTGACCATCGATGGCCCCAATGTAAGACATTTAGTCAAATTGATTGATAAATTTAAATTAACTAATCATATAATATGTCTGTTTTTGACAGTCGGCCTAAAACCCCATTCAAGAAGTCTGGACCTCCGACTCGACCCAAACCTCCGAATCCAAACAATGTGTCCAACAAAGAGCCGGTCGAAGTGTTTTGCAGATTACGACCCGTTAATGTTTATACCGATGACATTGTGATCGAGAAAGTGGCTAATAATAACCACATCATTAGAGTGCGGCCACCAAATGGCGTCCAACGATCCGAACTTTTCTTTAAATTCAAACACGTTTTTACTGATAATACCAATCAAAAGGATGTCTTTGAAAACATAGCTTTTCCTTTAGTTACCGATTTGGTTAACGGCAAGAATGGTTTGTTGAACTTTTTACAACTTTTGTTAAAAATATAATAATTTATTGTTTCTAATGTTTGTCTTTTCAGGTCTTTTATTTACATATGGAATAACTTCTTCGGGAAAGACCTATACAATAGTTGGCACACCAGAAGAGCCGGGAATACTTCCCCGTTCTTTAGATGTTTTGTTTAATACACTGATTAATAACAATATCCAAAGCCGTAAATATGTTTTCAAACCGTCGGACTCCAACTACTTTACCATTCAGTCCTCTCCCGATGCCATACTTCAAGCCCAACGAGAGAATAAAGTATTTAAGACACCCTCAGCGCCCACTTATTCTACGCCTTCACGTACTCCACGATCGGCCAAAAAGAAAGAGAATAACGAAGAATGGGAACAACGACTTATTGAATCAAAAGTTATTGAAGACATTTGTTGTGATAATCATTACGCAATTTTTATTTCTTATGTCGAAATTTATAACAATTATATCTACGATTTGTTGGATGAAAAAATTGATTCGGTATTAAACACACGTCAGCCACAGTCTAAAGTATTACGTGAAGATTCGAGACGTCGAGTTTATGTCCACACCGGTACTGAAGTTGAGGTCAAAAGTGCTAACGAAGCGTTTGAATTGTTTATCAAAGGTGTCCGCCGGCGACGTATTGCTCACACAAATCTTAATACTGAGTCCAGTCGTTCTCATAGTGTGTTTACTATTCGTGTGGTTCAGGCGCCTCTCGATGCTAATGGTGCTGAAGTGCTTCAAGATAATCGCTTTCTAACCATTAGTCAGTTATCTATTGTTGATTTGGCCGGTAGTGAGCGGACAATTAGGACAAAAAATACAGGCGATAGACTTCGTGAAGCCGGTAATATTAACAACTCATTAATGGGTTTAAGGAACTGTATTGATATCTTAAGAGAGAATCAAACTACTGGTGCAAATAAAGTAGTTCCTTATCGAGACAACAAATTGACACATCTGTTTAAGAGTTACTTTGAAGGCGAAGGAACTGTCAAAATGGTTATTTGTGTGAATCCATCGGCTTCTGAATACGATGAGACTCTTCATGTTATGAAATTTGCCGAAACATCACAAGAAGTGATGATAAATAAAGCAATGAATCGATTTAATATTAGACAAACGTATCCCAAATTATGCGATAACATAGGCTCTGTAAACTTGGCCGCAATTAATATTATTGGACCAGCTTTTCCCACATGTTTTCTTGAAGATCCTGAAGATGATTCAGTTTATCCCCAATGGATTGAATGCCTTCAACAAAGACAGAGAAATAAGGACGAAACGTACGAAAAACTCAAACAAAATCAACTGATTGTTAGACAAAGAGTTGCCGCTATGGAGAATGAGAATATGTTTCTTAAACAACGGGTCGCTACTATTGAAATGGATTTAACAGCCAGAGAGGGACAGATCAAAGAGATGGAGAACAAATTGGTTCATAAAGAAAGATCAGATGATATCTACAAGAAAAAGATATCAGACTTGCAGAAGGAAAACCAAATGTTACGACAAAATTTTAATGACAAATCTCAAGAAGTATTTGCATTAGAAGAAAATGAAAAGACAATCAAAACCGTATGGAAACAGAGATTGGAATCAGAAAGACAAAGACTTAAAGATGTCTTTGAACACGTGATTACAGAAATGCAAAGAAAAACTGAAAGACAGAAAATGATTGATAAAAATAAGATGAATTTGGCTAAAGAAATATTGAACTCCGACTTAGATATTGATTATTTCAGAGACTATTTTAATCGTGAATTTTACTCAGCCTTTAAACCGTCTAACGCACCAAATGTTCACTCAAATGGTATCGATAGTCAGGCCAGTACTCAAACACCTCAACAAACGAAACGATCAAAGACTGAATACGATTTACACGCATATGGATCACCATATATTGGTTCCAACACTCCTCAAACGCTAACCAGTGTTGGAGGAGACGGTACTTCATTACATAAACCTCCTGTTGTAAATCCAAGACACCGACGCTCACTATCGACTGGTAATGAAAAATGGATAGATCACAGACCTCCCGGTACTATTGAATTGGGAACTGTTCTTCAGCCTCATATCAAAAATAGAAAATCTGTTTCTAAATTGAAATCATCAGATATTCTTAGAGATGCCTCGAAGTATGCATTGACACATCACGAGGCAAACTGTGATGGAGAGGTCGAAACACAAGTATTCAAAGGAGAGGTAATTCCGTCGAGCACTGGCGGCGCACAAGTTATCTTCAATGATATCGAGACTCTAAAACAGAGTTCTCCTCCCGGAGCCAGGTTTACTGTCATTTAATTGTCTTAATTTTAGCAATTTTTTGTTTTATTTATTATTTTATTTTTAGAAAGCGAACAGTTAGTGACACTCGACTTTTGTCACCACAATTGCCTATAAACCAAGTCATAACAGAAGCTGATGTCCACAACCCACCTATCGGTATCTCAAAGTAAGTCATTGTTTAAAATAAATAATTTTTTAATTTACTAAATAATTTTTTAAATTTTATTTTGAATTTTAGACGAAGCCGTCATTAATATTTTTTCTAAATTATGTATTCATATTTAAATATTACTTATTTTATAATTTTTGGAAATATTTTTTTATTCACTTTTTGTCTACTTATCTGTAATACTTTTTCTTATAAATATAATATATATATATTGAATAAAATATTTCAATTGATTTTAATTAATTTTTACGGTTGAATCAATAATAAACACTATAATGTTGTGTTAAATTTAAATTATGTGGAAAAATAAATGCATTAAAATTTTATGGCTAAGTATTGCATAAGTTATATAACAATTGATTGCAAACATGCGTACAATACATAAATATCTTTAAAAGTCAAACAAATGATAATTTTATTGCAATTGATTTGATTGAAGACATTAATTGTTATTTCATTAGTGAATCAATTATGAGACAAATATATTGGTTTCTTATACATTGACATCACTCATAAATGTTAACCAAATAATGATTATATTAAGAAATTTGAGACCAACTCATTGTATAAGATATGGAGTAAAAGCAATACAAAATCGTCATTTAAATTACCGACAGACGACCCGATCGTTTTTGTCGGACAGGGATCGGGTCAGAGATTTCATAGCATTATTGGCGCCACAAGAAAGACAGTTCTTGTACGACGAGTTGCATAGATTGCAGCAAAATGTCAAACAAGACACTAATAGCGACAACAATTGTGTCACTTATCCTTCATTTCAAGAACTGAGAAAAGTCTTTTTCAATCAATCGCTGCCATTCATAGGATTTGGTTTTTTAGATAATCTCATTATGATTATTGCCGGCGACTATATTGACGCCACTATTGGTGTGACATTAGGTATTGTCTGTTAGAAATAAAATTTATTTTATATATAGATATACCATATATTGTATGTATTGAATGTCTATTTATGGTCAGGAATCTCAACAATGGCCGCCGCAGGGCTTGGCAACGCTCTGTCAGACATTGCCGGCATTGGATCAGCTTATTATGTGGAACAGTTAGCCACAAGAATTGGTGTTAAATCGCCAGATCTTTCATTAGCTCAGCTGCAGATGACTCGCACCCGATGGTCAATACAGTTGGGCAGAGCTTTCGGTATTACATTGGGTTGTATTATAGGAATGTTTCCGCTATTGTTTTTACCGACAAAAGCCGATAAATCCGGTGATAATAAGTCGCGTTAATTATTATTTATTAAATTTTCAATTTATTTCAATAAATTAACACTACATGTATTAACGTAATTAGTTTATTATCATTATTAGCTAATTTTATTAGAAATTGTTATAATATAGCTTTTAAACCAAAATATTAATTTAATATAATTTTTAGTTCATTTTATTCTAATTGCCTTATATTATGAATTCATATTATTATTAAAAATTAATAATTATTTGACTTAATTTGTCAATTATTTTACAGTCACTTACAGACACAGTTGGTTAAGATTTTGAATATCATATATATTTTATATAGATTTATATATTAAATATATGATAGTAATTGACACCTTGTTGTGTTAAATGTCCAATAATTGAGCACTATTTCAAAAATGTGGTCACTTTTATATGAAATTATCATTGATTTAATATGACTTTATTAGGATTAACAAAGTTGTCATATTTTATTATCAAATTACTTAACACTTTTTTAATGCAATTTTACAAACTTACGGTACGAAGCAATTAATCATTTAATCAATTATCGTAAACTTGTTAAAAATTACATATATTTTATAGTGAGTTCATCTAAAGGCAGTTAATTTTTATCATATATTTATATTACCGTAAATTTAAGCACAAATATTGCATTAAAAAATATTACCAGTATATTTATCTTTTTTTTAAATTTTAAAATATAACATTTGTTTATTTAAAATATACTTACCGGTAATTTAAAAGATATAATAATTATCTGAATAATTTTATCATCATTTTTCAATTTGTCAATTATTTAATAATTCGCTTAAAATTATTAAAAAAAATTGTGTAAGATTGCTGTTAATTATATGCATAATGTAATTTAATGTGATTTAGCCATTTTATTGAAATTTATTAAATAATATTACAGTAATAATTACTTTACGGTAATTACTAATAATAATAAAACTATAGCCTATATTATATAATATAGGCATTACCTGTATTAGTTAATATAATTAGTAGTGTAATTAATACAACTTTAGCACAAATAATTAACTTATTTATCATATCAGTTAACAATTGTTTATTTATTTATTTAATTTTACTAATAAAATGTAATATTGACTATGATTTTAATGATATATTTACAATGAAGTTAATAACAAAATAAAATTTAAATAAATATTAATTATATGGAAATGTTTTATCAAATTAACGGTAATTTAATATTAAATTAATTTATTATTAAAACTACTTTATAATCAAAACAATTGGATTTCTGTTAACAAAATATCAGACATTAATTAATACTAAGATCTTTCAAGTCTTCGTTAATCTCTTCTTCTTCCTCATTGAATGGATTGAAAACATTACCACAATCTATGACATCACAAGACTTTAGAAATTATAACTAAAAGACAAATCAATTGATGAATCAAACCTTTAAACGCTTGTGAATATTGTTGAGTTAGTTTGAGTTTAAGAAACTTTATTCTGTGAAACACTGAATCCAAGTCTTTCTGGAGATCAACTAATTGTTGTGTATATCTCTTGAGATCACGATTTGCTGATTCAAACCTAATGACTGCCAAAGCATTACAATTGACTAACATTTCGTTGGTTTTCTCAAAACGCGATAACCTATTCATCAAATTTAAAAAAAACAATTATTTTGTGACCAATTCATGGATTCAATTGACAACATATTAATCTGTGAATCATTAATAGTCATAACGTGATTGTCTTCAACCAAATTAGACACTAAATGGATGAAAGTGTCACCACTTTTGGTACACTTATCGGATGACTGTCTTTGTATAGACTCTGTTGAGTCATCTGTTAAGCGATCACTCGTTGCACTCATTGACACACAATTGGCATTCAATTGACATTCAATTAATTGATTCAATAATTATAAAATAAACTCAACTTATTCTAAACATTTGACTCATTATTATTATTATTATTATTAAACTATTTTATACATTAAACTCAATACTAGTGTAAAACACAACTATTAGTGAGTTGAACGCATGACTCAATGACTTTTAAACTGAGAGCCAATCAAATGTTAGATTGAATTGAATTTTAAATTTAAAGTGCAATTGATTTACAATTCAACGGTCAATGCATTGTATGACTGACTGATTGACTGACTGTTTGATTGTTGTATTGAATATTCAATTGTTAGAAACACAACACTTAATGAATTACTCTATAAATTGATATTTAAATCATATCTCAATTTAACTTCAATTAACTCAATCACTAAATTATTTAATCATTAAATCATTTTTTGACTGATCTTTCAATTAATTAATATTAAGACATCATATATAATGTCAAACATTGGAGAAAATCGACAAACGGTGAGACATTTGTTAATTATTATTAATTATGATTATATTTGACTAATGATTTGGTTTAAAATGATTAGTCAGGTGTTGGTATCGGCGGAAAACTCGTTGGACTCAAGAGTCGGACTACACTTGCATTGAACTCAAAACGAGTTCCGCTGGCCGTCTCTTTGCGCCAAAATCGGGCCATCGGTGAGACCAATCAGCGATCAAACAAAGCGATTAACAAACAGGTAATTAGCTTTTAAGTGATAAAATATCTTTTGTTTAACTGATTTGTTTAATTGTTTTAAAGACAACGACTCGTGTGTCAAGACATACAAAGTCGAGCAAAACTTCAGTCAACGATGAGAATGCAGAGGAAAACAAAGCGTTGGCTAAATCACGGATTCCTATAGATGTCATGAAAAAGAGTCAAATAAACGCTAACAAGAAGACAAAAGCTAAGGTTGAGCCCGAAGTTAATATTGAAGATCAAGAAATAGGCTTTTCTTCTCAATGTTTGCCCGATAATGTTGAGGACATTGATGCCAATGACGAGTCTAACGTTTTTCTGACATATAGTTATGTCAATGATATCTATAATTATTTGAGACGACTTGAGGTAAGTTTTAAGTAATATTTAACTTTTAAAACTAATAGTGAGTTGTTTTAAAACTAACAGAAGGAACAGTTCGTTAGTCCGAACTTCTTATCGATTCAGAAGGAGATGACTCCTCGTATGCGAGCAGTTCTTGTTGATTGGTTGATCAATGTTCACCATCAGTTCAAATTACTTCCAGAAACTTTATATTTGGGTATTTCAATAATGGACCGCTTCTTCATGAAAGAAGTTATTAGCAAAGATAAGATTCAATTGGTTGGAGTGACCGCCTTCTACATCGCTTCCAAGTTTGAAGAGATATATCCGCCAGACATTAAAGACTTTGTGATGATATGCGACAAATTGTATCAGAAGAGAGACATAATAAAGATGGAATTGGCTATACTTAGGTCACTAAACTTCGAGTTGGGTCGTCCCCTACCCATCCACTTCTTGCGTCGCAATTCTAAGGCCGCGTACGCCGACTCTCGTATTCATTGTGTGGCTAAATATTTGATGGAATTGACACTCGTTGAGTATGAGTGCGCCCACTGGCGTCCATCTCTTTTGGCGGCAACTGTTCTTTACGTGACTCTCCGTATTCTGGCCGAGACTAACGATTTGTCAGAGAAATGGACGCCAACTCTGGCATATTATAGCAATTATAGCGAACAACAGCTTATGTCGTTTGCTTCACGAGTTTGTAAAGTTATACTAAAGTCGGAAAAATCAAAGTTTCAGGTATTTATATGATTTAAAAATTATAAATTGTCTAATAATAAGGTATTATTTGATATTAAGAACTGTCGCCAAAAGTACTCGTCCACTAAATTAATGGAAATATCGCGTATCCCTCAACTCAAGTCACCAATCATTGATGAAATCGCGGCAATTGAGCCATAATTGCGATTCTCTTAAGATTTTATTTTCATTTTTTATTATATTTCTTAGTCTTAATTAAACTCAAGTTTTTAATTATATACAAATTTGAATAAAATATTTCATTATAATTATATATTCATGTGTTTAATATCTAAACAAAAAATTTTTTATATTTGTATTTTTTTTATTAGCGGTAATTATATATTTATATTTATAAAATAATTACCAAATGTATGCATAATTATATTTAAATAGTGAATAAATGTATTAAAATATCGATAAACTGACTTTTACTTAGACTTGACTTAAATTTCTGCAAATTAAACAAAAATAGCATTTTATTGAACAACTGATACAATATGTACACAAAATAGATAGAAATGAATATTAAGTGCAAATAATAATAAAAATAACATTTAGATTGTAATTGTTTTGAATGCAAACATCGATCAATGAGATGACCGCCGATTGTCTTCAAACAACTGTATCAACAGTCGACTCATTCACTGTTCATTGAGCTCAGCCCTGAACTGTTCCACCTGTGACGGCGGTGGACCCGTTAGAGTGACCGGTCGTCTAAATAGTAGAATATGTGGTTCGGGTTCGTGAATCATATAATGTATCCATCCCTGGCTTTGTTGGACACCCAGTCCTCTCCATTCAGCTTCAGACATAAGATGAGTCTTCGGTACCAATTTGGAGATATCTTTAGGCAGAACAACGTGTCTTTAAAAGATAATTCACATCAGTATACCATTCAAAGACATGACAATAGATGATATCAATGTTAATATCAATGCATACAAACCTATATTCAAACTTTTCATCGTAATATTTATCCGAATAATAAATGTTTTTGTGTGACATCTTAATGTTGATGACTGTTAGCCACAAATGTGATATTAGAGGTGAAATTGTGGTCAAAATTGGATCAAATGGTGTGATATGTGTGACAAACACTAAACACTAACGTATTTACAGAAATGACTGTATTTTATGCGCCAATCAATGCTTTGAATGCAAACTAACGTTTGGCGCCATTGGACCACACATTGCATAGTTGATAGGGATGTTCACTGCACTCACTGTTGTTGTTAGTAGAGGTGTGCGCTCAGTGTATTGTCTCAATGAAAACAGCAGTCAATAGCATAACAATTGTGTTGTCATTAAGTAATATAATAAAAGATAAACAATTGATCCATATTTTGACACTTAGGATGACCGCCATTACACTGACCACATCATCGGCTCTATATGTCTGCCATTGACACGACTGTCCACTTCGGCCACTGACCATTAATTTGCATGTCTGGACCATTTGTCGGGTAAGTTTGCATTTGTTATTATTTGTTATGCTGTTGTCTTTTGATTGTCATCATTGATGCCATTGATTGCATGGTATAGTGATGACCAATGTCTGTGATGATCATCTTTATCACCAATCAATTATTGATTGCTATTTAATTGATTTACCAAAGTATTGGTTTAGTTGATGTTTGAGTTGATATATGGCTACAAGTGATGGCATTAGTGATGCATTACTTGAACCTATAGTCAAGTGTCTGATAGTGTGTATAGAAAAGTGGTTGAAGTGGTTGTTGTGTAAGGAATGGTATGTTTGAAGCAAATGGTGAAACCATTGAGACCAATGTTGCCCATAGCTATCAATACCAATGATAATAATGACAGCAATGATAGCAGGTTTGCAAATTGTAATCAAACAAGTATTGAGTATTACTTATAAAAAAGTTTTTTATAATTTATATTAAGTCAAAAAACAACTTTATTGCCAATCAATATACTTATCATTCATTGGCATTACAACTATCAACTCATTTAATATGAATTGTCTTTAAAAGTTTCATTCAAATAATATATAATATATTACTGTATTATATAATTGTTTGTATTCACTGTCAACACTTCAATTGTCTTATATTTTAGCATAATATGTCATAAATTTAAATACAGTATTTTAATTATATAATATTCACTATTGATAAAAATTTATCTTTTATATAATAATACATTAATTACTTTTTTTGCATAAAAAAATTATTGTTTTATTTTTATAAGTTTGAATATTATAAATTATATATCTATTTAATACAATAATATTATTAGCAAATGTTTGATGATTATAAATATACTGTATATTTAATTTATGTTAATGTAGTACAGACTGTACAGTATATGCGGTAATTATATCTAATGTAAAAAAGCATTCATTTTAAGATACAGTAGTTTTATCTCTGGTTTTCAGCTAATCATAAGTTATGATATTTAATAAAATAAACACATTTTTTAGATTTTCATGTTTTGTTGTTTTGATTAAATATATCCTATGTATTAAATCTAATATTCTTTGATTAGTGAAATTAAAATGTTATTAAACTAATAAACTTAAGACTCGTTTAGACATAATGTTGTCTTTCAACAATTTTTATACTATTTTATATGATCTAAAATTACATGTAATAGTAACTAAAGTTACTAATATGTTTCAAATTGATATCAAAAATTGATAATTAATTAGAGTTGTTAAACGTCTAGTATTTGCTGGACAATTAAGTTTTTATTAGAAATTTAAATAAAAAGTTTTAGAATTTTATTTTGAAATTTGTCATGTATTTATTATAATAAATTTAACCACATTATTAGTACATGTATTTTTATCTAAAACTTTAGGCAATTTTATGAAATACAAGATTAAAATATTTATTTTATTTTATTATTTAAATTAACGATATTAATAATTGATACTCTATATGTCTATAATACGAATTGAAATTATATAATGTTTAATGAGACCAAATATTTTACTTACGGTACATACTATTAGTAAGTTTTTATACAATAATTATCAATACATTACATTTAAACCAATACTGTATGAAATTTTGGGTCATTTTTACATTTATTTATAGAGGATGTGAGAGGAGAATTGAGGCACCGGTGCTCAGAGCAAAGCATTCAGAATGACATTCAGATTGACTGCCTTCCCGTTCAGCTACTTGTCCACACATATACATACATACAGTACTGTATAATATAGTGTATATCCAAAATTCAAACATAAATTGACTGTATGTCTGTTCACTGAAGCGTTGTTTAAATATTAAGTTAAATATGAAAATTAGTGGCCATTTGTCTCATCTAATGTTAATTTCATTAATTTTAATTCAAAACATTTAACTAACTTTTTTGAATACATAAAGGATTGTTATATAGAACTCGTGACGATATTATTGCTTATATTATATTAAGTGGTCATAGGTTTGGGTCGACTCGTGAGTTGAATCACTGGCTGTAATGGTATTGAAGTAGTCGACCATCTGTTGGAAGTGAGTCTCTTGTTTGGCATTTGCCAACATTTGGACCACGACTTGGTATCAGAGCTGTTGATCTAATCCTATGTCTCCCCCTCTGCCTTATAGTTGTCTCCCTCTCCCTGTTTCTCATTTCCTCACCCACTCTCCCACTCTCTTCCTTAGACTTTTGGTCGATATAGTGATTCATTGGGCACTAAATCACAACAACCACTACTACAATACTATAGTAATAATAATGCGTTTCTAATAATAACATCTCATTCAATGTTGACTTTTGTGTATGAATTGCCTAATACATCATTGAGGTATACAATCACACAATTGAGACAATTATCAAACATTCAAACATTTAAATGTCTTTTATATGTTAGCCGTTCACGTGAGCTCTCTCTCTCTCTCTCTCTCTCTCTCTATATATATATATATATATATTCAATCTAATGGAAAACGACATAAATGTATCACTATTTACAATATATGCTGTATTTTATTGAATATATATTGAAATTTATAAAAAGTGATAGACTTTGGTTAATATATAGGTATAAATAGAGTAAATATGTATAAAATAGTAAAAATAGTCAAATAGTTGGTACAATCTATTGCCTCGATATGTGATTCAAACCATTTATAGAGACTTAGTGTGAATGAGAGCGAGAGGGGGACTAAATAGTAGAGGCAATACATTAGCAATGGATAATAGAGCGGAGAGAGGGAGAGGGAGCGGGACAGGGATCCAGTGCTCTGTGTGTGTTGTATTCAAGTCGACATAAGCCCCGGGCAATGACGCTTCCTGTAGCGTCCCCTCAATTGGTTTAGTTAGTTGTCTGTAGTGCTTGTTGTTGATGATTGTATGCACTGATGGCTGTGCCTGTAGTGGCTGTGCTAACATGTATTTCCTCTGCATTTACGTACACTATATGGAGGCGTTCCCCACAACTAAAGCACTCATTCATTCACATCGAGTATTACTGAAGGCTTTGTAAGCATCGTATAGCTGTTAGTTTGATGTTAGGCTTCACATGTGAAACATACTAACAGTGCCTCAATTCATACCAATTTATACTAATCCTAACCATTACACCAGTGTTTGTGTCTCAACTCATTCACTAAGGATTACTCTCAACTTGTTTTGTCTTTTTATTTTCAAATAGTTTTTAATAAATTACTCAAATATACGGTCAAATTCATTGATGAATTAGTTGAAGGTTTCATTGAGTAAATTAATGCTTATTTCATTGATTAATAATATTTATATATAACATCCGGTGCTCTGTACTAGTGGTTCACTATATACTGTGTGTGTGTATACTATATATATGAAACCCACGCATACCGTAGTATTTGATGTCATATACTCATACATATAGTGAACGCCCGCGCCTTTCAGCCCAACATCTCATTGATAAGAGATTATACATTTGAATGGGCGATACAAATGTGTAGTATTAGTAGTAGTATGAGTGGTATGACTGCCAACTCCATCAATGACATGACTAACATAACTGCATCCACACATCGACACCAACACTAACCAAATATCACTACCAAATACATCGACATTACTATCATTTTCTTATTTGGATATTTAGTATAACTTTGTATTTATTTGAATTGATTGTTTGAATGGTCAACTCGGATGTCCTCCACAGTGATTAAGTGTTGAGTGATTTGATGATTGGATGCCAACTGTCAAACAATGCTCTCTTGTTTCCCATTTCCTTATTCTTCATTAAAAGATGATGACTATGACTACAGTCACCTCTTTATAAAACAGGAGGACCAACAAACACAACATACAAACCATATTAAGGGATTAAATCACAATCAATCAGTTATCTCAACAAACAGTTCTACAGTTGAATATAAACTGAAAAATTTGGCCAAAAGTGAGTTGTCGTCACCACAAATCCCAACCCGTGATAACATAAAACTACCGATTCCTGTGCCGCGAACTTTCCGAAAACCACACTCACTATTATTGAATTCAACTCCGGTGTCCAACACTCCATCCAATACTCATTCATTGAACAGTTCCTCCAAATCAAGTCTTTTAAAGTTAGGTTTTCATCGAAGCAAAGGAACCGAACATTTGCAGAGAGAAGCCATCAGAAAGTCTAACGAAACACATATAGCGGCTCTTCATTCACAAAGATATATCAAACTTCCCACTAAATCAATGACTTCTTCAATCACTAACAAATCAAATCAGTCATATATTACAAAGGTTTGATTATATACTGTATAATATTTTCAATAAATTAATAATTTTCTAATTAATATCAACACTTAATTTGATTTAATTTAATTGAACTAAACTTAATTGTTTGCAACAACTCATTTATATTGATTATCATAATTTACATTTAATAAATATAATACATAAATGACAAACTGATTACTAATAACACAATTAAATTAAGATAATGACATAAAATAACATGAATTATAAATTACATCCTTTTGGTGGCTAAAGTTCCCCTCAAAGCGGATATCATTTTCAAACACATTCAACAGTTTAACTTAATTTTCTTACTATTATTTCCTATTTCTAAATATCGTTTTATTTTAATATAATGATATAACTTAATATAGACAGACATTATAATGTAGTACAGTATATAACTTATATAAGTCAATGTTATATAATGTATTTGTTAAAATACAGTACTATAATGAATACAAATGATTTAATTGTAATATGAGGCGCCAAACAGTTAAGTTTAAATAATACCCTTTTAATTATTAATAAAGGTGTGAACAAACTTTATTAAACTAATCAATTATACTATAGGCTATTAGTTATAATAATATGAAAATTTATTAAACTTAAAATTGTTATTTTGACATTTTGTCAGATATCACAAATAATAACATTAAGATAAGTTATACCACATATAATATAGTTATACAGTATATATAGTACAATATTAAGTTAATTTGGTTAGGTTTGGTTTAGGTTAAGGTCAAAATTTGTTACATATACTAATTCAATTATAGGTATCACTATAATTATACATTATTTTATATTGATGTCTATTTAATATTTAACTAACTAGTAAATTATATGATCTACATTTTATAAATTTAATTTATGTTAATATGTGATATATATATATATTGAATAGTATGTCGGATGTCTGGGAATCAATACATCGATGAAAAGTCTAGATTTTGACACCCGATCCCAAATCGCCAAAGAGTGCATTAATAGAGTTTGTGAATTGGGTCGACTGAAGACCCCCGACAAGAAAAGACGACCTGAAAAAAGAATTCATAAGATGTTAGCCGACACCCCCAATATGGGTATGTCTTGGAATAATGGGTTGATATCCAAGTATTTTAATTAATAATTTTTTGTTTACTGCCCACACATAGAGTTTGCCGGCGTTGATGTCAATCTAGTAATAACCAGCTCTTACTTGCATTTAACTACTATAGAGACCGGAGAGGTATAATATATACAATATATCTATATATATATATTATAATTATATTATTTATATTTATATATATTATAAATTGATGTCATGTCATCAAAAATGATATTAAAATTATTAATTTCTTATTGAAAGGTTATTGCCAAACATGAAATGCCAAATATATCGTTTGCTTCGAGAGGCGATGCTGTAAGTGTTAAACTTATAGATTGATTATTATTAATACTAATTAATAAATTTATTTTTAGGATACTATAGATTTTGTGTCTTATGTGGCTAAAGATCACAGGTATGGTAGAGCTTGTTTTGTACTCGAGTGTGGCGGCGGTCTCGCACATGATGTTATCACTGCTATTGGACAGGCATTTGAACTCAGATTTAAAGAATTTTTGAACCGAAGTCCCAGAACTACTTCAGTCAATGAAATGTATTTGAAATTTTTGAATATTTAATTCATACAATATATAAATATATTTAATTCTAATTATATATTTATTTTTATTTATAGACTCGAAAGTGCTGTTCCTAATGGTCTGTGTCATACAATTAATAACAATTTTAATACAGACAACGATAGTAAAAATAGATTGGATGAACGCGATTATTATAATGATTTACCCGGAAAAATACCACCTGATGTGCCTCCTGTTGAAACAAACTCTAAAACATCTCTTAGAGACTGTTCAAGTACTCAAAGAGTACCACAAGCAGCTCCGAGAACAGCTATTAAGAAGTCAAACGAACAAAACAGTCCTAATTTGATTGATTTAAATATTGATATTCAAGACCACATCAATACAACACAATCAGAGTCCTCCATCATTGATCCAAACACCCAAATAGTAGATCATCAATATGTCAATTGTTCCACTGATGACTCTAATAATAATAACAATCAAAATAAAACAGATAATTCAAATAATGAGTCAGTGATACAAACAGCAAAAGATCCATTTGATATGAGTAAGACATGAAAACAATTTAGTTTTTAACTAATTATTAATACAGTATATAATCATTTGACAGAACCATTCAATAGTGCTTTAGCAGAGGTAACGACAGACCCTTTAAAAGCAAATTGTTCTCAAACGACAACAACAACAACAAAGAGTACAATAAATTGTAAATTAGAACAAGAAGAATGGTTTCACGGACCTATCAGTCGTAAAGAAAGTGAAACACTTGTTGTAAAAGATGGAGATTTTCTTGTGAGAGAATCTCAAGGATCAGTTGGACAGTATGTCTTAACTGGTATGCAAAGCGGATTTAGGAAACACTTACTACTTGTGGATCCTGAAGGAGTGGTATGTTTTTTAAATAACAATTATAACTATTGTAAATATATTTCTAATTATTATTTTTTATTTTTTTAAGGTACGAACAAAAGATAAGACATTTGAAAGCGTTAGCCATCTAATCAATTATCATCGAAACAATGGTTTACCCATAATCTCAGCGGAAAGTGCTCTCCTTCTTAGAAATCCAGTATTAGTTAAACGTTGAGATCTGAAACCGACATTTAGACTATTTTTTGTTATATTTCTAAAATTAAATTTTTAAATTATGGTATATTTTTATTGTCCGAATCTCACAATTACCTAAACATACATTTTGTCTCATTTTGATAATAAGTGAGTTTTGGTCTATATTAGAAAATTTAGTAATAGTGATTAAATTGTTGCGATATTGCAGTTTTAAAACAGTTAAATTATATATAATTTAATCAAATTATTTAAAATAATTTAATAATTAATATAATTAAAAGTAATATATTATTTTGATATTGAGTTTTGAATGTTTTTAAAAAATTATTTTGGTATATACAGTAGTATATTTAATTTTTAAAATTATACCGTTTTTAGATAGACTCACTTACATTAACAAATTGAGACAAATATTAGTTAGTGCCAATTTCAATTTAAAGTATTATAAATTATTTGATAAAGTTGGTTTCATTTAAATATAATGAATGACTAATTAAAAATTAAATGCAACCACAATTTAGATATTATAAAACTAGATTTATCATAAATGAAATATTTTATTTACCATTAATTGTCATAAAAATCAAAATAATTTTAAAACTTTTTTATAAAGTTTATCAATTATATCATTTGTTTATAAAGTTTATAAATTACATATATTTAAAGAGTGCCTCAAATATTTGTAATATAAGTTATTTCATTTTGTAAGTTATATAAATTTCCTGGAAACTTACTTAGGCAAAGTTATTAAATAGAGATTGTTTATAATACAAATCAAACATTGATATTGTAATTATGATTATATAAATTCATAAATTGTGAATGTTCAAATTTATTTGTCATCAATTGTTTCATGTTATATATATATATATTTATATTGATAAGCAAACACACATAAACTGCTCATTTATTATCAATATTTTATTGATTATCCTTAATATAAATAAGATTTAATTAAGTCAACAAATTTATTTATTTTTTAAAACTAATTTATGATTAATTAATTTTATAAAATTATGTGATTATTAAAACAATATTTTAGATTTTTAAATAAATTGTATTTATTATCATTACTAACTATAGAGACTATACTTTAATTATACAGTAAGTAATGGCAGCAAATAAACAATAATAGACAATAAGACTAATGCATATCGAAAGGGTTGGCCAGAGCTAACTCGGGTTCGCCGTAACCCAACTCTTCAGGAGTACTGATACCTAACTCGTCGAGAGTCGATCTAATCTCTTGAATAATGTATGGATATATCTCTTTGTTTTCCCTACTCTTGAATTTGAGTGCCTCAAGATATCTGACGGCCAGTGCGTAATCATTGACCCGACGGCAAGCATGAAGAGCGGCGATCACCACTTTTGGTTCGGGGACTAAATCCATACCATGCATATCGTTAATGCCTTTCCTGATTTCCCAGCCATCGATATCTTTACGGTTAAAGTAATTGATATATCTTTGGTCAAACTCTTCCTCCGTCTCTTTTCGGCCATGTTTTGGTGCCGCCAAACCCGGGTTCGGGTCAACACTAGATGATGCACTTCGGGTCACTGAAATCGTCAATAATTAAAACGTTAATCAATATATCAATAAAAATATATTAATACTTAAAAACTTACCATTCATTACATTCAATGACCGCAACTTCACGGCTCTAACCGACAAACGACTCACTGTTACGAAGCGTCCGAACATGTCTTCAGATATCTAAATACAATCGGTTTATCTTTTATTAACTTAAATACCACTCAATTATATCTAATATTGTCCAACAAAGTGATCTCTAATTGATCTCAAAGTCTAAGTCAAAGCAAATCTACAATTAAATGGAGAATTGCTTTACAAACAAACAAAAGTGTTGTTTGTATTCAATTAATACGTTCACTGATTCACTGATTAACACTTTTTTTCACTTAAATTAATATTTTTAATACAAAAACATTAAATTATTTACTTTATTAGTGAATATTATTATTAAATTAATTATTAAATTAATTAAATCATATTATGACTAAAATAATCATAAACTGAAAATCAAAGACAAGATGTGGTTGTCATTGATGTAAGAAATATAAGTCAATCATTGATTGTATTTTAAAGTCATTCAAAACGTGTGAATCTTCTCTCAAATACAACACTTGTTTTGAAAGTGGTTTTAGTCGACAATCATCTCAAGTGACCAAAACTATGGACAAGAATTTGGTTAACAATCAGGTCTTTGATTCACTTTTTATATAATTATTTATTTTATTAATTGATTTTTTATTAATTGATTTATAGATTGTTTTGATGCGAAAAATTGTACGAAAAGGCAAACGATATGTCTATCAAAAAGATGTGAAACAAATAAAAAAATTGAAAACTTTTGCGACAAAAAAGTATTACAATTATTGTCACAATTTGTCTCTATTTTATTAAATCTAATTGTTGTTACTTTTGTTGATTAATAGTGTGACACAAGAGTCGACTAAAAAATATGATCACAAGATTGACAACAAACGCAAAGAATTAGCGATTTTAAAGACCGTTAATGTGGACGAAGTGTCCAAACAGGCGCTCATTCACAACAAACAATACTTTGAGGACATCATTACTAATGTATGCTTTCAATGATATAAATATATTTCAGATAATAATTTTTATTTATATTTTAAATATTATTTAAGATTCACTCAACTATTGATATGAAATGTTTGGCTAAAATAGCAATCAATGAAATGGTAGCGAAAGCGGTTGAAAAGTTTAAAGAAGAAAATCCAAATTGCGATGAATGGTTGCCCTCACAGATCGAGATCTGGACACAAAAGAAAGCCATTAAAAGAAATAAAATTCTTAAGAAAAAAGGCATTAATGTCGATGAAAACGAAGTGTCTGAAAATGAAGAGACAAATTTGTCTAAAGCTGTCAATCATACGTCTGAATCAACTGACAACAACTTAAATGATAATAAGAGAAAGATTAAGAAAATCAATAAATCAAACACTAAAAGTGATAAAAATGTTGATAAACCTAACAATCAATTGACACCTGAAATAAATAAAACAAAATCTGATCCATTCTTCTTATCCGATAATATGGAAAGTAATGATGAAGAAGAGGAGGAAGATTCTGAACAAATTATGGATGAAAATGTTTTTAGAAAGAGAACAACAAATGGAAAAAATAATATCAAAGAAAAGAGATACAAATTAAACGAAAAGAAAGGTTTTGAGAAATCACACAAACGTTTTGAAACGAAAGATTTCCAGAACCAGAAAACTCATCCAAAGAATATAAACCGTAATAATAATAATAATAATAAAATTAAAGGTATATTTAAATGAATATCTTTTTAACGTATTTTAAATAATAATTAAATATTTATCATTAGATAAAAGCTATGTAAATAGTGGTGAATCGCTGCACCCCTCGTGGGCGGCCAAGAGGTCAGCTAAAGAAAAGTTTAAAATCGATTTAAACCAGAATTCATTTACAAACAAAACTAAATTCGATGATTAAAACTATTTTATTTTACGTTTTCTTTAAGCTATCATCAAAAACATAATTATGTATAAAATATATAACCAAATAAATGAATTTTATTATTATTATTATATTATTAAAGACTAGGAATTGCTTTCTTTAGACAACATTTAGTTAATCTCAATATTAAGTAATGAATTGAATATTGAAGAACAAGAGCTCCAAATCCTTTAAAGAGACCGGACTTTCCTTCATTTTTAACAATAGTTGTAATGCAATCACTGGTCGATTCATAATTAGATAGGATTGGTATAACAGCGTTGGGCTTCTCTATGTTATCGATGATAGTTCTGGTGCCCTGAAGGTAGAGCCTATTATGGAGATATTATTTTGTGATTATTATTAGTCAACTATTTTTAAGTTATCATTTCAGTTACAAATGTTATAAATGTAAGTTTATAATGAATTTATATGTAATTACGGTTATGAATACCTCATTAAAACAGTTTGTAAGGGGAATAGCATTATATCTGCTACTAATTGTCCCCAAAAGTTGTTCATAATATCTCTGTATTTATTAGTAAAAGTATTTTCATTGTTTTTATCTTTAATGTCAGCAGTTCTCGCATAAAATGCTATATTTTGAATACAATTAGAAATGATATAATATCCTAAATGATAACTAAGAGTTGGTCCGCATATCAGCCAAATGGGAAGCTTTCGATCCATTTTCCAGTGAGTTATTCGACGAAATCCTTCCCAAATAGTATCAAAAATACCGGGATTTTCTGTTGCAATTGAACTCTGGACTGTTTCGGCAGAACCCGAACACATGAATGGTGTCACCAATATTATAGCCATTCCTTTGAGGATTAAGTGCTGACAAATGCATTCAAAACTCTTTCGTTTTGAACTAATATCTCTAAAGATTAGTTAGAAAACAATTTATATTGAAAAATAACTTATAAATTATAATAAAATAATCAATCATTCATTACTTGGGAAATGTGGTCAACTCAGCAATCACTGACTCAAAACCAATTTGTATGGCTTTTGTGATGAAGACACTGGCGATACCTTTCCAAAGGACACCGAATCCCTGTTTAGATTGAAGACTCACAATAAATGCAATGACAGTGAATGGCGTCAAGTGATAGACTTGACTCCGAAGAGTGACCTTTCATTTGAAGACAACAAACATTTATCACTTAAATTCAATTCAATTGTTATATTATAATAACAAATACTTGTGTTTGTCTGCGAATCACAACAAATGGATGTGTTATCAGATACTGTGTCATCACATTCACTGAATCCAACACAACCACTGCAATCTTCATTTCTCGATCTGAGGACTCTTTGGCCATACTATCGGCAAAATGTCTATCGATGTGGTCATCACCCGAACCGTCAGTTGTGGCCAATCTTTGGCTGACATTGAACTCGACTTTGCGGCGATGAGTATGACTTAAATTTTGATCACTTTTAGCTGAACTCAAGCGCCAAATGTCGATGTCTTTGTCTTCACCGATTAAATGTCTTAAATTGTCTGACATTTGTATTGCTTTTGAAATTATAAATTAATTAAAAATACTTCAAAATGACTGACAATTTATCAATCAATCAATGAATTTCATAATACAATTCATATACAAACTGTTTGTTCACTCAATTTGTTTATAAATGACGATAAAAGTCAACAAACAATTTATAAGACATTTAGAGTTTAATTTAATTTTAATTTTATTTAATAAAATTGTTGTCTAATTATAAATGAATTAATTGTTATCTTATTTGTAGTAAATTATTAATTAATAAATTGATTGCATTTTAATAGAAATATCAATAATTTTGGTTCAAATGATTGCATTGAATGTATGTTTGCATTGAATGTATGTTTGCATTGAATGTATGTTTGCATTGAATGTATGTTTGCATTGAATGTATGAAATGTCGACATAACTGATGTGAGGATTGCTGTCAATCACGTGATTCAATCAATCAGTTAGTTATCGTCACAACTATGGGTGAGATCGACGTGTCTTCAGGTGATTGCATTGATTTAGTGGTCAATCACACCACTGATGTCTCACATAAGGATAGCATTTCATTTGAAAGTATGTCATCAATGGTTAGAATTAGTCAAATGATATTAAAATTGATTTTGTTATAGTTCTTCATGTGGTCAAAGAGACTCAGAGCCAACACGGACTCAAACACGGAGACTATCATCGATATCGACAATACTGTAGTCGACGTCTTAACCGACTGAGACGATCACTAAATTATGTCCAGAGCTCGGGTAAAGCGCGCTCTACATATCAGCCTAAACTTGTAACCAATCAGTTGGTCACTGAGGCTAAGACAGCAAAGAAGGATCCCATCAGATATTTGATGATACCGTTGATGTGCGCCGAAAGGAGTTGGGCTCACGCTATGCAACTCAAACAAGAGGCCAATACAGAGCCGCGCAAGAAGTTTCATATGATGAGGAAGTATAAGAAAGCAGTGAATTATGGTAACAGTTTGCAGACCATTTGTAACACTGAACCGACCAAATGTGACGCTCGCACTAAACTAGAGGCCAGTGCTTATGCCTCATACCTGACGGGACTGTTTTATTTTGAGACTGAAGAATGGATTAAAGCGAGTGAGTTCCTCAAGAAGGCTCAAACTATATATGAAAAGCTCTTCCAAACCATTGCTGACGAAGAAGTGGCCGCTCATTATAAACAACGATGCGATGAAATCAAACCCACTCTCAGATATTGTGCTTTTAATATTGGAGATCAAAATATTGGGGCTCAAGATCTGAGCCGAATGCAGAGTGAGGTCAATGAAATGGATGACCAGTTATTGGTTAATAAGTTAGACGTAAGTCTTAAATATTTGTAAACCAATTGACTACAAATTACTAAACTATTGTTTATTTGACAGCAATTAATACTTCAGGCCCGAGAAAAACAATCGGTAACATTAAGTGAAATTCAATGGTTAGGCAAAACAATTTCGATTAAACAAGAAAAGATCCGCACGTTTTTATTGCTAATACAAGATCTGGTCATCGGATCAGCAAAAGTGTCTCAAATTGAGAAAATTATTTTTGAATGTCGGGATTGTCTTCAACTCTTAAGAGAAACAAATCAAGAAAAGAGTTTATTATTTAATTACTTATCATATTTAAGACTTGATCTAACAATTGGACGTAATTTGCAACTCATAAAGACATTACAAAATTCATCGGAAATGATCCGTCCGTTTGAAATCATTATCGGAAGCTTTAATGAGATGCAGTCATTGCCTTTGGAACAGTTCTATGGCTCGAGTAATGCGTTGGACTTATTTAACAAACAAATTGAAGCAAAAATAACAACTTTCAAGGCTTTCCGATGCTATCATATCGGAAATTTCAATAAAAATAATTGGAAAGAATCGGTGGCTCTTCTTCATCGGTCCACTCAGTACTGTAAAGATGCCATCAATGATCCCAACACTACTAATGTATTTAACAATTTAATATAATTTTCTATCAAATACTTACCGGTTATTGTTTAAATTGAAAACAGGAAATGAAATCAGAATTGAAGCAATTGATGTCCAAATCAGAGTCTGAGAAGTTTACTCTTTACGCCAATAATTTAATGAAAGATGAGTTGTCATCTGAAACGAAAGTTAAGACAAATAAAGACATTCCTGTAAGTCATAATAATTTGTTAATATAATAATGTGATAAATATACTATAATTTCACCATTTTATTAGCCTTTGATATCACGTTTGGACACTTACTATGAAGATAGCGAACTATTAACTGGTAATTCATCTTTAGCTGAATTTCCGCCACAATTTAAAGCGATTCCATGCAAACCTTTATTTTTTGATTTGGCTTTAAATCACATAAAATTCCCGTCACTTGAGACTGAAACTAATCCAAAAAATACAGGGATTACTGGTTTCGTCAAAGGATGGCTCGGCGGTTGGCGAAAGTAACCATTTACCGGTATTTGTTTTACCGGTAATACATACACTTTATAAAACTCAAAAAACTAATAGTAACTATCATTTCTGTCAAATTCAATAATAGACTATTTTATAAAATGTGAATTAATTTATATAATGATTTATTCTTAACGGTAAATAAAATTTATATAAATTTTTTCATAAATGTATCAATAATTGATTTGTTTTACCAAATATAGGGTAAAACTATAAATATATTAATAAATGATTTTTATATTAAACCCAATCTCTCGGTGTTTTGAGAATTTGAATTAATTTGTCTTCTTTAGAGTTGGGTTCAGGTGAGTGACAATATTGCCATTTGGCCACTAATGGTAACGACATTAGAATACTTTCATAACGGGCACCGGGAGTAAAAAGTCCAAACTTAGTTCCTCTGTCGTAGATTAGGTTGAATTCAACATATCTGTTGTATACAAATAAGTTGATCATAGATTGAATTGAATACAAAATATCGATTATCCATACCTTCCGCGCCTTAAGAGCTGCCACTGTCTGTCGGCATAAGAATAACCTTTTGTTACATTATTATTAACAACAGGTATATAACAAGTGGTGATAGAATCAGCACAAGACTTGACAAACTCGAAGGAATCCTTTTGGTTGGGATAATCCATGTCATCAAAAAACAATCCACCGATTCCTCTAATAAAACATAATTTTAAATAATTTCATTTAAATTGATTAATAAAATCAAACCGGCATTCTTTGCGATGGTTAATAAAAAAGTAGTCGTCACACCATTTCTTGAATTTTGGATAATAATCTTTATTATGTTTATCGCAGCTATTCTTTAAAGTCTTATGGAAATGAATGCAATCATTTTCATTGAGTATGTAAGGAGTCATATCAGTTCCGCCACCGAACCACCAGTGCTTCTCATTATTGGTCACGTCTTCCACTTCAAAATATCGATAATTGAAATGAAGTGTCGGTACGTTTGGATTTCTTGGATGTATTACAGAACTGACACCACAGGCGAAGAACTTGAGATCTGCGTTCTCTTTAAGAGTCTTTCCTCGGCTTCTCATTTGTTGTGCCGCCGGTGTCGGCAGTTTTCCGTAGACAACCGATATATTGACGCCTGCTTTTTCAAACACCTGTCCGTCCTCTAAAACACAGGTAACACCACCGCCACCCTCGGCTCGTGTCCAACGGTCTACTTTAAACTTTACCGATTGATTCTGACCATCGACTTGGGTATCAATCAAGTGTTCTTTGTCTTCAACTTTTTGCAATTCAAGACAAACTTCTTTCTGGACTTTCATAACAAATAATTCAAACTTTGATTTCATATCACTTTCATTGGCAATCAATTCATTGAATGGTGTAATGGTTTGAGACATAAAACTGTTTTCATCCAATGGTTTGTCTTTGTTTGTCCACCACATCAATGACAACATAAGTGGCGAACTCTTGGCGAACACCGAGACATGACTTTTGATGACACGATTGGTCTGTCGACACAATTGTCGAGTGTTTAGCCGTTTTCGGGTCGATATCCATACAAAACTCATGTGTCGGACAAAACTATTGCCAAATATTTGATACATTTTTGTTGATTGAAATGATTTTCAAAACTAAAATAATTAAATAAACTCTAAAATCATTGAAAATAAAAGCAAAACATATGATAACCAGTGAAGTAGTAATACTTTCTATTAAATAACAAATTTTTTAATCAAATGTACAACAAATGTAAGCAAACATTTAAATCGTTTAAAGGAAAAGCATTTTATTCAATAAGTAAAGACACCATTAATTAGGACTAAAATTTTAATAAAGATTAATATATAAATAAAATGAATTTTTACTTAATATTTTTTTTAACTTAATTTATTGCTTTAAATAGATAAATAATATATATATATATATAATTATTATAAATTATTTGCTTTTAATAACATTAAAGTTATTTTATTAAATAAAAGTAATATAATGTTTAAAATGAAATATATTAATATTTAATATTATTATTAGATATAAAATAAAATATATTGACGATTTTATATAAAATAAATTTATTTATTATTTTTTTAGTTATAATTTTCCAGAACTAAATATTTTTTATTTAATAAATTTTCCAAATTAATTGTATGATTAATTATAAGTATTACCTATTTTTATATGAATGAAATGGAAATCTGTTTTATTGAAAGTAAATATAAGTTTAGTTATAATTAGGGTTCGATCAAAGTTCCTTATGTTCCCTAATCACTGGGAATTATTAGGATATTTATTTCCTTGTGCTACCTAATTGATGCCTAAACAACACAGTTTATCATGATGTTTAAAAACAGTATTTTGAGTGGTATTGATAAATAGTATATAGTACATATAGTACATAATATCATTAAATTTATTATATTGAAATTTATTTTTAAATAATTTAATAAATTTTTTAGCAAAATATTTAAATTTAGGTACTATTTATTGTAATAATATAAAATATATTTTTCCATTCTAACAATGAAGGGAAAAAATAAAACATTTTCCATATTTTCCCGGAAAATATGAGATATTTTATTAGGGAACTTCCCTTCATAGGAAAGTTGTTCGAACTATAGTTATAATAAAGGAATTGTTTGATATATTGTATAGTAATATATAATAAATTATATATTTGATAACACGTCATGACATTGCCTTTAATTAATTAATACTTAAATACCACTTGTATTATAACAGTTTTATTTTATGAATAAATAGATATAAATTTTGATACATAAAGAAAACATTGATTTAAAGGGGAAAAATTTAACAAATAAATTCAATTTATAACACTTTGATATTTATTTTTAAATAAATATTATAGTTGTCACACATATGTAAAAAAATCAAATACACAAAAAAGTACTTAAAAATACTGTATACGAGAAATTCAAACCAAAAACAATTATATTTTTATACTAACCTTGTATTTTGTATTAAATTTTTGTATTAACTTTTGATTGAAATTTCCATACATTGATACAAAAAATCTATAGTAACCATAATATAACCAAAATTTTTTTGGTTATGACTAATCCCAGAAATAATGATTAAAAACATTTATTAAACATTTATTACATTTAAAAAATTAATTGTAATTCAAAATAAGTAACTTTTTTTTATCTTATTTTGGACAGAATTGAATGATTAGTTAAAAAATATTTTATATAGATTTAGTTTACATTAGTTTTACTTAAAATACATAAAACATTTGTTTTTTTATTTGCATTAAACTTTTAACAATTTTATTTCTGAAACAATTCAAAAATTTATAAATAATAATTCAATTTTAATAAATGAAAACAAATGAACAAATTTGTCGATTGATTCAACTTTTCAATCGTCAAAATATTTATTGATTTATTTTTTCTGAAAATATGTATAATTTATTTTAATTTGTAATTTACCTGAAAATCAATCATAAGATTTGTTTTCATACATATAAATTATATAAATTAAATTATATTATATGATATAATACTAAAATACTTGTACTTTTCAATGAATATAATTTTTAACAAATTATGAATTAATTTGAATAAAGCGCTCAAAGAGTTAGCATTGATTTGAATGGCTATTGAAATGTATGAATAGATTGAATGCAACTAAAAGTGTATTCAATTCAATGGTTTGTTATTTCAATATTTCTTTCATTTATTTGTTGCACTTATTGTTGGCCACAAACACATCGGTTACAGACATTTACCACCAAAAACAATGTCCAAATCAGATGCCGACGCTATGGATACACAAGAATCAGCTGACAAAGTAGTAGCCACTGAGATAAATGGATGTACGGATCAACCGATGGACAGCGAATCGCCGGCCATTACATCATCGGTTATGGCATCGGCAACGGTGGCCACGGCTGCTATCAATGTTTCGCTACACCCATTAGTTATAATGAATGTATCGGAACACTGGACACGAATTAGAGCTCAAGACAGTGATGGTGTGGTTGGAAGTCAAGTGATCGGCGCTCTGATCGGTAAACAAAACGGCCGTAACATTGAAATAATGAATTCATTTGAACTGAATTACGATCGCATCGAAAGTGATATACTTATTGATAGAGACTATTATAATACCAAAGAATCACAATTCAAACAAGTGTTTCCCGATCTGGACTTCTTGGGCTGGTATGCCAGTGGTGACCAACCAAATGAATCAGATCTTAAGATTCACAAACAAATTATTGAAATCAATGAAAGTCCTCTTTTCATGAAACTTAATCCAATGGTATGTTTGAGAGTACTTTGAGATAAATAGAAATTGTTTTTTAATTGATATATTGATTGTTAGACTCGACACACAGGTCTTCCCTTAAAGTTATACGAATCGGTTATAGATTTAGTCAACGGAAAGGCAACGATGCTGTTTGTGGACATTCCGTACCATTTGGCCACAGAAGAGGCCGAGCGTATAGGTTTGGATCACATGGCGAGGATGACATCGACGACCACCCAATCTGGTCAGATGACCAACTCATTAGTGGCCGAACACTTACGAGTCCAATACAGTGCCGTCAAAATGCTTAGAGATAGGGTTCGCCTAATTCTTGACTATATTCGCGATATTCGTAACGAAAGTATTGAATGGAATCACGAAATACTGAGAGAGACATTCAATTTATGCCATCGACTACCAGTGCTGACCACCGATAAGTTCTCACAAGATTTCTATAACCAATGCAATGATGTGGCGCTCATGACTTACTTAGGAATGTTGACTAAAGGATCAAATACTGTCAACCAATTCGTCAATAAGTTTAACATTCTTTACGATAGACAAGGAATGGGTCGTAGAATGAGAGGTCTCTTCTTCTGATTGATGAATACTTTATTACTTTATAATTATCTAAAACTATTGTATTGTATTTCAAAAGCAAAATAAATATAAAATTAATTTATTATTAATTAAAATTTTTTAAAAACATACTTATAATGTATGCTTCGATATATAAATATTTTGTTTTATAATAAATTGTTTGATAATATTTATAGTTATTGTTTCAATAAACTGCATTTTGTACACCAAATTATAATTAATAATAATTAAATTGATTACTAATTAATGACATTAATTGACAAACAAAATGTGTTAAACAAAAATACATTTAATTATTGTATCAATAATTTTCATATATTAATGAACGTATTGTATGTATAATATGTATCAATAATTGTGACAATTGTTTATAGTTTTTCATTGTGTTGTCGACAACTTGTGGACCCATTTGTTGTGATAATCTTTGTAAAAGTGATGCCAAAAGTAAGACGTGCCCGAAATAAGCCGCCACCCGAAGGCTGGGAACTAATTGAGCCGACTCTAGAAGAATTAGAGGCTAAGATGAGAGACGCGGAGACAGAATCACATGAAGGCAAACGAAAGACAGAGTCTTTGTGGCCGATCTTCAAAATACATCACCAAAGAAGTCGATATATTTACGATCTCTTCTATAAACGGAAAGCAATTTCTCGTGAATTATATGATTATTGTATTAAACAACGGATTGCAGACCAGGCGTTGATCGCGAAGTGGAAGAAACAGGGTTTGTATGGACTGACCAATTGGTCATACATTTGACACCAAAAAATAATATTACATTAATCTCTGTCATTAACTTTTAATTAAATAAGTTTTTATGTTATTATTGAGATTATGATGGATACAAAAGATATATTTAATCACTGATTGTCATTGTTTTATAGGTTATGAAAATTTGTGTTGTTTGAGATGTATTCAAGTAAGAGACACCAACTTCGGGACCAATTGTATTTGTCGGGTCCCGAGAGAGAAACTTGAAGACCCAAATACAACCACTCGTGAGTGCATCCACTGTGGATGTCGTGGCTGTTCTGGTTAGACATGATATGTGATCAATAGATTAATAGCCATTCAATTGTTTTTATTACAAATATTACTTTCACTATTAAATGCTTACAATTCATTAATCATACAGTATTTAAAAATAAATAAATACAACAATTATATTGTCATTAAATGCTATAAATAAAAATTCTTATAATAAATATATTTTATGGACAAAATGTCTAATGTCTTAACTGTAAATGTCATCATCATATCGATCACCGGACACATGATATTCACCAAAAATATATAAAACTAATATTTAACAACAATTAGAGATAAATATAATAATCATTATTGAGATTAAGTGAGTTTTTAATCTCTTTATTTTATAGTCTCAGAACTACTGGTAATTCTTATTCCAAATTTAATCCTTAGCTGTTCCAAGAAAACAAATGTCAAAATAGTTTGTGGGGCCAGACGTATGAAGGCTGGGACGTAACCCTTGAAGAAACCGGCAAAACCTGACTGTTTAAAGAGTAATCCAATGCAATGACTGACACTCTTGTATTCATTTGGTGAGGCATTCATGAGCCGAGTCTTCAACACATCCAGCTATTCAATGATTTACTTATATTAAAATAAATTCTTAATTTTCAAATGATATTAAATACCGGTTGAGTGAAAGTGGTGGCCACAGCACCAGCTAATGTGGACGCCGTAAAATGTGTTAACATATTGTCATCAAAAATGTTGGGAACATTTGTCATCAACAAGTATTTAAATTTATCATAAGTGGCCAACTATTTAAATCATTTCATTAATTAATTCAATTAAAATAGTAATGCGATAGTAATACCTGTCCAATAGTCATCATTATAGCTCTAGTGGTGGCCATAGTTGTGCCATTGAATAAAGTTTTGATACCTTCATAGCGGTAAACCTTAATTAAGCCATCGATGGCGTGACGATAATTGCGTCTCTTATCGGCGGCCAGTTTGATGTCATTTTGCATCCGCACGTTAACCATATCTGCCGGAGTGCCTGAATGTCATCCAAAGTCATGTTATAAATGAGTTTTTATTAGTCATTTAAAATAAAATATTACAAAAGAGACTGACCTATGAAACCTCCGGCTGCGCCCGAAATACCGGCCAAAATGACGGAATGAAATGTTGATATTTGTTGACCATTCTTAGAAATCCTTTGTTTCAACACCTCATAAATACCGAATCTTGTGGTCGAATAAGTCAATTGTCTTAAAAGAGAAGCCGTTAAACCATTATATAGGGCTATAACTCCTTGACTACGAATAATAAGACGAGTATTAGCCAAAAGACCCATTTCAGAGGCACTTCCCGAACCAGAAGTGGTCGACAATCGGGCCTTTGTTGTGGCCGTTTGTAAATGAACTTTAAGCAGATCTAATGGATGGGTACAACACGCGGCACCAGCACTGGCCAGACCACCGAAATACCATTTGGCCAATCGGTTGTCACGGGATGTCATGTTTTGCTCTATTTATCACTCAATTGATTAGACACTTATGGAAGCACTCAATCATTTAGTGGACAATAACTTCAATTAGTTATTAAAAATATATTAAACACTTTTGCTGTTAATTTTTTAAGACATGATTTTTATCATTAATGATAATAATTATTATAATTAAGTTATTATATAATTTAATATAATTTTTACCAAATATTTTGATTTGTTGTGATTTTAACAAATAATATATATATTACTATATATGAGATGATTGTGATATCATAAATGATTTCAATACTCTCTTAATATGATATATTAAATATCTATAATTAACTTATCGTTAAAAATTAATTAACAATTATTATTATAATTGAGGAAAAATAGTCACATTTCATGTTATCATTGGTTTGACTGATATTTTGAGACTTTTTTCTAAAGTGTCTCTAATATTGTTATCAATATTTATATCATTGAATGTGTTTTCAATACAATCATCGATGTATTGTATCAGCAAATTGTGTAATAAATAAATAATTAATTAATTAATTAATTAATTAATTAATTAATTAATATTAAGTATAAGTAAAGTAATAGTAATATTAAAATGTAAAGCATTGGCTAATTATAAATGAATGAAACACTAAAAATAATGCAATTATTTCAACATTCAATTGACAGCAATGAATGCATTTAAGAGACATCTATTGATATCATGTCTACAGTTGTATACTATTTGTATAAATATTTATTTGATTACATTATTAATCACATGTATTGACACTAATCGCCATAATATTAGACATTCATTAAAAGCTGTCAATTGGTGTCAATGTCTTCTCGATGGTAATACATGTGTGAAATAAGTGATGAAATTGAATGATATGTTATGATTGAATATAATAGGTATCCGCGATATGTTTTGGGTAATCCTCAGTTACGCGTCTTTTTGCCCGACTTTTGGATGATATTAAAGAAACCTCTGGATCCGTTACCTGCAAATCAGGTGCAATTCAAGATACCTGTCTTGTATGTTATCATTTAACTTAAAAAAAATAATATAAGCTTTAATGTCGACACCGTTTTTGTTGTCCAAAGTATGACCAAATGGGATGTTAAGAACTATTTGGAGAAAATCTATAAAATACCGGTTATTGATGTTCGGACTCATGTCATGTGTGGTGACATCAAGAAAGCTAAGACAACTCAGAAACCATATCTTATTAAAGAAGATGATTATAAGTTAGCGACTGTTGATTTGGTAAGCAATATATCATATCATATCCTATTAATATATTTTGTTATTAAATTATTTTTAAGCCAAAGGATATGATATTTAAATTTCCCGAACTCTTCCCGAAAGAGAAAATAAATGAAACGAAGAAAGATATGACGGACGCCGAGAAAGAGGTTGAATTCGGGAAATTACGTGAAAAGAGAAAAAGATATAATAATAAAAGAGATAACGTTCCCGATTGGTTCGGCATTTAAATAAATCATAATATTTATTTGTTTTCATTTTTTATTAATAAAACCATTAATTAGTTAAACAATATATATATATATATAATGAAAATTGATAATATTATCAAATAATTGTAGAAAACCTAAAAATATGAACACATTTATTAGCGCCGACCGCAAGAATGGGTAGTTTGCAATTCCAAGCAATACCGGCGCCCGCTTTCATCAATTCATTTAGTAATACCTAATTTGTTGAATAATATTTTTATTAAATAATTCACAAATTAATTCAAATTAGAAAAACCTGTTTTGTCTTAAGGTTCTCAACCCTAACAGTGCTATTAGGTCTTCCTCGGGTAGCAATGATATTTGCATCAAAGAATTTGATGGCTTGAGAACCATTCAAGTGACCTCTTCGCTGTTCAATTGGCAAACTTAATGATACAATGAGTTAATAATTAAATAATGAAATAAATCAATCAAATTATACCTCGAAAGAGAAGTGTCCCAAAAGTATATATCACTCGATGAGACACAAGCTATAGACAAGCTATTAGTTGGCGACCAATCGGCGGACAAAAGTGGATATCGGTTGCAATCACACGACAAGAGAGGACGTTGTGTTTGGCAATCATAAAAACGAATGGTTCCCTTCTTTTCTGCGATTAATAACTATTGAAGAAAATAAGTCATCAGTGAAGACATAAATCAATTGATTCAATTAATAATCATTTACTTTGTTTGGTTCACTCATATGCCACTTAACAGTAACGCCCGCCGATGTCAATGTAAGTTTGGCCGTGAGTTCGGGTTCATCATTGACCAGTGACCACAAACAACAAGTGCAGTCATCACTAACTGAAGCCAATGTCTGACCATTAAATGGTTCAAAACAAATATCATTAACAAAATCTGTATGTTGTCTAAGATATGCTAAGTTAACAATGGGTTCGCTAGACTTGATGTCTGATGTAATGACCCGAATGTCGTACTGATGTGTGGCCACTGCGAACTTAAGACATGTATCTATCGGATCCAATTTGGTTTCGGGACTCACAGCTATCGCACAGCATTTGACACCAATTATAAAATCTTGGATTAATTCGTAATCAAAACTAGTGTCAAGTTTATCATCAGTTATGACTAACTTAATGACAAAAACTCTTGAGTTGGCCTCAAATGCCAACAAATTATGAGATAATTTATCTGAACTAAAGGCCACACAATTTACAACATCGGGACTATTAATCAGATGATGTGACCAATGGTTCGGTACTTTAATGTCAGTCATCTCTTCGTGTCTTAGTTTAGATGCATTGGACATCATATTAGATGTATTTAAAAGACGACTCGAAGACAAAAAATCCATTGATTTGAAGCAAATTTGAGATGAAATGTAAACAATGTTTAAATGATTTGAATTATTAATTAGTAATTTAAATAAACGCCAACTCTTTGACTGAATCTCTCATTTGTCGATCATTTGGTAAAACATTAGAAATGCGGTCAAAGATGTGTTTGTTGTGGACGTCATTGATGTCTGAATTGATGTTTTGTTAGCCATTGAATATGTCTTTTGTTTTGCGCTTTCATTGCTTTTCAACGGTTTTGATGTTTGAATGCATTGAATGAATGAATCTATGAATCGATTGACTCTATAATCGACAAAAACAAACCATTGTTTGGACAAGAAATCTGAAGAAGACATAGAAAAGTAAAAGTAATAATAATAATAATGTCTAATAAAGACTATGACGTCGAAGAAATTCTGGACTCACGACGAAAGGGTAATAAAACTGAATATTTGGTTCGTTGGGCGCCCACCTGGGAGGCAGAAGCCGGTCTACACTGTGCTAAACTACTCAAAGAGTTTAAAGCAAATAAAAGTGATTCAAATGACGCAAATGGTAACGATGGAAATGAAGACGAAGATGAAGATGATGAAGAAGAAGAAGAGGTTAATACTTCTAAGCGCGGATCCACTCGAAAGGCGGCCAAAGCGGGTAATCGTAAGCGTAAAGCCACACAAAAGGCAACGACAGCCAAGAAATCAAAACGCAGGCGATAGACAACTGATACACAAGAATACAACTCTTTGAAACAACCATTTGATTCAATCAATCAATAGTTTTCGTCGTTTAACATATAAATTCATTTCTTTTATTTTATTATATTTTTGTCTTATTTTTAAGATTATTAATATGTTTTAGCTTTCAATTCATTTGATTTATAAAAGAAAACATTAAAAGCATTTCATCTAATTTTTTCATAAGTTTTCAATTTTAATATAAGATTATAATTATTTTAAGTTTCATTAAAATATAATATTAATTGTAATTTAATAGATATTAAACTCATTTTTATAAATCTCGACTCTTCACACATATTGATGTCAATAAAATTTTACGATTAAACTAATAAAACATTTAACCAAATATTAAGTTAATTTATATAATTTTATTTTTATAACTATAATGTTTGATATAATTGAAATAATAATTCAATAGAGATTTAATAGTTTTATTTGAATTTAATTAAACAATTTTGTGTTGTTTGTGGTGGGGGTGAGTGTTGGACCCACTTTGGGTCACATTTGCTATGTATTTAAAGTAATAATATCAATGGTTATACTATTGTTATATAATTGTATTGTTTATTGTATTTATTACTAATTTATTTATATCTTAACCTAAATAAGTGATTCATTAATTGAATTAATTTTAATTCAATGCAATAATTAATGTGTAATTAATAGCTATTAATTGATTTCAATTGATTCACACAAATACAACATTTGATAACAAATAATATATATTGTCATAAATGTGTGCAAATTGTTGCCTATATTTGTTAGAAAAAAATACATTTTAATGAATTAACAAAAAATAAATTTAGTCGACATTTAAACACAGATATCATATAACTCTTTAAAATTAATATAAAATCTATTAATAAAACTTAAATAAATTTTAGGCTTTCAATGTTAAGTCAACCAATCAAATGGCTCTATACTGTTGCTAACCACTCAATAGCCAATAGCAGCTCAATATAAAGTCTATATAAATGCTTAAACACTTTCAACAAAATTATTGAATTGATTCACTCATTAATATATATCCCAAATATATATTGAAGTGTTCTATGAATTCCAATGGAATGTAATATATGAACCAAAGACTGACCAAAACTAACAAATTTTGATATCTTTTTCGGTAATCGGTCTAAACGTCAGCGAAAATGCTTACAAATCGATGGCAAATCGTCCGAATCGGATAAAAGACCATTTCATCCATTTGTCGAATTCAGCGAATATGCGGACAAAGACATTGGTCTTAAAGTTTTAAGTTTGAATAACACATGACATCAATCGCGATCACCGAATGTCTTCAAGCCGTGTCTGTGCCGATGAGTGCCAATGAGTCCAAATCTCGGTAATCATTGGCTTCGATGCATTGGTAGCACAAGTAGTCGAATCATCACTGAAAGTGATAGATGTCGTGGTATTCCATTGATTATCAATTGTTGTCCAAATGTTTTCATTGTTATTATTATTAAAATTGTTGTACATTTGGTTCAGTAATGATTAACGTGACGATTGATTTGTTAGATTCGTTGTATATCTTATTAATAAACTTCAGTTTCGTCCGATTTGTCTGTGATTTGTTTGTTGTTTTGTTTCTATATATTGTATAAATTGTTTATATTAACCGTCAATTTGATGACAATAACCCGAAAATTATAATTATTTGCCAAAACCTGATAAATCAGACGGAAATGTAAACAACAAATTCACCGATAGATCCGATAATTAGTTGGTCACACACACAACGGGCTAACAATTTTGGCGCAGTCGTCAGCATCAACTCCAACATTACTCACCTGAAATCATCGGACATACCGGATGCATAAACCAGAAGCCGCTCACGAAGACGTAGTGCGCAATCAATGGTCAACACTCATAGCCAAAGCATCTCGCGCTGTCACAGCACATACGCGTAACAGTTCTCAGACTACGGTCACAAATCGATACACAAAGCGATAGACACCGAAACCGTTCTCACCGTTGCGTACAACCAACACACGTGTAACTGAAACGGAAGCGCATATGAAACTGATTCACAATCGGAGCCATTTTCAACAAACACTCGCTTTGATTTCAGTGACGCGATTGACGCTATATATCAAAACACAATATACCGAATTATTATGCGACAAATATTCGAGTTCATCGTTTACTATAGAGGAATGTCTCGACGTCTTCTACTTCCTTACCTCCGACATCACTGAAGATAAACAAAAGATGGTCGTCTTATATCGACATATTTCAAGTGATACACTCGCAAATAGAAATTAGTCCTGAAGGGCACAATGTCACAGCAACGCTGCCGTTAATTGATGATCAATCGGTTTGGTCGACAAACCACAAACCCGTTATCGAAGCATTTCAAACCACACTACAACCCCACGAATCAGTTACTTCGTATTAAAATGACGAGACGTTTGACACAAAGAGCCGGTCTCACAGACGACACAATAGCCGTGTTAACCAATGGTATGACCGAAACCTATCGATATTATGTCAGATCATGTCATGTCTGCAACAGACATCGCAATCGAACCGACAATCAATTAAAGCACCGAATGATCGTTAATGAACACAAATATTATCGCAAAAATAAGTTGTCGTTTAACGAAACAATGGTCACTCATATTGACTATTAATGACATCACTAATAACAAAACAACCGAAAGTCAACACAAAAACGGTAGACAACAATCAAAACCAAATAAACTGGTTATCAAATCGACTTTCACGTTGTATACGAATGATCCCCAAAAACCGACAAAAACATACTAATTACCAACTAATTGGTACAACAAACCAATGAACTCATTCGACATATTTTATTTTTGATCCTTTATACAATTCTTAACTTTAAATTTTTTACCTAAAATTTTTCTACTTTGGTCGCCATTATTTCTATGTTCCCGAAGAGATATCAAAATTTTAATGTCAATACCCTATACCTTGTTTTTGATGCTAAATCCAAATCTGAGGTCAAAATTTAAAAATTCAATCAAATGCGGACAGAAGGACATATAGAATTCAGATACGAACTCCTTTCAGGAGTTCGTGAAAATTAAAACTAAACGAATATTAAATACACTTTCAATTGCTTAATACCGACAGGTTTTTCTTTAATAACTTTTGATAGAATTGAGATTTTTTAATGAAATTTTAAGTAATTCATACATCAGATTCTGTTATGAGATGTTGTAATGCAATAATAGTTTGTCCGAAACGTGCGATTCAACTAAAAACATACCACACGGTGTCATATGAGAGCACATACAGTATATTTGTTACATTACTTTATTACAAATTAAAATCATTTATTTTTATTAAACAATTAAATTAGAAATTAATTATTATACTGTATATACTGTATATATCAATACTTTTATTCTATGAAAATCATACTATTTTATAGAATTACTATATTAACAATTATTGTCACAATTTTATAGTTTTAACTTTTATTATCAAATGTCTATTACATTACATTGTAATTAATTTTTTTAGTAAATTATAATTTTATTATTAACTAAAATATTTGAATTTTTCGACTTTCGAAATAACTGTTTTTTATTTTATAGTAATATTGTATAAACCTATTGTATTAATAATTAAAAAATACAAAAATAATTAATTTCAAAACAAACTGTTAGTTGATTTTATTGAAAACTTATCAATCAGTTAACAAAATAATAATAAAATTAATAAACAAATAATTCATTTCAAAATGAATAAAAAAACAAAATAAATAAAATTTTTACATTAAATGAAAAAATGCTTTTTATATATTGAACTTATATTTTATACAATTTTTTAATCAATGGTTAAATTTACGAAACTATATATAAATACTGATTTGATGTTTGAATAAATTGTTTTATCAAATATATATTTACAACAACTGTGTACTGCATTAGTCACTAACAATTGATTTAATAAATAAAATATACATTTTTATTATGGTTTGCATGTCTTGATGTTTAAGAGAGAAAGAAATAGAAAGAAGGGATAGAAAGGCATTTCACTAATCATTTAGTCTATGATTTCATATTTTCGCGGAATGTCTTGATTTTAGAGACAAAGAAGGCCTCGAGTTGTTCAGCGCATTGAAAAAATGGTGAATTGCGGGCGTTATAGTAGCGGCAGTTGTCAAACATCTTTGTTATGTCACCAATGAATTGAGCCAACGATTCATAATTTTCACGATTTATACGACTTTCAACTGTTTTCAAATCTATTTCAATAATAATAACAAATTATAACAAATTAATACAATTAAAGTCAATACTACCGACCAATAGGTTCTTTAATGACTGTGAAATAGTCGGGAACTTCTTTGGGATCGACCGGAGTTAAGAATGGCCACGAACTCTTGTGTGTCTGTAATCAATCAATCAATTTATTTAATCATTTTATATAAACTCAGTTTGTTTTTAATAATATTGTGTAAGATTTATGTATTATTTTTGTAATTATTTTATAATAGTTGTGTTGAGATATTACTGGTAACCGTCAAAAAATTAATTTTAATTTTTTCTAATCATTTTAATATATAATATACTGTATATACAGTAATATATGTAAAATAAATGAATACCTGAAGGGTTTTGAGTAATTTTTTGAGATTTTCAAAATCTTTTGAATTTAATTTTTTTAAATTTGCAAAATTGATTTGAGAGTCACTCTGACAATTAGGACAAACATATTCCTCGATAGCAGTGGCTTCCGATTGCAAGACACCGACACATCGGCCGTGAAACCAGTCCTGACAACGATCGCAACAGATGTAGAACTGGCTTTCGTCGTATGGCTTCCGACACAAACAATAGAGTTCATTGTTTTTGGCTCTTTTCTCGTCACAATTCGGACAAATATATTGATCGGCTTTCTTAGCCTGAGTTTCGCTAAGTCCGACACATTCGACGTGAAACCAATTCGAACAGATATCGCAGCCGACCATAAATTTTGACGAATCATATGGTTTACGGCAAATGCAATACAAAGCATTTGGTTTTTTACCACTTCTTGCTTGACTACCCGGTGATCTATTCTTCTTTGGTGACACTGAAGGAGAATTTGAATTAAGTTTTAATCGCTTCTGTTTTGGAGGACGTATTTCATCCATATTATCTGATTCTTCATCAGTGACTACATTATTATTAACATTATTTAGATTTATTTTTCTTTTATTTCCTATAACAGCACTCTTTGTCGGCGAACTGTTTACTGGAGTAGTGTTCTTCTGTGGCAATGTGTTTGTAATAGTATTTAATTCATTTTGAATTTCAATTTTAAGATTTTTCTCCAAAAGTGCTCGTCTTTTGATGATATCTTTCTTGAGTTGTTCTGTTTGTTTAAAAAGCAAAACTTGAAGTCTGTTAGCATTCTGTCTCTGACGCCTCTCAGCCATCGATTCTTTTGTTCTCTGATTTCTTCGGTTAGCATTTCTTGATTGACCTTTAGGTTTATCTTCTTTGTCAATCTTATCCAACAATGACTTAATCACTGATTTGCAAACATTCATAATATCCGAATCATCTCTCTGTTCAGCTGTTATTTGAACCGGTGTTTGTTTTTTACATCTGTTTGCGACTCTTCGTGAACTCGATGGTGATTTAATTCTATTTCTGGATAACGGTGTACTATTGACAGGAGTCGATATTTTAGTTACAGTGTCTTTGGTATTGTCCTGTTCCTGATGGTGTCGCTGTAATGCCATTAACTTCTGTTGTATTTCTGGTGCTATTTTGGGATTCATTAGCGCTTGTCTAACAATCTGTTGAGTCATTGCTGATGTTAATACAAATTGTGGTGAATTCACTTGTGATGCTGTGGTTGTAGCTGTTGTTGGAATCACATCTTTTGTAACACTTTGAGGATTTAAAGTGGAAGAAGTAACGACAGGAGTGACTACAGGTTTAATAGATGTACTCTTAGTTTCAGTTGTCATGACTGGTGTAGATGTTTGTTGTGCTTTGGGTTCAATTCTGACAGTTGTCACAACTGGTTGCTGAGCTTTAATGATCTGCGATTGAATAGTAATGGGTGGCCGAGGAGTTTGGTTAGCAGTTACAGTTGAAGATGTATTTACTTTCACTTGAATTTTACTATTTTGTTGAGGAATAGATTGTTGAGATGATTGCAATTGAAAAACTTGAGTCGTCGGTGTTGTTATTGGCTGAATATTCTGTCCTAATTGCGGTCTCATTTGTACAACTTTGGCCATCACTGGTTGGCTTCCAGGTGTGTTATTTGTGGAAATAATCCTAATTTGTTGGGTTGGGTTCACTGATTGTGGTGTCGATACGATTGTTGTCGCGGGACTGTTATTAGTAGAAACAATTTGTATAGAATTAGAGATGACATTAGATGTTGAAGGTGTTGATTGAGTATTAATTGCTATCTGAATCGGTTGATTCCCTGCAATGGCCGACAACGGAATCTGTAACAACTGCATCCTTCCGTCGGGTAAACGAATGGGAAGCTGTACCTGTCGTTGAAGAGTTTGGGTATTAGATTGAACTAATGTGGGACGCACTGGATTTTGCAATATTATTGGTCTCAGCTGTCCCGTTGGTCCGGTTGGTGTCCGCACTATATAAGTTGTACTAGAAGTTGGCGTTCGCGTAACGGGTTGAGTGCTTATTGTAGTCATCGGCGTTGATGTTTGCAGTGTTGGAACAGCTGTTGAACTTCTAATAATGATCTGTTGTCCGGGAGATTTGCCCTGAAGGGCTGAAATAGGGATTCTAAATGTCTGACCACCCGGTGTTCGGACAGTTGCAAATTGATTGGGAGTTTGTGTACGAGTCGTAACGTTTGATGAGATAACTGGAGAAATACCACGGGATGTGAATATTCTTTTCATTCCTTTATTTTGAATAATACTCGTAAATTTGCCGGTCGTTGGCGTTGATGGTGTTGTTTGTGAAACACTTGTTGAAACCTTTGCCGCCGCCTCTGCCATTCGTTTCTGATGAAGTGCTTCTCTTTGTTTCTTAAGCTGTTCTTCCATTTGTTTGCGAATCTTTTCAGAGTTCTGTCTTTGTGCTTCTTCAGCAGCTCTTTGCTTAGCTAATTGTTGTTGTTTTTCAACTTTTTCACCAAATTGTCTGATTTCCCACAATTCAAGTTCTTCTTCAGGAACCCAACACTCTGTAACTGACGGTCCCCTCATTTTTGGTGACTCAGGTCTACGTCGTTCTCGAAGACCGCTTCGAATTGGAGTTGACTTTTCTGTTGGATTAGATTTTTCAAAAAATAAAATAAATCATTCATTAAAAATATTTAACAAACCTCGAGGTTTTGATGGAACTTCAATGGGAACAATGATTCTTCGCACTAAATATTCAGATCTGATACCAAATGGCGCCAATTCTCTACGTTTAAGTATTTCACTCGTTTGCACTTCTGTTTCAGTGGTGATTGTATTGGCACCAGAAGGCGGTGGCTTTGTCGACAAATCATCCCATCGAATGCTGGCCCAGAGTACTCTTAATTGAGTGGACACACCATGAAGTGAATCAATTTTCTGATTTCGGTAGAGCCAAGAGGTCCGGAATATGGGACGCGGTGTTTGACCGTAGGGCCAAATGGAAGGATTTGTTTTGGCTGAATAACTAAAACCACTCACTTCTCTTAACGCACCACTTCTTGCCAAACGCTTTAATTCAAATTGTGGTAAAATTAATATAGATTTTCGTTTCCCTTTGACAGTTGTAAATCGAGGACAGGGAGGTAACTGTCCTTTAATATGACGCCTACCAATACGTTTAGCCATTTGCAACACACCATTCACTTTAACAATTTTAGCTAAAGATAATGGCGAAGAGCAGTCGGCTATTTGGTCGCAATCCAAACAATTATAATTCCAAACATTATCTTTATCATCATTTTCTTCTTTTATTTTACTTTTGTCGTCTATTTTATTAGTTTTTAATCTTTCAAAACGACATACACTGGAATAGCAGGTCTTTACAGCAGTAGTTGAATCACTTTCCGATCGACACCAACTCGAGTAGCATTTGTCAATCAAACTTTCTTCTTCTTCATTGACTTTTTCTTTTAAATCTTTATTTTCTTCTTTTATTTGTAACTCATTTTTCATTTCTGTTTCTTCAATTTGTTTCATTAATTTTCTTCTTTCCAACAAATTGTCCAATACTTTACATGTTTTATATACTTTTGGATAATAGTATCGCTTAGAAGTGTCTTCAGCTAAACATTTGCTAATATCAATGGTCGGTGTTTTCGTTAGCATATCTTTGTGTTCTTCAGGAATGACTGTTATATTCAATGGTTTGTTCTTTTCTGGCAATTCGTGTATGATTTTTGTAGTACTCCTCCAAATCCAGGCACCCCTTCCTGTCAGACGATATTCTTCACCCTTTTGTTTCCAAATTTGGTGCTTAATTCTGCCCAAAATATAGCGAACGCCAACACCAAACCTAAATTGATTGTCCTGTTCTTCAATCTGATCCCTTCGCTCACGTTTTTCGAGTTTCTTTTTCTCTTCCCTTTCGAGAAATGTTGTTCTGTTTAAACACGTGAATCCAAGAGCCTCGAGCCAAGAAGGGTTAAACAATACCGGTTTCATTGACGACTCAAGTATACAAAGAGCTAAAGCAAAATCTTTGGCATTCGAACACATATTAACAGCTTTGAGCCAATTTGGTCGATGAAGTGGCCAATTCTGGTGTAAGAATGGAACTGATAATTGACTTTCTAATTGTAATATAGTTTGTCTTAGAGTTGTAACAATTATAGATCGGGTGCCAAATGTCTGTCCCTGCCATTTGAGTTCAGAGGCTAATGTCAGACTAAACTTATGGCTTAATTGTCTCTTTTTATCCCTTTCTTCAGAGTGCTGGTGCTTATTGAGTGACAAATGATTTGTAATGAAGTGGTTTTGATACGACCTATAATTGCCTTCCATTCCGAGTTTAAATAGTAGACTATTATTCATAGCACTTGATGTCAACAATGACTTCTTGGGCACGCGAGTCAGTTCACCATCTTTATTAAGCACAAGAATTGTTTCGTCATCTTTATTATTTGATCCATTGCTTAATTTATTCTTCAATGGATCCAAATTAATTGGTTTTGGTTGAATGGATCCAGTTTTAAGACGAGTAAGAATTCCTTCCTTACAATTTTCTGCTTCCTTTTCCGTATCCTTTTTCTCACTTTCCTCTCCTTCGTCTTCAATTCCGTTCATTTTTTTCTCTTCAATTTCTTCGGATTTGTTTTTTAAATTTAGTCTTTCAGTCTGTATTTTAGTTAACCTTTCATTTTCCACTTCTAAATAGCTTTTTCGTGACAACTTCGAAGAATTTGTTAATTTTTCTGTAATATCCATTTGTTTGTTAATATCTTCAATTATTTCTTCAATATTCTTGCAAAGATCAGCTTCATATTGATTTGAATCTAATAATCGAAGCATTTCTTCGAGCTGTACTTTACTTGAATAATACCACTTAATAGTTCCGTCTTCAGATTCAACAATAATTCGACGACAAAGGAACCAATACTTGCGTTTATGTCTATCCCAACCCAACGGTTCCTGACGACAAAGGAAACCACTTTTTTCATATTCAGACACACAGTCAGTGACTCCGACCACATAATTGCCTTTACATATGGCACAAACCCATTCCTCATTGGGAACCTCAAGTAATGGTGGATCCAAACACGTCAAATGAAATACTGCCGGACATGTCTCACAACAGAGAAGATCTCCTAACTTATGGCAGACTCGACAGTGATCGTCGTGTTTGATGATACCTTCATTGACTAAATCTTCTCTGGCCGGTGTTGTTGTCAAAAATTGGTCACAAAGATGTTGTAAAACTTTCAACTTTTTGTCCACTCGAGTAAAAGGATATTCAGTGTCGTTAAGACATTCATCAAGTATTTGTCGGTTTAAAGTCATGTCAGCCGATAAATATATTCTCAGCACATCCGGCCACGTAATGTAATCATTAAAAAATAAGTATATGTTTATTGAATCCCTGAGATCTTGAGGTCCAAACCATGTATTAGATGAGTCGTCTTCCCTTAGAATAGCTTTAATAAGTTGTAAATGAATTTCTGAAAGAAGAGAGTTCTGTTCATCGATGAGAAGTGCTGTACAAAAGTCCTCAAAACGAAAGGGAGTTAAACGTAAAATATTTCTGAAATGTCTCAACACTTCATACACACAGACGGCTTGCATGAGGTATTCGTTACTCAATAATATATCTTCACTACTGTCCGGAAGAGTCAATTCGGGAACTTCTATGTCCTCAAAAAATAGTGGACTTTTGACGCGCGGAGCACGAAATGGTGGCTTCTTTTTAGATGACAAACTCTCTGTCGACTCGTTGTCCAAATCTTCTTCGAGTTCATCGTCTATATCAGTCTCTTCTTGAGTGTAGTCATCACTTTCATCAACTTCTGATTCATGCGATTGGATGTCATTGATATCATCGTCATAGGCGTCACTTTCTTCACTGTCATCCCATTTTCTCTTAGCGTTGTTGCGACCACTGGATCGGGTCCTGTATTTGGACGCATTAGTACTGTTGGACGCGTTAGAAGTATCGTCCAAATCGGGTCCATTAGATCCGGGATATAAATATCGCGGTTTCTTTGCTTTTGCCAATCTTTCGGCCGACTCTGGATCCTTTGGAGGCCTACCCCGACGGGTCGATCGGCCCCTTCCGGTCATCAAATTGGACACCAATTAAACTCCAGAAATAAATGTAATGAAAAGTAAATCAATTATTTAAATGCAATCAAAGTTTAAATCCGATTCAAATCGCGGCCATTGTTTTGCTCTCAACGTTGGGATAAACCGTAAGTCTATTGCCATTCACTGGCATTGTATGCATAACGCATGTCTTGATTCACTACTACACACATTTCGTACCTTTTATTATACTTACTTTTAGATGAATTTATTTAAAAAGGTACCAATTTTACACTTAATAGACTTTATTGCTCTTTTCAAATACTAAACATATTTCTGTATAATAGATACGCATATATAAAAAAGTACTAAATTGTCTAATAGACTACAGATATCTTTGTACAATATTATACATACAGTACTGTACAGTATATACCAAATAAGTTTGTCGACAAAAATAATGTCTAAATGCATATTATTTTCTGATTTTATAATAGACATACTGTACTATCAAATATACAATTGATTTTAAATTACATTTAATATTAATTTATGATAAAAATTGACGACAGAGACCATCACTAAGCGTTAAGACACTAAGCAATCATTTTTAGAAATTATAAAATTAAGTTATAAATAATGTATTAAAGATAAATTGAACGATCAATTCTAATTTGAACATGCTCATCTTAACATTTTTAAATTAACAAACTTAATTTATTTAACAAAATATTTTTGTAAATTTATTTTTAAACATTTTATATTATGTTATACAGTATAATATATTGATAAAATAGTAATAATGTTAAATTAAAAAGAAAAATATTTGATAAACAATTTAATCTAGGTATTTAATTAAAATTATAACATAAATTATTGTTCTTTAAATTGATTATAAAATATGTGAAAGTTATTTGTATGTCTTAATTATCAAATATAATTAAATACATGATTTTAAATTAAATTAAAAATAATAAATACAATTAATAAATAACAATTTGTTATGTATGCATATAAATAATGTTTTTTATATTTAAAAAATTATACAGAAATACAATAAGTCTATTTAAATAAGCATTTTAAACATTTAGCCAACTCATGTATTGTAATGAATATTAAATAAGAAATTATTTACTAATTTAAGTTATGATTTACATAATTAATAATTTATAATAATATAAATTTCTTGACTTAATTATAAGTAAAATTGACAAAAAAGGCTAATTAGACATAATTTTATTTGTAAACCAAACCATGTCTTAGCTGTCGATTTACTCTGAAATTGATGAGACAGTAGTAGTGGTCACTCGTGTGACTCCACAATATTGTGACACTGAAAGAGAGACATATGTTTTAGACTTTTTTAATAATAATCTTTATTTCCTATAATTAAGACAATTATTGCGACATTTGTTTTAATTAAGTACTTTTGTGGGCGTTTGGTGTGTAATATAGTTTTTATTTCTTTTACTAGTTTTTGCACGACTTTAATATATAATCTTTAGTTTTAAAGGAAAAGATTTTTAAAATGATTTTATATATTAAGTTGTTGTAGGAGTTTAAAGAAGGTGTCAAAAAACTAATGTTTGATCCAATAATTTTTTGCTTTAATTGTGTGAATTTATATTTCAAAATATTTATAATGTATAATAAAATCTAGTTGTAACTAATATATAGTACTATAACTATACCATACATTCTGAACTGTTGATAATATAATCGTTATAATTTGATGTACTGTATTACATAAATTATATAGTTATGCAACTATTACAATAAATACAGTAATAATTATATTTATATATATATATTAAGAAAAAACTATATTAAAATTAGGGTCAATCTAGTAATAACTCCCACTATAAATCTATTTGCAATAATATATGCCTATTAATTTGATAGTATTTCTAAATATTAATGACAATTATTATAATTATAATACTGTACTTAACTTATAAACATATTTTGAATAATTCTATTTTATGATTAATACTATAATAAATGAATAATTTAAATATTTTTAACTAAATGAAAAATATAGGAAAAATACTGAAACATGCAATATATACATTATAATCCAATTATATGATAACATACTGTAGATATTGTATATCTAATCAAAAAAATCTATTGTAAAGTTATATTAATGTTTTAAATATTTGGTTAAATGTGAAGACAAGCGATAAAATAGATAATAATATTAGAAATCAAGTGATGCTTACACTGTGTTATAGAACACGATCGCCGACAGCACTCGTCAACCACTCCTCTAATAGTTCTGTGAAATAATCCCATACTTTGTTTGTTATTGTTATCATCATTATTGATGTGTGTCTTAAATAGACTAAAAGTATCATTTGGTTCATCAATGTTATCATCGTTTATCATCAAACCATTTGGTTGATCTGTATATAAAAAAATTTAATTAAAATTAAAAATAGTTATTAAAATTCTTTAATGTATTTAACAATTTTTCTAATTTATATATTAAAGAATATTCTGTTAAAAAACTAGAAGACCTTCGGCTGACATAATATTTGGGTTTGCCGTCAAAGAGCTTCTCTTATTATAGCTCTCACAGAGAAAATGCAGAGCTCGGACTAAGTTATTGCCGCAGTAGTGTCGGGTCGATCGGGTGTCCACTTTGTGCACGCCATACATATAATTATTATGAAATGCTAGAGTGACCGATATATAAAGTAAAATAAATACACACACTTTGAAGCATTTCATCGGTACGGATGATATTGTCATCTGTAATAAATTTATTTATTGTAAAAACAAAATTTTTAAAACAATTAAAATATTATTTTTGACAATTGTTTTAAAATAAGATATTTTAATTAATATATATATATATATATATATATATATATATATAACTTACTTTAAAATATTATCTGAATTTGATGTAATTGTAGCGCCAATATAATGACTTTAAGTTAGTAAACGATTGTCTTATACTTTCACAATTTGTTGACTAATGTATAGCTTTTATAGTCAATTAGAAACAAATTTGTAGTAAATTTGTGTAAAATTAATATATTTTTTGTGAGTTAACTAATGATTTGGTGTTTCTCATCGACTATTGGCCTATTGGTGGGCAACTTCTTAGTGGTTGAAGTCATGATTTGGTGTTAATTCCTAATACGTTGAGCTCAGCAAACCTGATGTGTTGTTTGCCTTTTTCAATACATACACTGTGTGTATGACATTGACATAAACGTAGGAGAAATGCCACTAATTTTTTGTTATTAACTAAAATAAATCAAGATTTCCGTCAATCATAGTCTCAATTTGTTTTGACACTTCTTTACTAAATCAAAATTTTCTTTCATATTTTTATAACTATTTTTTAAACTCAATTATCTCTTAAAACGTTTATTATTTGTATAATACTTTAGTATAAAAGATATTATTTGATAAATTTATGGATCAATTTATAGAAAAACCTAAAATAGTTATATTCTGAACACTTAAACAATTTTTACAAATCCAAACCAATCGCGAAGTAATAATTTTTAGGTTAAAATCTATGTATATCTTAAATTGAATTACTTTAATGACTATAATTATTTTTTTAATAAAGAATAATTTATTTAGTTTAATAAATTTTTAATTAATTGTTTATAATTTTGTATATATTTTAGCTTTTATAAATCTTTTACAATTATTTACTATTAAATATTTAAAATAAAACAAAATAAATAAGGTTTGGGTTGGGATTTGATACCGGTTATAGTTTTGGTAGTAATCTGTAAATTTGATATCAATGAGTTTGATAGCAAATGTTTCACACTTTATACTGCATAATAATATACTGTAATATCAATAATTTATTTTTTAAAACATTTAAAAACATGTTAATCATATGAAGTAAACATATAAAAACATGAACCCAATTATTAGTGATTGATATGTTTAGTGTTACATAGGCTTCAATTTTCGGACAAATCGGGATTTTCTTGTTTTTTGCCCTTCAATATCACTAATAAGTAAATTATAATATTATTTCATTTAATATCCAATTGATTTGTTACAACAATCTTAAGAGTATACAAATGAGTTGAATGTTGTGGACATATATTACAAGTAATTTGATGTCAATGTTTTATACAGTAAGTTATATCTATATTTTCGTTATGATATATCTATGGATTTATAATATACAGTATATAAATATTAATATAAAAATTATGGTGTTATATACCGATACAATATTTATGTCTATAAATTTAATTGATTGACTAATTATTCTGTTGGATAACTTAATCAATGGATTTAGAAAATTAATAGAAAAAATATTGGGGTTTTTACTTAATGTATTTATGATAATCAATGATAATCATCTAAAAGATTATGATTTAATCATAAATTTGTTTTAGTTTTATATAGTAATAGTTTTTTTTAATTATATCTAAGTATACTGTATTTTATTAGACGTAACCATTAACTTAAACATATAGACATAATTAGTGTCTTGATTTTCAACTAAATAAATTATTTTGTCGGTTTAACGCTTATAACTGGGACTTAGTATGTCCACCGAAGTTGACCAGTGGACGCTATTTCCGAAATTTTATTATAACTATAAATAACTATTTGTTAGGTTAGAAACTATAAAAACTTATAAATAACTATTTCAGTTATTTTGAAAAATATAAGCATTAAATTGTAAAATATTGCTCAAATATATGTAAAAACAAAAAGTAATAGTTATATAAATTATATAAAATGCTTAAACTGTTATCAACTCATATTATTTTTTTAACAATAGAAATAATTAGTTTATTTATATAAATCATTTTTGTAAATATGCTGAAAACAAGTGAATTATATATCAGTTGAAATATTTATAAGAAAATAAATAACTATTTGGCTTTTATGACAACTATATACAACTATTTAATACAGTTTAAATAACTATTTTAACAACTATTTGACGTTTTTTAGCAACTATTATAACAACTATTTAATAGAGTATAAAAAATTATTAATCAATACACTAGACATAATAATGAGATAATATTGTAAAATGTTTATAAATTATGAGTTATTAATATTATATTTCTACTGTACTTGAGTTAAAATAACTACTCTATTCAATGTATTATAAATTGTATTAATATTTTTTGATTATTTATAAGATAAAAATTTCTATCCTTTAAAAATTTTAATAGTAATATAAATTTTTAAAAATTATCAAAAAAAACACTGATAAAAAATAATTAGCGCAAATAAATACAAACTTAAAATAATTAGTACGTAGACTACAATAATAAAAACAGTTTTAAAAGTTATTATAAGGAAGAAGTAGAGTTTAATTATAATTTTGTTGGATTTGCAGATATTTATACTTTGAGTATTAGGAGAGTTGATATATATATTGTATATTACACTATATTTAATCCTCAATTATGGGATAAGTATTTTGTTTTGAAAAATATTTTCAAAAAACTGTTATATTTTGGCAAAAAAAACACTAATATCTATGGCAACGGATTCTTTGCCACAACTAATGTCATATGAATTAAATAATAACAAGAAATGTCTTTAATTCATTCAATTATTATCTTTTGGACGAAATGTTATTTAAAATTATTTGTTTTAATTCAATTATTAATCATTATATATAAGGGTAAGACTTGTTATTTTCTAAACAAGTTTATTAACTATTGATTGAACCCATAGGTTGGTCACTACCCTATAGAAGCCTAGTATTCTGGGCTGAAGTGCTTCTCTATGTTATCCTAATATGTCTACAATTATGTGCCTTTCAATTGTCTCATATGAACGCATCGATGTTTAATATAATCCTATTGATACCAAGCATTGTTGGCTTCATTTACTTTATTATTTGGCAACAATTTGTTTTAAGAATTGATATCATCTTGAATTCAATCTTCATTTTCTTACAATTTTTTTATATTATTACATCTTTTATCAAATAAAAATCATTAACAAAATGAATATTTTATAAAATTATTAATTGTTTTGTTTATTATAATTTAAATTTGAATTAATACTAATAAATTATTTTACAATTTTTACAAATTGATTTCGATTTATATTATATTATTTATAAATGAATTGTAAATTACACTGAATATAACATTTTTAAACTGAAAGTTACAAATATTTATTTAATCTCATGTATAATTTATATGAATAAATTTTTTTATGTAATTTCACAATATAGAAATGTTTGAAAATATTGTAGTTTAGAAATTCAATAATAGATAATTATGAAAAAAGTTAAGAAATATTATTATGTTTGTGACTTATCCTACATCTCAACTCAATTTAGACATTAAAACTCAATTTTTCAACTCATAAAACAAAATTTTAATTAATTTTTAAAATATAAATTATATTATTTTATTTAATTATACAGGTTAATTAATAATTAATATATTAACCAAAATTAATGATTAAAAGTACAATATTTATATTATTAAATTTTATAAGAATTTTATTTGTATCAATCAAATTTTATACATAATATCATATAATTTAATAAACACAATATTATATATTTACACAAAAAATTAATAAATATAAAATTAATTTTAAATTAATAAAACGTTATTATTAAATCATAACAATATAATCTTTTAAAATATATTATAATTAGATATAAATTTATATATATATATATATATATTGAATATGTAATTCTTAAAGAAGTGATTATTGTAAATATCCTTTAATATAAAATAAGAATATTATAATATATGACACATAAATACTAAATTTGATAAAATGTGATCAAAATTAAAATTTATTGCAATTAAAATGTATGATTCAAAGCTTGTTTGACAACACATTAAAAAATGCTTGTTTTTTTCAAGCAATAAATTGTGTAAAGAAATATAAAAATGCAATCGAGAAAACCATATAATTATTTGTTAATGATTTGAGCAATTGATTAGTTAGTCAGCATTTGGACCTTTTTTAGGCTCAGTGTTTGTTTCAGAGGGCACTGGAGGTTCATTTGAAAGTCCAGAAGCTGGAGGAAGAGATGCAGCCGCACCACCAATGGCTCCAATTGCTATTTCATCGACAGCAACGACACCAATCAATTCATTGTTAACATTTTGTTCAATACTTTCAATGCCATCAACTGATAAGTTAGTTATAGATTTAGATCTAACGCATTGAAAGTCGACATGTCTTGACTTTGCTTCTTCCTTTTCCCAGGACATCCGTATGAAAGGTCTTTGGACGTAATTGTAGATCACTTCTGGTCGACGATCACCCGGTCGACGACGAATCTTCTCTTTATGTGTCGGAAACCCTTTAAATTTTTGTAAATATTTATAATCGTCTTTCCATAATAATCACTAAATTATCGGTAAATCTATTTTATTATTAATACTACATTACCTTCAATTCCGAGTCTAATTTTTTTAAGTCCCCTTTCTTTAAGTACTTGTTTAGAAACGTCACGATTTTCTATGTATTTAAAGAACCGATACATAGGTGTTGAGTATATAACTATAAAAATTAATTCACAGTAAATGTCATTATTATAATACATGTATATAACTTTCATAATTTAATATTCAAATTCAATCTTATATCAAATATATTTAATATATAGTATTCATCACTTACTCTGTGAATATTCTTCACCGGTTTGTGGCGGATATTCTTCATCCCAATCGACCACATCTTCATTCAAAAGTATTACGATATGACTCTCTCTGTCGCCACGCTTTAAGTCAAACCAAACAAAATCAATTCATTTCAATCAGTTATCACGTAATCAATACAAGACTTGAATTGTGTCTCTAATTCAATACTCAATTCAATAATACTTTTCAAAATATAAAACTAAACTAAGTATTTGTTTTTTCAATAAACTCTTAGAAGAAAAAAATCATTTTTTTCAAAAGTCTATATACAATATGTTATGAGTAAATCATTTAACCAAAACTCAACAGTAATATCATTCAATTGATTCATTGTTTGGTCATTCAATGATTGTATATCATATCTATACTATTAGGTTATAGTGTATATACGGTAAGTGTGTCTTACTTTGGCTGAAGTAACCATTTCTGGCAAAATCCTCTCTTCGACGAACTTCTCGAACTGACTTCTGGCGCCTTCATTGCTCAGCTCATGTAGTAGTCCTCCTGTCAATCAATTCAAATCAAATAAATGCAAACATTATTGTCTATTAATTACTTGATAACTCACTTAAATTATGGCATTTAATAGTCGATGCATCAAAAGGGATGAGAAAGTAGTCACAGGCCTCCCTAAGCTCTGGCACTGTCACACTGGGAGGACATTTGATAAGTCCTGTCTTGTAGTACTCCTAATAATATTAAATATATTATTAATACTTATCTACAGTATATTGTGTTCAATCAATGTATAACAATATCATTACAAGTATTGTCTTGAAAACTGTGGCCGAAAAGCCCTCGAACTCGAACTCTCCCTTTGGATTGGCTTTTGTCAGACTTGCAGACGAGTGAAACATCGAGTATAACATCGTTTCCTTTCTCGAAGTAAACAAATCACGACTGACCACAAACCGTGTATTTTCCACCACTAATGTGATCCTATCAGACATACCACTACTTCCTCGACCACTACTTATAACACCACTCATCGATGCTGTTGTCGTCAATGTCGACAACGTATTGACTGCTGTCGTCACTTCACATAAACTATCACTTAATACCATTGCTTACCACCGATGATACGACAAAAAAGATTACTTATGTTTAATAAGACATTAACTAAACATCAATTAAATACTACTTCTTAATCATCAATTGGTATCAAACTTAAGGCTCATTAATATTGACCACAAAATACTCAAATAAATGACTGAATCACTAAACAAATGATTTTCAATTATAATCAATAATTAAGTCAATCATTCAATCATTATATTTGTATTTATATTTTATAGTTAAATATAAACAATAATTGTATTATTTTATCAAAATCTAAACAAACATTTTATGCGATAATTATTATGACTTAAATGTACAGTATTTTTATATACAGTATAATAATAATAATAATAATAATAATAATAATAATAATAATAATAATAATAATAATTACTGTATATTACTATTAGTGTATTATTACGTTAAACTCATTTCAAAACAAATATTAAAATACATTTTATTAATATTAAATTTAAACTCATATTTAAGTGCTGTTCACATACAACGTGTCAATTATTCTACACAAGTATTACATGATTTAGTTTTATTTTAATTTAAAAATCAATTAAAATGTAATTCAGATTTATTTGTATCAGAATATTGTTATTTATATTTAAAAACAATTTTTATTACTTATAATTATATAACTTATGAATATTAATATATAAAAGTGTATTTAATTTATAATATGTTTTTAAGTAAAAATTTATTATCTAAAAACAATTATAAGTCCAAATTAATTAATCTATACTATAGTATACTATGATATATAATTTGTTGAATGTTTGTATCAAATTTGTGTGACGCAAACAATTACTTTTAATGTGTCGGCGATTATTAATAATTTTAATTTATTAAATAAAAAATTAATAAATAAAATATATTTTTTCTAATAAACTGTAAGCGCGTAAGTATTGTTGCACGTGTTAACTATTGATACACATTTTATTACGTGGAGATCTAACAGTTTATATAAAATTTAATTCATAGATTAGTGTTTATTTTATTAAAACAAAAATTATATTAATTTATTGTTCACTAGTTATTGTATTATTTTTGTTTTGTAATACATTTATATTTTGTATGATTTTTTTAGCAAATGGTTTACAATCAAGTTTTATAACCTGTTATTACAACTACTATACATTGGTACTTACAATGTGTTAGATTTTAGCACTTTATACGGTATAATGTAATGTATTATATAATACTGTAGATTAAGTAAATTATACTGTACTGTACTGTACTGTACTATATCTATCTATCTATCTATTTATATAGATTTGAAAGTTGAATATAAATAAAAATAGTGAATTATAAGTTATAATTACTAATAAATATAAAAACATATGTCTATATAATATGTGTTGTAAAGTATTATTATATTTATAATATGTTTGAATTGGATGGCAGTAGTAGTTGTAGTATTAGTGATGGCAATCACTTATCATAGAGAGTGTGTACTACAGTGTGTAGTGTATGACTATATACTGTATATAACATTCAATGTATTATTCAATATATTGTTTTGTATTGTTATGTGTTTGTTGTGTTCAGTGTTAGAGTCAGTAGTGAATGAGTGCCTGAAAGGAGTGTTTAGTGCAACGCATATGAGCTCTACAGGAGAGACACGACAGTCACGAGAGAATCGGCTGAAAGAGCACTGGAAGTGATCTCCCGATCGGATATTAATGCCGGACGACCACCAGTACCACCACTGGCCACACAATTGCCCGCCTCGTGCTCACGGGTTGGCTCCGCCTATAGGAGCTCAACACAGTCTCATAGTCGACGTTGGAGTGGCGGCGGTCAACATTCACGGCAGGCCAGCCTATGTCGGAGTCCACCGACACCCGACTCTCAGGCCGTGTTAACAGATCTAACATATTACGGATCAAAGAGATCACTTCGCACATCGCAATCAGCAACTCATACGACAGGTTCTAGTAGTGGTGGTTCACATCGAAGTAGTGGTGCATCTCTGTTGTGTCGGTGCGGCAGTGGTGGACCACTTCTAGCACCCGCTACGAGCCCGCCGTCCACTCAGTTTGAGTTCTCTCGTGGTGCCCAATCATTACCGGCCACTCCTAACGCATGTCGTCGACCACTTTCCATGGGTTCCGACGGCTCTACTGCTGGTATGATAGGTGTAGCTTTTGCTGATGAGCCGTGTTATGCAGTATATGGTACGGGCGCTCACTCGACCACCGGATCAGACTTGGGATGCGGTCCTCAAAGTGAAAGTGCAGTTCTCAATAGTGCTTCAGATGACAGAAGCCGTCATACGGCACCTATGAGGACACTTCACCACTGGACACAACAGAGACGTAATTTAAGATATCGGGCAACTTCTCAGCCTTTGATGAAACTGTCGACTCTTGTAATAGTGTTGTTAGCATTTCTTATCATTGGTTTCATAGTTTTATCACCACTTTTCCATTATCTCATGTCATGACCGCATCAACTCTGATATCAAAGAATTAAATTTAATGATAATATCAATCATTGAATGGATTTGTATCACAGGTTTGTCCAATCATTTGATTCATTACTCTTAACTATCAATTACTAACTCAAACATTAAGAATAGATTATTGTTTGGTTGTAACCAATAACTTGAGTATAATATTCAATGTAAGCTATTATACAATATATTAGTCCAGTAATGAGCCTATGGCTAACATATATGCTATGAATGCATAACTCAAATGTATGTCCAGTTGTTTTTGACATTTCCTCCTTTATATTACATAATATAAGTATTTAACATACATTTGTTTATTTTTATATTATATACATTAATGATTATGTAATATCAAGTTATTCATAGAAAATTTTTATACAAATCATGCCATTAAATCAAATATTTGAATTACCCAAAAATGTCCAAGTTTGTTTATAGCATTTGCCAATTATTTATAAAATCTTATTTATTGTCATTTATTTTAGTTTTAAAATAAACATTTGAAGCTTTTGAATGAATGCTAAGAGATATACAAAATAAAATATATATTATATATATTAGTGTATATAAAGTTTAGTGTGTATTATGAATGGAAATCAACATTTAGTCAAGTCTTAAACTTAAGCCCCGGTTTTATAGCAATTTGCATAACAATGAAACCTCTATATTAACTTTCTATTAGTTAGCTTTCTATTAACTTTATAATATTAATAGTATAAAGTAAATTATATGATGTGATAAAATATTACTATGCTAAAATGATGAATTTTTATTTGTAAAATATCTTTAAAAAAATGAGATGAAATTGTAATAAATTTAATTTGACTTTAATGATCAACCAATTTTTCAGTGACATATAAAGTTATATTCGATATTATTAATATATAAAACACATAAACATTACATAAGTATTTATACTGTATGTACTGTACAACAATATACAGTATTTTATAACCAATATAACCAGTTGATGGTGATTGTAGGTGACATGTATGCCAATGGACAGCACGTGAGCCCTTGATTTGTGTTATATTTGAGAAATTAGATCCAACTGTGTTTACTGGGCCTCAAATAATTTATTTGATGGCATTGTTTTGATTTAATTTTTTACTCGACTCTCAAATATAACTCTCTATTCAAAAACATTGAACTGAAAAATCTATTAACTTGAGGAAAGAAAGCTTATAAAAGGGAAATCTTTTAAAAATGTTGTTTCAATGCTTTGCCTTTAAATATAGTACTACTATATAAATATATGGCACATATAGAGTACATGCTATCACTGTATATGTTAGTGTACTGTATATAATGCAATATCAAAATACTGTATACTAACTGTTTCTGTCTCAACATTACAATCTCAGTGATGGTTGAATAGCAGTGATGTGCAAACTATAGTAAATATTGTGCCAATAGAGTCATATCTATTTTCCTATTATGCATTGTTTAACAAGATTTACTTATAACATCTAAATATTCATTAAAACCATAGGCCAGTGTTTACAATATTTATTATGTTGTTGTCAATGCCTATATAATATAAAGTTATATTTATAAATTATTTTCAAACTAACATACAAATATCAATTTATATATCGAAATAGAGCCATAACATATAACATATTATGAACATGTATTGTACTGTATATAAAATATTATATAAAATATTAAGCTATTAATAAGTGAAAGCCTTGACAAACCACTCATATGGTCTGTAATAACCGACATTTGCGACTCCCATATGCGATATAATATTAGCAGTGAATTTTGTTTTTCTATAAAACATTTATCAATTTTTTAAACAAATATATCACATCATACTGTGTACTACCAAACGGTGCCAACGATTAATGTATTTCCAAATAACATATCACTCATGCGGTACAAGTGCTACCATATTTCACATCATTTCTCACATATAGGCCATACATTTTCAACTATTTATATATTTTTATAGGATTTTTTTTGGATTTTTTCTAAAAGAGTCAATCATAGAGAGAGAGAGAGAGAGAGAGAGAGAGAGAGAGAGAGAGAGAGAGAGAGAGTTTATGCTTAAAAGAAAACCTAAAATTGAAATAATGATGAATCAAATAGAATTGTAATTTAAGTGTATGGATGAGCACCTGGTGCTCAGGGCTGACCTTTTTCTCAACTCATTCTCACATTTTTTCAAAATTATTATCTCTTTTTCTCTTCATTCACTCTTTCATTGACTGTTTGATACAACATTAGGTGACTATTAGATAGATTTATATAAATTGATTGAATATAATTTAGTCATTTAATATATATATATATTGATTAATGTTTGAATGAGTTTATCAGAAAAAATATTTATTTATCAATTTATGTTATTTTTGGTACTTATAATTCATATTAACAACAGTATATTTTTTAAAACTATTACAGACATATGCTTTAAGTCATATATTGTATAAACATTTGATTTACTTTTATTTTTCTTCAAACATCTCTTTAAATGTTATTCTTTGCTTTGAATTTAATTCTTTTATTTATTTTATTTTGTGTAAACATTTTCAATGGTTTATATATTATTAGAGTTGTGGAAGAAGTGGTAGAAAATAGTGATGTTTATGATTATGGTTATGATTGCCATTCAGTAGATATCTCCTCCCACTCTATTAGAAAGTAGTCTACAAATGAGTTATACCTTACAAACACTTGCAAAATGATATGTTGTGAGAATAGGCTTAAAATTGAATGCATTAACATATTAGCAGTTTATGAGTTCCTTATATAAGCAATAACTGCAATAACAGCACAAATGGGCTCTAAATGATTGCCAAAGGCTCTTATCAGACAACTCTTGACCCGAAAATGCATTACTTGGGGTTATATATTAGATATATATTATATATAAAATATATTCACATAACTATAAATACTATATAAAATCGATTTACATTTTATATACACTATTCACAAACTAATATATATTTATAAAGACATATGTATATAACTATTGATATATAAATATGTTTTATTTGATACTCAATACAACTTTTATGCTCTAAATGTTTAAAAATATTATATGCATATATTGAATATTATAATATATATTCAAATTATTGTTGCAATTATTTTCACACACACACACACACACACACACACACACACACACAGATACCTATATATATAATAGCACTCATTTATTTTTAAAATGTTATATATTATACTTTATATTAAATTTTCAGTTTATTTATTGTTATTCTTATAATTAAAGACAATCTTTATATAAAATAAAAATTCAATTATAATAGCAATAAACAATAATGGTTTAAATAAATTATTTTTTATAATGAATAGTTTAGCCTATTTTTCTAACTACTTTAATGCAATATTAATTATAGTTATTTATTTTACATAGCAATTTAGTATTAAAACATTGAATAAATCTACTTGATAATTTAATTAGTAATATAGGATAAAGGCTTGTAAGCCATCCATTGCGTGTCTCATACATAAAAACATAAACTATGAATCCATCAAATTATTTGAATTAATTAATTTATGAGAAATGAATATAATGTATGGCTATAAATGTTGATCATTGTAAACGATTCATACTTTATAAACCCCTAAAACATATTTTCTTTATTTGCATTATTATTATTAAATATATATAATTTTTAAAAACACATTTTTATATTTTTTTAGAAATAAGGTAAATATATTAATTAATTATTTATCATCGTTTGACATAAATGATGATAATTACAAATAGTGTTTTGAATTGCTATTAATAAAGCATATTTTGTTTGTAATTGAAGTGTTGCATTTTTATGCAAACTTAATTTCAATAATATTTTATACTAATCTAACTATAAATTTATACATTAATATTATATAAAGAAATTAATAGTGTAATATTAAATAACTATTTAAAACAATATATATTTTTTTATAGATTGTTTAGTCTATCTGACGTTTTAAGAAAATAAAAGGATTTTTTTAAAAATATTACTGAAATTTATATAAATAATAAATTGAAATTATATAAACTTAAATAATAATAATTATTAGTAAGAATAGTATTAAGTGATAGTTTATGTGAAGTGACGACAGCAGTCAATACGTTGTCGACATTGACGACAACAGCATCGATGAGTGGTGTTATAAGTAGTGGTCGAGGAAGTAGTGGTATGTCTGATAGGATCACATTAGTGGTGGAAAATACACGGTTTGTGGTCAGTCGTGATTTGTTTACTTCGAGAAAGGAAACGATGTTATACTCGATGTTTCACTCGTCTGCAAGTCTGACAAAAGCCAATCCAAAGGGAGAGTTCGAGTTCGAGGGCTTTTCGGCCACAGTTTTCAAGACAATACTTGTAATGATATTGTTATACATTGATTGAACACAATATACTGTAGATAAGTATTAATAATATATTTAATATTATTAGGAGTACTACAAGACAGGACTTATCAAATGTCCTCCCAGTGTGACAGTGCCAGAGCTTAGGGAGGCCTGTGACTACTTTCTCATCCCTTTTGATGCATCGACTATTAAATGCCATAATTTAAGTGAGTTATCAAGTAATTAATAGACAATAATGTTTGCATTTATTTGATTTGAATTGATTGACAGGAGGACTACTACATGAGCTGAGCAATGAAGGCGCCAGAAGTCAGTTCGAGAAGTTCGTCGAAGAGAGGATTTTGCCAGAAATGGTTACTTCAGCCAAAGTAAGACACACTTACCGTATATACACTATAACCTAATAGTATAGATATGATATACAATCATTGAATGACCAAACAATGAATCAATTGAATGATATTACTGTTGAGTTTTGGTTAAATGATTTACTCATAACATATTGTATATAGACTTTTGAAAAAAATGATTTTTTTTCTTCTAAGAGTTTATTGAAAAAACAAATACTTAGTTTAGTTTTATATTTTGAAAAGTATTATTGAATTGAGTATTGAATTAGAGACACAATTCAAGTCTTGTATTGATTACGTGATAACTGATTGAAATGAATTGATTTTGTTTGGTTTGACTTAAAGCGTGGCGACAGAGAGAGTCATATCGTAATACTTTTGAATGAAGATGTGGTCGATTGGGATGAAGAATATCCGCCACAAACCGGTGAAGAATATTCACAGAGTAAGTGATGAATACTATATATTAAATATATTTGATATAAGATTGAATTTGAATATTAAATTATGAAAGTTATATACATGTATTATAATAATGACATTTACTGTGAATTAATTTTTATAGTTATATACTCAACACCTATGTATCGGTTCTTTAAATACATAGAAAATCGTGACGTTTCTAAACAAGTACTTAAAGAAAGGGGACTTAAAAAAATTAGACTCGGAATTGAAGGTATTATTGATAATAAACTGTTTTATTGATTGTTATGTTAAGTTATTTTGAATATATTTGTCTGCGATTTAGGAAATGACAACAAATGGACTGCCAATATAGTGACACTTAAATCCATAACCAATTTATCGGTTGATAGTATTGAACAAAAATGAGTTGTTTTGTAACCAATCCATATGTCTAATCAATAACAATAATATTGTTATATTTATAAGAGAGACTATATTTGGACAAACACTTCCTTACAATTTTAAAATCAGTTTAAAAACTATTTAAACGCCGTTTAACTTATATTTTTGCTCAAAAACATTTTGATTTTATTATTTTAATATTATATTATATTTAATAATATATTAGAAAAAGTTAAAATAGTAGTAAATTTTTTTTTTTTGAAAATCAATTGAAAGTTAATATAATAATAAATGTGATTTTGTTAACAATTTTATTTCACAATTGAATTGATATACAGACACTGACTTGTATTCATATAATGACAATTCATTCATCAAATGTATGTTGAAATCATTTATAAATTTTATATTGTAAATATTATATACTGTAAATACAGTATATTTATTAGTGTTTAATATATACAATATATTATAGAAGTTATAGATTTAACAGTATAGTAATGCTGTTAATTTTAATAAAGCCTAAGTATTGTCAATAAAAATATATTGCTTATATAATCTAACTATTTATAAATAATAAGTTGTAATACTAAGATTAGATAGCATTTTAATTTTTAAAAATTAAAATGCATTTTATTTAATAACAATTGTAACAATTAATTCTAATAAATAAATAAATAAAAATGTTTTATATAATAAATTATTTAATAACTATTTTTCAAAAAATAGTATTTTGTTTTAAATCATGAGGTAATGTATTATTTATTAATAGCAATTGGTGTTTAGTTTGACCATCAAATTATTCATTTAATGCCAACTATAATATATAGATTTCATTTATTTGAATATATATTATTCATATCAATATATACTATATAATGACATAACTTAATATACTCTGGAAAACATAATTTATCATTTGATGCCAACTTTGCATTAGTTATCTAAATGAATTGCTAATAACTTATTAATCAATAATTAAATTTTTAAATAGATTGGATATCAATGCTTAATGAATATAATATAATAATATATACAATTAATAATAATGTGTTATTTTCATCAGTATTTTTAAGTCTGTATACACTTGGATGACATGTCCTGCGGCTTCAACTCATAAAATTAATCAAATGATACCTTAATTGCCAAACGTAATCAATATATTTACAATTTGCATTAATAGGTCGCAGTAATTATATTTAGCTATTTATTAAATAATATATACAATATATACCGGTATGCTTTTATAAGCTTAATATTAATTATGCAAAAAACATATTGCATTAAACACAATATTTATTATAATTTTATATATTTAATATAATATACACGTAAAATCTAATAGTGAATGTAAAACTAAAATGCAATAAAAATTTATAAATCAATTCAATTACTTATTACCTCTCGATTACTATTATTAAAGACAAAATATAGTGTATGTTAACATTATTATTATTATTACATTAGCAATATTAATATTAATTATTCATAACTTTATTGATAGTATATATATATATATATATACTATATATAAATAAAAGAAAATACAATATTATTTTTATTTTTATATTTAGTATTTGTCGATATGTCAGGGGTTACAGCATTACAACACAAAGCTTTCATTGATTTTTGCAAACATTGTATACATTTTTCTATATCTTTTAACTCATATCTTATATACTATTTTCACTACACTTATTCTCTTTCACTATATTTTTATAATAAACTCCTCTATTATTATCTATGAGTATATATTAAATTTTTATATTTCTAAACTGTACGCTTAAATTGCTGCAAAACAATTAATATAATGATAGTATATCCTAAAACTATAATCGCTTCCGATAAAAATTACAATATTGAACCAAATATCATATTATTTATTTTATATAAAATACATAATATAATATTTTAAAGTTTATCATCATTTTCTACATTTTTATATAAATAACTACTGTGTTAAATATAATGTATTATAAATAATTAAATTTTATTGTACTGTATAAAATCTTAATAATGTAATAGCAATCAATATAATAAAATGAAATAAAAAAATAGTAGTAATAATAATATTAAATTCTTTAGTTTTAAAAAATATTTTATATATAAATACAATTCTAGTATAAATAACTTACAAATCTTGCATCTAATTTATTTAGTTAATACAATTTTCAAAAATCTTTTATATTTTACATAATAAGTACAGTAAAAGGATTCATATTTTTAATAAATGTAGATATAATTTAAATTTAAAATTAAATTCAAATAATGCTGATTATACTGTATAATAATGAATAAATTTTTATTAACAAATAGAAATTGAAATTAAGTTGTTTTTATAAAAGCTTTCTGTATAGTATATGCGATACAATATATTACAAATTGTATTACAAGTTTAAAAATAATACTCTATTATTATCTATTAGATAAATTGATTCACAAATCATAATAATCAAGTTTTTATGTTTGTATTATATTAATGTTTTTAACAACAATTCATACAAATTCTACAGTTTTTCAATTATAGTGACAAATAATAATTATATTTTATAATATTTATAAAATCTAGATTTTTTAAAATTTTGAGTTAATGTTAACAAAAAAATGATTTTTTATAAACTAAAAACAAAATTAAAAGTTTGTGTCAAAATTTTTATTATTGTTTTTTGCATAAAGAAAATTTTTGCTAAAAACTTCATTTAGGAATATATAATATAAAAGAAAAGATTCAAAGATAGGTCATTATAATTATTTATTATATATTTAAAGTTAATCTGTAATATAAAAAGGAGTTTATATTTTAAGTATAAGTTTAATGCTATTTGTGATAGTTTTGTTTTAATTTAATACACTACAAATTATTTTTTTAAATGTTAAAAAAGATATGCTATTACTACTTTTACTACTACTACTACTACTACTACTACTACTACTACTACTACTACTAATAATAATAATAATAATAATAATAATAATAATAATAATAATAATAATAATAATAATAATAATAATAATAATAATAATAATAATAATAATAATAATAATAATAATCTACTAAAACTATTAATAAATGCAATGACAAATGCAATGACAAATGAGACTACATTTATAAATTATTTATGAATATCCAGGATATGATATATACAGTATAGTGTCCAGAGAGGAAAGTTCCTTAATAAAATCCCTCTGATTTTACTGGAAAATATAATATTTTTTTTCCTTTATCTTTAGAAAAGGAAAATTTATTATATATTATTATTATACAATAAATAATACCAAAACTTAAATATTTTGCAAAAAATTATTGAAAAATAAATTTCTATTCAATAAACTTAGTGATACTTAAGGTTCGATCAAATTCTCTTTCATTATATTTTTCAAAAATTCCTTGTGTTCTCTCCTCAATGTTAATTATTTTTTGTGTTATCATCTATTGAACCCTAAACAACACATTTTAACGATAATTTTAAATATTTCAATAAAATATTTTGCAAAATATTAACGTTTTTGTACTATTTATTGTAATAATTGAAAGTATATTTTCCAGTTCTAACGCTGAACGGGAAGAGAATAAAATATTTTCCTTAATTTCCATAAAAATTGGATGGATTTTATTAGGGAACTTTCCTTCCTGAAAAAGTTGCTCGAACTCTAGTGATACTATTTATCAATACCACTATAAAATACATTTTAATTTAATATGTGTTGTTCAGGGTTTAATAGATGGTAGCACAAGAAAATAAATTCCCTATGATTTCCCAGGGAACTTAATGAACTTTTGGAAAATAAAACGTGATCATAGTTATTATAAAGTTAAACATTTGGTTTATATTTAAATAGACTTTAAATATAAGAAGCATATTGTATATATTTTGTTATACTTATTGTTAATAAGTCATTAAAATATAATATAGATGTATATTATTATTAGTTTTGTAAAAAAATTTATTATCATATAATATAAATACAGTATATATAATAATATATATATAACAGTATATATATATAATAATCCATGACTAGCCTATTAAAAATATTCATCATTAAAATAGTTCGCACAAATAAACTATTTTATTATTTATGCTAAATGTCATCAAATCTTACTAACAAAATATTATTATATATATACAGTATATATTATATTTAGTTTTTATTTTTATGTTTATATCTTTTATTTTAGTTACAATGAGGTTGTATTGTCTAGATTTCAAAATAATATTAATTATATAAATAATAATTGAGTATTTTATGTAATTTATATTTAAAACTAATAGTATAATTAACTTTTTTTTGAATAAAATTTTTATTTTGAAAATTAATACGAATAAAAAACTAAGAAATATTAATATCTAATATCTTAAAAATTGATAATACAGTATACAATACATTCTAAGTTATGATAATTTATTATAAAAATGTCTTAGTTTTATGTGTTATTTATTTGATGTATATTTAACAATAAAATAAGTAAATACTGTGCAATCATTTTAAAAGTAAATGATAATAATTATTGTTGATTCAATGCATTAGCAATTAGTAAAAATATAAAGTGAGTGAATGAATGACTTAATGAATGAGTGGGTGAGTCAATGAAAAGTGTTTGTCTTAATAAACAAATCAACAAATGCTTTACATTTATAAATGAACTAAAAGAGTAATATCTAAAAATTAGGATATTTTTAGAAAGTTTCAAAAAATGTCTGTCTAATGGATATATTTTTTCATATTATTTATCTAATAATAGTGTTAATTAAATTATTATTAAAATTCATATCTTGTAATTTATTCACATATTTTGTAAATTTATTACAATATAATTTATTTAAGTTTTTAAAGGAAATTTACCAGAAATTTCTATTAATTTCCATTTATACCATCAATATTTACATCTTAGTTTATTTTTTAGTTTTATGTAATGCCTTCACTCGATATTTATTTATGATATTCACGTTAATGGTATAACTAAAATGACATTTATATTTAACCCAAAATATATTTGTGATGTATACTATATATATATCAATAAATCTATATATATATATATATATAGATTAAGTTTATATATTATATCAGTTTATTTATCAGACATTTAGAATATCAATATTTATAATAATAATTTAATATTACTTTTTTATATATGTATGAT